TTGTTGTCGAAATTACATAATGATTTTTTAGTTTGACTGACACTGTATATTTGATGTGCTTTACTTCTTATAGAATTGAATGTTACTGTATCACAGTTGTTATTTTCTAATGTATCATTGTAATGATTGTAGCTTATTTCTTTCTTAACTTTTTGTTTGGGAATACCTTTACTCTTCTTTTCCTCTTTCACTTCATTATGTATTTTAAAACAATATGACTTTGGTTTCAATGCTATAAAGTTAGTTATTATTTTACCGTTGCATTCGTCCTTATAGCAACCAAGTTTTTTCTTATTTGATTCATCATAACATTTATGTTCTGGGTGATAATCACTGAAATCCATAAATTCCTTTATGTCATTGAAATCATCATAAATGTCTTCGGTTTTAGTGTGAATGACGAAACTATCAGTATCTGTGTAAATTAACCTCACATTTTCATTATATTTCTTTTTCAATATGTCATAGTAAAAAGAATACATATGTTGTTTTGACAAATCCAATATACACATTCCAACATAAACAGGTTTATTCAGTTTTATAACGCTCTTGGCTTTTTCAACACCGATAAGGTTTTCATTAATGATATGCCTGTATTTGAAATTAGGATTATTAACGCATTTTTGGTAGCGTTCAGGTGTATCAACCAGTTCAAAGTCAATTTGGTTTCTTACATTTTGCATTGTTTTTCCATATACAGCATTATTCATTAACTTATACATATCTTTTGAAAAATCACTTTTTGCTTCCTTTCTCTTCTCTGTATTAAAGTCAATCCACGGTTTCAACCATTGCTTATGTCTAAACTCTATAACTCTGTTTATTTTCTTGATTTTTAATCCTTGTTTAAGATAGAATTTTAATATATCAATATGTAAAACATAATTTTGTTTGTCCATAACATTTAATATTAATTTGTTTGTTTTCTCATCTTTCGGGTCATTACCATTATTGTATTCTTTATAGATTTGTTTTTGAACATCACTTAGCATATCTGCTGTTATATTCATTATTTCTGGTGCTAATGGATAATCTATGTGTTTGTCGTGGCATTCTTTCGGATATTCTAAATCAACATCTAAAATATAACCTTTACTACTGTAATCACTATTGTAGTATTTAATGTCTTCTTCTGTAAAATTATCTTTCACAAATTTAATATTCTTATATGGTAGTTTTTTACACATTGCTAATCCATAAAGGTTATTAGCATCAAGGTATGAAATATATGAAGATGGTTTAGACTTATCATAATCTTCACCCATATATTTATTGTTAGCAATTGCTTTTTTATAGGCACATTGAACCAGACCGCCTCTTAGTCCTTGCTCTATCATTTTATAAACTTCTTCATCGTGTAGAAGTTCTAACTCAATTCCTGTTTTCAATAACATCGCGTCCCAAGCAAAGTTAGGCAAAGTGTAGTAATGGGCGGGGTCTAATTCATAATCTGTTAGACATTGTTTTCTGAAATTCTCATATACATCGGTTAATAATAATACATCGGTTTCTAAATATAAATCATGATATTCACCAAGGTTTTTGATGTTAAAGTGCTTCCATATTAGTTTTGCTCTTTCATAGTCAACATCGCTTATATCTTCTTCGCTTAATCTACTATAAAAATGTTTCTTTTCTGGTAGTTCAGTGTCATTAAATTTATTGAAGTCATTACAATAATCATAAGGATAAACTCCCTTTTCTGTCAGTAAAAATAAATCTTTTTCATTTTTTATGTATTTGCCTTTGACACTATATTTAAAATGTTCCTGCCAGTTGTCCCTTAATTTATTATCTTCATATTTTGTTAATTTAACAAGTTTATCTAATGATGATGACAAGAAACTGAAACTATCCTTAAATTCAAGTCTGTTTAATGAAAATGTAATAAACTTCTCACTGTTATGTGCTATTACTGATATTTGTTCTTTCTTTGTATTTAACTTTTCAAGATTAGAAATTATTAGGTGAGCATCATAGTTTTTAAGATTGTGAAAGAATACTGGTATATGATATTTTTTAAAACAATAGTCTATATTGCATTTCATATGTGCCGCTCCTCTGTATAATCCAGTAAAGTGGCAATGGTCAGCAACTTTCTTTTTCGCTTCTACTCTGTTGTCAAAATTATCATTACATAAGAAACACTTTTTAGCTTCTAAATGTTTAATTTCATCTAAATCTGACATAATCATATCTTTTGGATTTTTCATTTGTTTCATTACATCGTCTCTAATATTGTTTAATGTATCACAAAATTTATCCATACAATCTTGGCCTCTATATAAAAATGGTTTCATTTCTCCACTATAAGCATTAACAAGGTTAAGCATATAACCGCTGGGTTTATGGTTCTGATAAGTCCCTTTGATGCCTTCTGATGTTTCTGTTGTTAAACATTCAAAATCACCGTAAATAACAAATGGTGCTTTCAGTTTCTTAAAATGCTTTTCAAACTTCATTGTTGTTCCTTCTTCTGGCATTTTTGTTTGTTGAATGTCATTTGCCATACAACCTTTTATTAAGTGAGAATTTAAAAGTTTTTCTGACTTGAAACCGTGCTGACAAAAACTACAAAAAAACATTTTATTAGTTGTTTTGTTTGTTTGTCTTCCTGCTAATCTACTAAAATCTTTTATTAAAACATAGTGTTCGCAAAGCTTGTGAGCCTCTGGTGAAGCATCGTTGTTGTTTTGTTCAATTCGTAACAAATTAATATGACAAGATGGTCTTTCAATTTTTGTTATTCTGTCTGCTCTGATGGTTTGGTTCTCATCTTCAACATAAACATTAACTGATATAGATTTGTTATTGATTTCTTCAAAATGGTCTATGTCATCGTTGGATGCTGGAAAATTTACACCATCCCATTGAATTAGACTTTCAGTAGTTATTAATTTCTTGTAGTGTCTCATATGTTGTGGATGGTCTTTCTTGAAGACTTCATAAAATTTACATAAAACGCAGTATTTAAAACAAAATTCATCATCATTTTGAATGTTGATACATGCTTTTTTCTTTGAAATCCATTCTGGTAGTTCCATATATTTACCTGCTCTGTTCGGGTTGTATTTGTCGTAGTGGATGGTGATTTTGTTAATCTTATTAATCTTCAATCCTGAATGTTTCAAAGGTGAGTTTTCAATTTGTAGTTCAATATCTTTAGGCATATTTTCCAATGCTTTTTTCAAGTCTCCTACATTCAAAATGTTGTATCTCCTACTCCTCGTACCGTGTTTTATTTGTACATCATTTTCATCTTTGGTAGATATTCCAAGCGTGTTTGATGCGCTGACAGTGTCTTCTGTTTCATCACCATCTACATCAACTTTATCAAACAGAACCTCAACATCAATCAGTAGTTTCATTGATTTTGCTTGATGTAAAAACTCTGTTAGTTTCTTTTCTTGCCATAAAAGATATGTTAATCCTTTGTATCCCTTGAATGGTATGTTGGATATTGAATATGTGTTGGCATACCCTTCCAATGCCGAAAATGTCTCTGATGTTTTTGCTCCTATTTTAAATCTGTATTTCTGGATTGTTTTAATGCCTCTCATTGTGTTTGATGCTTTTTTTAGAAGATGAAATCGTTTGAAACCTTGTGTGTTGCTGACTTGATTGAGTTTGTTTTGAAGTGATGTGGATAATGGTTTGTCTTTGTTGTAATAGTATTCTTTGTTGTTGATGATTAGTTTTTTCAATGGTTTGTTATTCTTCCCTGTTTTTATGGTTGCTTCTTTACTGGATAACAAATAGTCAATTACTGAACCCGAACTGAAATCCCTTGCCATATATCTATACTATATAAGGTATTTTCTCTTTAAGTAGTTTTGTTTATGTTTGGTGGTTATGGGATTGGGGTTGGGTTGAAACAAGGGAAACAATTGTGATGAAGGGTTTAAGGGGTTGAAGGGGTTGAAGGGGTTGAAGGGGTTGACATGTAGAAACCCTCCGCATCTGATTATTTCGGACAATGCTGTCAGTTTCAGAACTGAGAACTGGTAGTTTCAGAACTGGGAACTGGTAGTTTCAGAACTGGAAACTGGCAGTTTCAGAACTGGAAACTGGCAGTTTCAGAACTGGAACAGGTAGTTTCAGGAAATGGAACAGGTAGTTTCAGGAAATGGAACAGGTAGTTTCAGGAAATGGAACAGGTAGTTTCAGGAAATGGAACTGACGCCACCCCAGAAAGCCTTAAAATTGTCTGAAACCCGAACCTTGAAAATGTTGAAATCTTAGACTGTTTCATAATGAAAAAATTGTAAAAAAATGTTGAGAAAATTTACCCAAGAACATTTAAAGGGATAATGGGTATAATTAGTATGGAGGAACAAAAGGAGCGAAAATGTAGTTGGTGTAAAAAGTCTAACCCTGATGTAGAATTTACTGATAATAGAAAACTCTGTAATGGGTGTGGTGAGAAAAGTAGAGAGAAACATAGACAGAACCGAGAAAAGGAAAGGCAACAGGCAAAGGAATATTATGAACGAAATAAGGAATACAAAAAAGAATATCACAAAGAATATCGTCAATGGCGATATGAATGTCCCTGCTGTAAAGTTATGGTCACTTTTCATCACAAAGCAAGACACGAGCGAACTAAAAAACATCTAAACAACATGAATATAGTAAATGAAACAGAACCATAATTATCTACCATATTGTTAATTTATAATATGATTGATAAATCCATAATCCTAACCATGTAAATGTCAATATCTTAGACTGTTTCATAATGAAAAAAATGTAAAAAAATGTTGAGAAAATTTAGGAAAATTCCCCACAATCAACCTTGGTGTTTTGGACAAAATGGTTTGCTTGTTGAAAATGAACCCTGCCCCTGAAACTGAAAACTGAAAATTCCCTGCCTTAGAATCAATCTTTTAATCATTTTTAGGGGAGGGAGCCCAAATAAGCCCTAAGCAAGGCCTTAAGGATCTGTAGCCTTCCGGCGCTAGAGCCGTGAGCTCATGCGAGAAAAGATCCAAGGCCAATGCTGGGCGCGAGGTCAGATGCCACGTCTCCTGCCCGAACTTTCGCGCGCATGGAATCCAAAGGAAAGTCTCTATGGAATCCCCTTCGCTGGGGGTGCCAAGAGTTATATATATATATATACCTGGAGTCTCCTCCATGACCCTTAACAAATGGTTGGTCAGAACCCCAAAAAGAAAATCGGGTCATGGACTTACCCATTTTTTCCTTTCGGGGCTTTCGGGAGACTCCAGGTCTATAGGCCGCTTCCTGGACTCCCCGAAGACTCGATTCCTCTTCTGAATTTCGCCCGTTGACCTAAAAATCGGCCCGGACCAAAAACGCGGCAGTTTAAGCCGGAAAGAACCGAAAAGCCTTTTTTCTTTCTTTTTTTCTCCGGCGGGTCCGGGTTTCAACGCCTGGCGCCGTGGGATTCAGTCAGGCGCCTCATGCGGAATCCCATTCGGGGATCGAGTTTTTCCGGAGCCGAAACGGAACCCGGGGCTCTCAAAGAAATTTTCCCGCCCGAATCCCCGGCAACGTACCCGAAGGGGATTCCGTATAAATCTAGAAGTTGCAAGCCACTTAGTCGTTTCTGCCAAAGGTTCGTGGCAAAAACACAGAGGGCACCCCAAACAAAGCAAAACGGAACAAACACGGGAGCGAAGTTCAGGGATCCGGATGCATTTTATACACCTGAACATTGCAGCTTAAATGCTGGTGTCCAACTGTATTTTGGTGTTGAAAAACCAACATCCTGGAGTCTCCATCACCCTTTAAAAATGGAGTCATTACCCAAAATCATGGTTGGTCATGGACCCATTTTTATTTCGGGTCATGGAGACAGGATGTTTCAAATGGTGCCAAATGGGCTTCTTTCAAGGAGCCCTGAAAATTGGGAGCGAAGTTCTGGGGAAGTTAGTTCGAAACCCCAAGCGGCTAACTGGCCGAAGTTGCAAGGTGGCCCGGGAACGGCCCGAGAATGGCCCAAGATCTCAGGTCGAAAGAAGTTGGTACGCAGCAAAGCTGACCCTAAAAACAAAACCACCCCCTACTAAAAGCCCTAAAAGCAGCCCCCGGATCTCAAAGAACCGAACCCGAGGACCTGAAACAGGGATCCTTACCCCCTACTCCAAACACCCACTTTTGTCTAGTTGGTATTTTCTGAAAAACCGATCGGGCTTCCATGGCAAATACCGATCCCGTTTTTAGTGGAGGGTCGACAAATCATACCCTAAAGCCCCAGCCTATTCCTGGCTTCGGCTTTCAATGGAAGACCCGACCCCTCCATTAGCCACCCAAAAGGAGGTGGTTGGGACCCGGTCTCGAAACCAGGTCAAGTTTGAAGGCCCGAACTCAATCGAATTGGAGCCTCTGGGTTGAGGACCTAGAAGCCCAAGGCGAGACCAGAAGGTTCTCCAGTTTTGGAGCTTACCCCCGTAACCTCCAAATACCCACTTTGTTTAGGGTACTTTTTGGAAAACCGATCGGTTTTCCATGGTAAATACCCCTTTTTTTAGTAGAGGGCTTACATGATACCCACTAAAAAAAGTGGGTATTGGGTGTAAGGGGTAGAATAAGGCTACCACCCTTTTTCTTGTTCGTCTATCGCAGTGGAACCCTCCCAACCAAAAAAGGGGGAAACAAAAACAAAAAAGGGTGAGAAAGGGCACTGGGGGAGCTAATATTGCGACAGGTAGGGAAAAAAAATAATTGGAATGACCCGTTTCGGGGATTGCCTTAAAGGAAACCACCAGTTGGATGGTTATAGGGGTCATTCCAACTCATTCCCTGAGCGCCAACAAGTTATCTTGACTACAGTGGCGAACTTGGCAAAACTTGGCAGTTGCTCGTCACCCCTGTCCTTGGGTTGCGGTCGACCGCATCGCACTGGCAGCAAATCACACCAAATCCCAACTCGCAACAACTGTGGAGTTATGTTCTTGCTCCCAAGCTCAGCTGCTCGACCTCACCTGGCCGCTATCACCGCCATATTTAGGCAGACCCCAGGTCAGAGCAGCCCCAGATTTAAGAATGGCAGCAAAAGCATAGCCAGTTGTTTGGATGCGCTGAACATTCTTCAGCTGCTCTTGCACGTGGCTGCTGTCTCCGCCGAATGCTGGATGACCCCAGGTCACAACTGCCCCAGATTCAAGAATGGCCGCAAAAGCATAGGCAGTTGCCTGGATGTGCTGGACGTTCCTCAGCTGCTCTTGCACCTGGCTGCTGTCTCCGCCGTGTTGAGGATCACCCCAGGTCACAACAGCCCCAGATGCAAGAATAGCAGCAAATGCGCAGCCAGTTGCTTGGATGCGCTGGACGTTCCTCAGCAGCTCTTGCACCTGGCTACTGTCTCCGCCATTTTCTGGCTTGCCCCAGGTCGCAACAGCCCCAGATTCAAGAATGGCAGCAAAAGCCATGTCAGTTGCTTGAATGCGCTGAACATTCCTCAGCTGCTCTTGCACATGGCTGCTGTCTCCACCATAGTCTGGATGACCCCAGGTCACAACAGCCCCACATTCAAGAATGGCCGCAAAAGCATCAGTAGTTACTTGAATCTCCTGGACGGTCCTCAGCTGCTCTTGCACCTGGCTGCTGTCTCCGCCGTACTCCGGAGAACCCCAGGTCACAACAGCCCCAGATTCGAGAATGGCAGCAAAAGCAAAAACAGTTGCTTGGATGTGCTGGACATTCCTCAGCTGCTCTTGCACCTGGCTGCTGTCTCCGCCAGACTCTGCACAACCCCAGGTCACAACGGCCCCACATGCAAGAATCGCAGCAAAAGCTTGATGAGTCGCTTGGATGTGCTTAACGTTCCTCAGCTGCTCTTGCACCTGGCTGCTGTCTCCGCCATATTCCAGATGACCCCAGGTTACAACAGCCTCAGATTCGAGAATGGCAGCAAAAGCACCGCCAGTTGCTTGGATGTGCTGGACGTTCCTCAGCTGCTCTTGCACCTGGCTGCTGTCTCCGCCGCGTTCTGGATGACCCCAGGTCACAACCGCCCCAGATTCAACAATGGCAGCGAAAGCATAGGCAGTTGCTCGGATGTGCTGGACATTCCTCAGCTGCTCTTGCACCTGCCTGCTGTTTCCGCCGTGTTCAGGAATTCCCCAGGTCACAACACCGCCCCGATGGCCAATCCAAGCAAACGCTTGTTCAGTGGCAGCCAATTTGCCAAGCTGCGCAACTGCATCCACCACGTCACCGTCTCCCAACCCGGCTTCGCTCACCGTGGCCGTCAAGTCGAGCTGCTGGCCTTTTGCAGTGAGCTTCAGACGGCGCTGAAAATGCTGCTGCGCTGCAGCCTCCAGCTCGCTGATGAGTGTCGCTGGTGAGACTTCTACGGAGCAACCATCTCCACTGGGCAAGTGAACATCCACCTTCATGGCGCAGGAAGGGTCTTCCGGCCCCTTGTCTGGGTTTTGGACCTTCCCAGCTTTGAACCACGAGGTGAGCCGAAGCACCATCAACAGAACTAGGCCCTCCAGTTTTGGAGGTGAGAAGGGTACCATTTGTTTGTTCTGTAGCCTATCTATTTTTTTAGGGGAACCGAATCTCCCAACCAAAAAAGAAAACTCAATCCAGCCGGAAGCTAACGAAGCATCGGCAAAAATGACGCTTCTCGCTGCCCTTCGGCAGCGCATGACATGCAGCGTACATGTCAAACCATGTGTCCTTTCTGGTTGAAAATAGAATCTTAGATGGATTTCCCTGGTAGTTGATTGAACCACCAGGTAAACCGCTCGGAATCGGTTAAACACCCTCTATTTTTCGACCAAATCAACCAAAAAGGACACCTACAGACACATGTAAGAAAGCCGTGCCGGCCTAAGCCGGAGGCGTCAGATTCCCTGTGAAAAACAGGGATACCTCTAGGGGTAACTTCCCCATTCTTTCCAGGGATAGTTCTTTCTAGAAAACCACCAAAACCCCCCGGGAAATGGCTGGTTTTTGAAAAGAACGATGGCTGAAAAGAATGGGGAATCAACCCCAGGATACCTGGAGTCTCCTTCTGCCCCGCAATTAAAAAATGGTCCATGACCCTTTCCATTCTTTTGGCTCCAGGTAGCCCATTCTTTCCAGGGATCCTTTCCAGAAAACCTCCAGAAACCCAGCTGGAAAACGGCGATCGGTTTCTGAAAAGAACAATGATTGACAAGAATGGAATCGGAATCAACCCAAGGTCCACCTCAAGGTCTGCGGGGCTCCTTCTCCTGCTGCACTTTCGGCAGGACTTGCCCGCGTGCTGCCTCCGGAAACGCGCGGCATGTCAGCTTCCCTCGTGGGAATCGGTGGAGGTCAATCGGTGGTTTGGTATTTACCTGGAGTCTCTTCTGACCCGAAATAAGAATGGTTGGTCAGACTCCCAAAGTAATGGTTGGTCATGGACCCATTTTTAAAGGCTCCTTAGGGAGACTCCAGGTAGATTTCCGGGGGATCCCAGGTACTGTCTACCAGAACCAGGGCTTCAAATCCCCAATCCACCAATCCAAACTACCAACTAACGGTTACCTGAAGTGAATGGGGCTCCTCGCGAGGCTTTTCTGGCAAGCAAAAGATCTGCGAGCTCGTCGTTTTGTTCGGATTCGGACCCCCCAATATGCTGGTGTCCCTTTGGGAGCGGGTCTGTCTCAAAGTAAAATCAAACCAAACGCAAACCCTTCTCACATGTATGCGGGTTCCCGAAGTCCCAACATTCCGTCTGGTTAACACCAAAAAAAGATAGACGTGAACCCCAGGGTTGATTGTCTATCGGAATCAAAAGGTGGAATCCGAAGCAAGACTGTAGAACCTTGGCATGTGCATCTGGGAATCCACCTGGAGTTCTGAGCCGCAATAAAAATGGTTGGTCAGACTACCCAAAAGAATGGAAAAGGGTCATGGACCCATTTTTGGGCTTGCCAAGTGTCCAATGGCTTGCCCTTGCTTTAAGATCCACATGCAACCTGAAGTCCAATGCAAGGCTGAAGGGGGGAGGCATCCAATGCGGAATTCCGGCGGAATTCCAAACGTTGCCAAAACCGAGGGCCGTTTAAACTCTCCTACTTGGATGTTCGGCCAAGTTAGGTGAGCCACCTGGGTTATAGTGGCAGGGTTAAGTGGGGACTTAGGGGGTCATGCTAAAAGCCCGAATTCATTCACTCACATGAAACAAACATGGATCTTGCTACCCTAAACAAAAAGGTGAGCTCCATATCCGGGAAGCTTTGATTACTGGTCTCCCCTCCAAAAGATACTGACACATTTCCTGAGACTTTGCAACATGTATACCTGGGAGTCTCCATGACCCGAAATAAAATGGGGTCCATGGCCCTATTATTTTTGGTAGTCTGGCCAACCATTTTGAAAGGGTCAGAAGGAGACTCCATGTGGTTAGCAACGCAACTGAGACCTTTGGACTTGAACCAAGCGTCCACTTGGAATCGCTGCGAATGGCGAAATAACATCTACCTGGAGCGTCCATGACCCGAAATATAAATGGGTCCTGACCTCCATGACCAACCAACCTTCGGGTAGTCTGACCAACCATGTGTTTTAAGGGTCCTTAGGGAGACTCCAAGTAGACAAAAAGAAGGGATCCCCAATTAAACGACCCCACGAAGCATGGATCCTTCGCCGGTGGAAACCTTCCAGGATCGGAGCCAGGGCCTCTCGAAGAGGTCGTTATGCACGAGGGAGCCGCAAGGTCTGCCGGGAGATCGGCTCAACCCAGTCGGTCCGGTTACCCTTAACTAGGCTGTCCGTTTTCTGATCTGCTAAAAGTGAGGAACCTGTGGGTGTTAAATGAACTGGAACCCCCCCAATAAACCCGAAAAACACCTAAACACCTAAGGGGAGGGAGGCTTGCTCCGTTCCCCTCCCCTCCCCAGTCACTAACCGAACTGGGGCGGAGTCCGCTTGATCGAGCCCAACTGCGGAACTACGGGCTGAAACCGAATCAGAGCCTCTGGTGACTCCTGTGGCTTCAAATTTGGAGATCAGGGGGTTTCCCCATGGAAAACCCACAATCAGACCTTCGAAATCCAAATCCAAATCCAAATCCAAACCAATGAACTTCCAGCCTGAGCCATCTCTCCCAGCCTGAACTAACAGTGCCCCTCTTTGGCAAGAAAGCAGGGATCCTTACATGAAAAACGCCTGAGCATTGCCTTGTACATGGTGGTTTCCCTTTATCTTGGTGGAAGAAGCCATGTTTCAACTGGGCAAATGTATCTTTTAAGGAGCCCGTGGTGCTTGGTTTAAAACACAATTTTACGCTTTGGCTGGGTGTTGCAAGGACAGCAGGCCTCGGCAAGCGTGAATTTGCCACAATCCGCTGTGGGGGCACGGTCAAGTCCAAACAAAGAACCTTCGCCAGACCTTCGCCCATCGAGCTGACGCGGGTGCTTTTCTGCTCACGGCTTCAAATTCAAACCACCAAACCACCAAACCAATCCAAACGACTTCAAGGGTACGAGTAGACAAACGAATGGGATCGACTTCCATGGCAACGAGGCTTTGACCAAAAACGAAAGAAGGGACCCCAGCTCTCTGGAAGTTCCTCGCTAAAGGTTTTCGTGTGGGTTGCTCTGGAAACCTCTTGGAGGTTTAGCGGAAAATCCAGTGTTTCCGGCTACCGCTATAGCATGTACCCACGGGAAGTTATCTTGTTAAAGCTAAAGGAGATAAAAGCTTACCTACCATAGTGGCAAGCACTGGGAAGCTATAAATGGCATGAATCTTAAGGGACCCAAACTGGACATCAGAATTCTGGTATGTATGTCCAACCACGGCCTAGATCATGGTAATGTAAACCCCAGATTCATGCCCCCCTGGTTGATTACCAGGGGGGGGGGACTCACTTCTGGAGGGAACACCCCCCTAATTCCAGGACGGGTTTTTATTCATCCAGGGTCAACATTAGGAATCCTCATTGTCTGCTAGGTCCTCCAGTAGAGAGGTTAGAATAAGGATACCCTTTTTTCCTGTAGTCTATTTTAGTAGGGGAACCCTCCCCAAAAAAAGAAACGGTAAAAGGTCACCTAGCTGGAAAACCTCGTCTACATGAAGGGCTCGGGACCTCCCGAAATCAGCCCAGACCTGCCTATCCGAGCTTTTCTGGGCGTGGCTGGCTTCGGTGCCTGCGCAAGAGTTCGGAGAAAAAAAGAAGAAAGAAGGGCCTGGAGTCTCCCTAACCCAGAGCTTCCTCGGCCTTTTGTCCACGGCCGTTTGTCACCCCGCAAAGAGGCCGTAAAAAAAGGCCGTAAATGCCCCGTGAAGAGGCCGTAAAAAAGACACCTCCGTGTTCAAACGGCCTCGGTAACTCGAAACGGCCTTCGAACTCGTTGGGTCAGACCACCCAAAATCATGACGGGAAAAAGCCACCGATGTGGCACGCTTTGCCCAGCGTAAAAATCCATTGGTGAAGGTAGGTAAAGTTGGAACTCGATCTAAACACCAAAAGGAAAGTAGATCCAAGGATTACCAACCTGGGGCGAAACGCCTGCCTGTGATCCAATGGGTTGGTTGAAATCACTCACTTCCCGAGTTGATGGGCCAAAAGAAGTGAAAAAGACTTTTTGTTTGCCACTAACCAGGGAGTCCAAAGGCCTGAGTTCCGGAGGCCGTTTAAACACGGAGGTCTTTACGGCCTTTTTACGTGGTGTTTGCGGCCGTTGACGAAAGGCCCAAGTTACTCAGGCCGAGGAAGCACTGGGAACATGTGTTTCCCCCACAAGATTGATGTGCATGAGCAAAGGAAGTGAGTTAAAGGGGCCCCCTCCAAAATTAATGACAAAGGATCTTCAACTCACGTAATCAAAATCGAAGCGGAGATTTCAAAAGCTGGGCAACGAATCAATTGGCTTTGTCAAAGTTTTGTTGTACCTGGATTCTCAAACTACCAACTTCAAACAGGAAAGTCACCAACCATAAATGTGGGTTCCTGGAAAGCCGTATGGCCGTTTTTTTTGGACGGAACCCGTATTTGGATCATTTTTCCCGTATGGTCATTTGTTGCTGACCAATGGCCATATTTCGCCGTATGCAACCCTTTTTTTTTCAACACAGTGTTGACAAAAAGACGTAAATAACCGTATGGTCATTTTTTGTGGCCCAAGCCGTATGGACAGAAAAAAACGTCACATATGGGTTTCCAGGTTGCTATAGCCCCATGTTCAAGTTCGACTTTTGAGGCTCCAGGTACCCCTTTTTGAGTTAGTCTTACAAGCAAACCACCCATAGGGGGTATCTCAAAAGTAGACACACAAGCTTGCCAGTTGGCTGTGGGTCAAAAAAAACATGTAACCCCAAAATGAAGCCCAGTCCGGAAACATGGACATTTTTCCTGCAGTCCAATTGGTCCAATTTTGCCCCACGCTTTTGCCAGTTCATCGGCTTGCAGGTTCCAAGGCCCATGAAACGTGTTCTTCTTAGAAAAAAGCCAAAGCTTTGGCCGGCGCTGGAAAAATCGAAGTCCACCAGGTCCAGAGAAGCGAGCAGAAGGCTACCAGTTCTTTCTTAAGTTGTAGTTTTAGGGGAAGCCGCCCCCAAAGGGTGAGAAGGGCACTGGGGGACCTAGAAAGGCCTTATTGAGCGCACATGGTTGAAGAACCGAACACCTCTAACTTGGCATACCACTCGAAGGATCTCTTGAAGCGCCTGAAATGTGGGCTTGTCTCGAAGGAGCCACAGGGCCCAATAGGCCAAGAACGATGGGTGAAGAGAATGTGGAATCAACACCCTTAGAGACCAGGGTGAGTTTTCACTTCGTGTTCCTATGATCCCAATCAGAAAAGCGTGAAACGGCTCGTTGGAGGACGTCAATCGGATGACAATTCCTAGCATTGGACTTCCAAAGATACGAGGGGAACCCTCGAAACTATCCGCTTGATGTTGGTGATACTCCTCCACCTTAACAAATAACTGGAGTCTCCATGACCCTTTAAACATGGGGTCATTACCCCAAATAATAGGGTCATGGACCCATTTTTAAAGGGTCATGGAGACTCCAGGTAAGCTCAGGTGATATCCCCAACAGCATGCGGTGCTCTTTTTAGTGCTCGCACCACCCCGCAGCCCTCGCAGAACCTCGTGGAACCCTCATGGAACCCTGGGTGGAACCCTGGTAGAACTTTACCTCAGGGCCGCCCCGAACCACCCCGGAGCCTATCTGGGCTGCGACCCCAAAGCTTTCAGCTGGTTCTTCACTGGAGGGGGGTTTCCCCTTTTGGCCATGGGTCAAAATCCCGGTTATCAACCCCAATGAACATCAACCAATGCAACCACTAAAATTGGCAGCCTATGGGCGGCGAATTCACAAGCCCCAAAATGGTATCCCGAAACGGGTTTGACCACAGCCAATTGGCGGTGCACCAGAGTGCTTGGAAACTCCCCCATTTTTCTGCTGGCTAGTTTGAGGCTCCTGTTGGATTTCTTGTTCCGGAAAAAAGAAACGGTAACAGGGCACTACTGGGGGACCTCTCTTCTGAAGGTTCAGAATCGTAAATATATGTTTCTTTTCTGGGTCGGGCGGGGGGGGGGAGAAAAATGTGGTAAATCAAATGGAACTGGTGGTTGACCTACCCACTCACAAACCACCAGTTCACATCAAGATAGGAATAATGCCCATGAATTTGGAGGGAACGGTTTCCCGTCATTCTGTGTTTGTTGGATTACAATTTACAATCTCACAACTTTCTTGCCGCGCACGCCAGGCGCAACTCCAACATTCGCCTGAATGAAGGTAATTCAGAAGTGAGGGACCTTCCAACCCTGGATTCGCTCGCGTCATCGAGCGTCTTCCCAAGGTGCGACATTTTGCGGCTGGGAAAGGCGATCTGTGTCCTTGACCTATCTCCTTCTGGTTGAACATGCTGGTTTTCACTACCTCGAAAACGACGCTATGTGGTCATTGTCCTGTTTGCCACGAAGCTAAACGTGCTCACCATCTTTTCGCAAGTTTGACCAGCCTAAACAAGGATAGACTGGAAGGCATGCCACAAGACAGCTTCGGTTTGCAGGGCACGAAATACAAAATGTCACTGATCGCGTGCGTATCGTTGCGGCGCGCTGGTGCTTTCACTCAAACGACACACCCTGATAAGCAAGACGCTTTTAGCGCCCCAGATTGGCGCTATACATGTTACAGCCCCAGGTTTAAGCTCAGCTGCTCTTGCACCTGGCTGCAGTCTCCGCCCCACTCTGCACAACCCCAAATCACAACGGCCCCAGATTCAAGAATGGCTGCAAAAGCATAGACAGTTGCCTGGATGTGCTGGACGTTCCTCAGCTGCTCTTGCACCTGGCTGCTGTCTCCGCCGCCTTCTGGATCACCCCAGGTCACAATAGACCCAGATTCCAGAATAGCAGCGAAAGCACAGCGTGTTGCTTGGATGCGCTGGACGTTCCTCAGCTGCTCTTGCACCTGGCTGCTGTCTGCACCTGAGTATCGATTGCCCCAGGTCACAACAGGCCCAGATTGAAGAATAGCAGCGAAAGCATCGGTAGTTGCTTGGATGTGCTGGACGTTCCTCAGCTGCTCTTGCACCTGGTAGCTGTTTCCGCCATATTCTGGATGACCCCAGGTCACAACAGCCCCGGATTCAAGAATGGCAGCAAAAGCATAGTTTGTTGCCTGGATGTGCTGGACGTTCCTCAGCTGCTCTTGCACCTGGCTGCTGTCTCCGCCGTGTTGAGGATCACCCCAGGTCACAACAGCCCCAGATGCAAGAATGGCAGCAAAAGCATAGCCAGTTGTTTGGATGCGCTGAACATTCTTCAGCTGCTCTTGCACATGGCTGCTGTCTCCGCCACGGTCTGGACTGCCCCAGGTCACAACAGCCCCAGATTCCAAAATGGCGGCAAAAGCACTCGTAGTTGCTTGGATGTGCTGGACACTCCTCAGTTGCTCTTGCACCTGGCTGCTGTCTCCGCCCAAGTCTGCATCACCCCAGGTCACAACAGCCCCGGATTCAAGAATGGCAGCAAAAGCATAGGCAGTTGCCTGGATGTGCTGGACGTTCCTCAGCTGCTCTTGCACCTGGCTACTGTCTCCGCCGTGTTGAGGATCACCCCAGGTCACAACAGCCCCAGATGCAAGAATGGCAGCAAAAGCACCGCGCGTTGCTTGTATGCGCTCGACATTTCTCAGCTGCTCTTGCACCTGGCTGCTGTCTCCGCCATATTCTTGATCACCCCAGGTCACAACAGCCCCAGAATGAAGAATGGCAGCAAAAGCACCACCAAGCTCACCAGCATTTGACTGGATGTGCTGGACGTTCCTCAGCTGCTCTTGCACCTGGCTGCTGTCTCCGCCCCAGTCTGGATGACCCCAAGTCACAACCTCGCCCCCGCAGCCATGCAAAGCAAACGCCTGACGAGTTGCAGCCAATTTGCCAAGCTGCGCAACCGCAGTCACCACGTCCCCATCGCGCAGCCCAACCTCGCTCAGCGTGGCTGTCAAATCGAGTTGCTGGCCTTTCGCAGTGATCGTCAAGCGGCGCTGGAAATGCTGCTGTGCTGCAGCCTTCAGCTCGCTGATGGGAGATTCCGGTGAGACTGCTATGGAACAACCTGCTCCACTGGGCAAGTGAACATCCACCTTCATGGCACGCGGGAAGGTTTGTGAGTGTGCCAGTTGACAAACAATAACCTGAAGCACACAACATGTAAACTCTCTTCTTGAATATGGTTACGCTGGCTTCATCCTTAGATGCTTGGTATGGCTCCAAATCAGTATTGGAAAAGACCCGCTTTGCAGTCCAACAACAAACATCGTTTGCCCCTGGTGGAAAACTGCTGCGGTGACACGAGCGGTCTGTACAGGTGGTCATTTTTGACTTGGCTTGTTGGTTCTATTGGGGTTGTCTCTCTTCTTTCAGCTTGCCTTCGATAGGCAGGGAATGAGAAAGGGAATGACCCCAAGAAAGACCATCCAACTGGTGCCCCCTACTCCAAATACCCACTTTTTTTAGGGTATCATGTCGGCCCTCTACTAAAAAAGGAGGTATTTACCTTGAAAAACCAGGCTTTCCAAAAAATACCTAGAAAAAGTGGGTATTTGGAGTAGGGGGTGGTTTTCTATAAGGAAATCCCCAAGTTCATTCCATGTCTCATTCCCAGCCGATCGGTGCCACCGATCGCAAGTAACCGTTGCTATCTTGGCGGCCGGTCGCGAGTGAACCAGGTGGTCCCAGGAACCCGAGGAGAGCAGGGGACTACCCCAAGATGGACTTCAACCCAGGGGTTCTCCTTTGGGGGCAATGAACCACTCCTGGGTTTAAGTCTACCCTGAAATAGTCAAGAAGTGGAGCCCTGGAGTCGAGTTTTCGATGCGAATCCATCCTTGACCGGGCACGAGCGAATCCATGGTTGAAGGTCCCTCACTGGATCCCTTTGTTCAGGTTGGTGAAATTTGGAGTTCGTGCAGAAATATACCTGGACCCTGACCTTAAACAAGGGAATTCACCCACCATACATTTGGCGCTAGAACCAAACTTTAAGTTGGAATTTTGAGGGTCCAGGTATTTTTGTTTGTCAAGGTTGAGGAGGGTCATCAACATCAAGCGGATAGTTTCGTGTTTCGATGGCTCCGTCGTTTTGGAGGTCCAATGCTTTGTCTTCTGATTGACGTCCTAAGACCCATTTCACGCCTTTTGGATTGGGATCATAACTCACTCTGGTCTCGGGTCGCGGGAGACTCCTGCTAGGGATGTGTGTTGTTTTGAGTTGGCACCCGTAAAGGGAAACCAAAAGGAGCCCGTTGCCATTTTTGGGGTGAGACAAACCCAAGTATCTAGGGGTTGATTTCACATTCTCTTCGCCCAGCATTCTCTCTGGACAAACAGCATCTGGACACTCAAAGGGGATTGGCCCCTTTTGAAGAGCAGGATCCCTAAAGAGAATTGGGAGGTCGAATGGTAGGGGCCCTGGGCGATCTGGAAGTCCGGACGATCCCTTAGCAGTTTGAAGCACAAATCAGTTTCGCGCCGACCCTGGTCACGATTGGCTGCATGTGGCGGATCCGCATGTGGACGGACCTTGTTAAAGCCCTCGGAAGGATTCACTGCTTGGATCGCGAGGATGTTGATCTGCGAGCGCGATCAAGCATATGTGAGGGTGCCTTTGAAGGCATGTGTGACTTTGCCCTTGAAACCCTCAACAAAAACCCAAAGAGCACTCCCCAACCCGCGGCTTAACTCCCAAAAGAGCCACCGCCTTGCGCTCGGCGTCCGGCACCAGGGGCTGAAACCCCTCCTCCATGGTGACCCGGGTGGTTCCTGACCGCATCCCAGCCGAGGGAAACAACACACACACACACACCTGTCCTCAGATCCTTTTGGCCATTCCCAAGTTCGTGCGAACTTTTTCCCCATTCGGCACGGGTTCTTCGCGGCGGTCCGTAAAACCACCTGCCCAGAACTGTCCTCGCTTTCTGGCCAGGGGGATTTGGGGTCATCAAGGCTGAAAACGGTTACCTTCCCACCGACTAACATGGAAGTGCACACCACTTTCCTCTTGGACACACACACAGCTCTAGGGACACTTCCCCACTCTTTCCAGGGATCCTTCTTTCCAGAAAACCATCAGAACCCCAACAGCGATCGGTTTGTCGAAACAAACGATGGCGGAAAATAATGGAATCGGAATCAAGCCCTAGAACACCCCTGTCCTCAGAGCCCCCCGTAAAGGTTAACATGGAAGTGCACAGACCCCTCTGGAAAGACTACTTACCCCTTAAAACTCCAAGCCCTGGGGAAGTTAATATTTTACAAACATATAGCCCATGTTACCCCCCAAAAGTTGAAAAGTTGTGTTTTAAGAGGTAAGACTATTTTCCTCTTGGAAAGGGGCTTTGTGCACTTCCATGTTTGGTGGGAGGGTAGTGGGCCAAATGGAAATCCCCACAAACAAACCAAAAAGCTAAGGGGATGGCTGAAAGCCACCAAGACTCACATGATCGTCCTTGAACTCGACAGAACACACCAACAGGGTCGGTCAGGATTATGCTGGACTTTTAGCTGGGCTGTCTGTTTTCAGATCCCCTAAAAGTGAACCAACTAAAAACCTAAGGAACCGGATGGCTAGCGTGGCACAAAGCTGGCACCAGTTGCCACATGTGGACGAACTTATTGGTGTGTGGTTGAGGGTATCCGTTGGGTCGGTCTTGTTGCCAAAGGACAACCACCAATTTTAGGTCCCCTATTTTTGTCACCCATGTTGTTTGCCTGTACGTGTTATTTGAGAGTCCTCTAGGATGACTAAGAAAAGTGTGCTAGCCTTTATTTGCTGCATCATCTACAGCAATCTGGAGCCCCGAACAGCCTTTGTTTGGGCCAAAGGCTGTATTTGGCCCATATTTGCTTCAACGGCAGTTTGTTTTGGTCATTTGCTGCATTTGACCCGAGAACCCGTATTAAACCAACAACAAACTGATAACAATCCGAGAAAACAAAGCAAAAACGCATGACCATTGTAATAATGTGCCTTGTGGGTGTTCGAGGCTTGCTAGTTTCCCATGGTTTTCACAAAAACGGGAGATCTGCAACCGGAGAAATCCGGCTCCAGCCAATCCAAAAGGCCACAAAAGGTCTGTGGTAACGTTAAAAATAGTTGGCAACCCCAAAATGGCTTGCCCTGGCAAATGGAAACATGGACGAACAAAAACCTGCGCCAAACTAGCGGGCCTTGTCATCTGTGCGTATATGTGTGTATGTATATATATATATTATGTATCTGTTGAATTATTTATGTGGTACCCCTCTCCGCCCCCGTCCAAAAAACAAAAACTACCTGTTGGCTCAAATGAGCTGCATTCATGGCCCCGCTCCGCACACACTATGCACAATACCTAGCATGTCTGGCTCCATTCTCAGGATCTAGATTTCATAATAGCAGCCATGTCTGAAATAGATTGAGAGAATCAACCAAGCGCCAAACAATTCCTAACCCGCACCGTGCCGCTGGAGTGTTCTTGATTTCTTGTGTAGTTTCCAGTGGACATATCGCGCAACCTGTCTAAATGCTGCGCAATGTTGGCAGATATTGCAATGGACCAAAACATGTTTTGTTTGAGAAAATCACAATACAAAACAAACGAAGCATTTGGAGTGCTTCTGTGGGAATGTTGGGCATACATGAGACAGTGTTGCGCACCATTTGCGGCTTTTTTTTCAAAACCATACTTGGACGATGTACTTTTGAGTGAAAGGAAACCAAAGACACCACGTATTTAGGGGGGTGCCCTACACACAAGTTTGTGGGCTGGCCTGGAATCAAGATGACCAAGATGCCCAAGAAACTGTTCTGTGCAATCTTGGACCTTGGATCCAGCACAGAAAGACTTTAAAGTGTCTCCAGAAACTTCCAGTGTTTTCACATAGAGGTGCGTGTTGGAATTCAAGGAAGGATGTAAGTGTTTTCTACATGTTCAATTGCACGGGCTTTGACGAAGCTTGCTTTCACAAATTTTCTGAAACCATCACACCCATGATATGTCTGTGTATTTCACAAATCCAGGACGAACAAACAATCCAACATTCTCGAACATCTGCAATGATCTGTCTGCTGATGTCACAAAGCAAGCAGTCCAGAAAGAACAAAAACAGCTACACGGCTCTTTACATATGTATATATGTGATTCCCAGAAACATATGTATATAGTATACATTTGCTAAGCCACAGTCAAACTAATCGAAAGGACATTGGTTCCACAATCAAACATGGGACATTGCTGAGTTCCCTGGCTTCTGTGACAAACTCAATAGCTCGACGAACTGTAAACTACTGGTGTTGACAGGATCTAGTTGGGAATACATATGGATTTCAATGCTAGATGTTTCCTGGTACAAAAACACAAATGTTTTGATGTGTGTGTATATGTGATCTACCATAATATACTCATATATATATATTAATATTTATATATATGCGGTATTATATATATATATATATGCACCCCCCCCCCCAAAAAAAAAACAAAAAAAACGCGCCTGTTGCTTATGTAAGGGAAGTCAGGTCAGTTTAGATGGATGTGACAAAAAAATGGCTTATTGTACAATGTTGGCAGATGGCAGACTTGCGCAAATGATTCATTAAGCCTTTGCCCCCCACTTGAATCGTATGTACTTCTACTCTCTGAAGCCTGTTTGTGGCTTGCCTTTTTTAGATTGCTGTTCAATCGTTTCATACCTCGTTTGTCCATAAACCGAACTTTTTTCAACAACTTAATTTGAACATAGCATCAGAAGCAAGGTACAGTGCAAAATCGAAGCTAGGTAAAGCGTTACAATACACAGGGTCTAAGCCAACATATTGCATACATACATCTCTGAAGTTTTTACAATGTCAGTCAATAGTAGAAAAGCTGCTTTCGCAGAAATCGTGATGCTCTCTGATGTTTTACTGTTAAAATGTGTCCTTACCAATGTTGCTGTTTCATAGTCTTCATAACTAATGTTATCCTCCTTTGATTAACTGCAAAGCATCTCTGTGAGAGTACCGGCGCAAGGATATCAACAATAAAGCAAACAGAGCCTCTTCTGCTTCGCTTACTCATCTTCGATTTCTCATCTCCATTAATGTGCAAATCATCTTCGTCTGTCAAGTTACAAATCTGTGCCAATACCTGCCGCGCATCTTCCATCTCTCATCTCAACTCATCTGCAAATCCCTTTCAGCTCACAAACCTTGGCCAATACCAACACAATACATCTGCTCACATCTTATATGCATTGACCGATGCCACGCTGTCTGCTAAAGTAACTAATCTCCCAAAGCGAAATCTGTGCTGCGCAAAACCTGCTGAAACGCATGCAACACACTGGTATTTGCAGTGTGTTTTTCAATATCCAATTCGCAAAATATGTTCTAAATTAATAATTGTCCCATGTCCATATGCTGAACTATCAACTGTGTTTACCGCACACGAGTTCAAACTAATAAGGTGCACAATCAAGCAGGAATGACAGCAAGCAAACGCTTTTTAAGCGCTTTAAAGAACTTTTGGATCTAATCCTCAAGATTCAAGATTCCCAGGACTATGGTTCTTGAATCTTGAATCCAGTATGGGGCTCCCAAAACGCTTTGAAGCGCTTTCATCCAGGTAGCTCATGGATTCAGGATTCCAAAACAAGAGTCCTGGGAATCAGATGCTTTATTAGTCTGCCCTCCCCAAAACGCTTTAAAGCGCTTTAAAGCATTTTTGGATTCAAGACTCAAGATTCAAGATTCTCAGGACTCTAGATCTGGAATCTTGAATCCAAGAGCCATCTGGCTGAAAACGCTTCAAAGCGCTTTAAAGCATTCTTTTTTTTGGGGGGGGGACTGGATTCAAGATTCCAAATCTAGAGTCCTGGGAATCTTGAATCTTGAATCTTGAATCCAAAAGTGCTTTAAAGCGCTTTAAAGCATTTTGAGGGGGTCAAAGTTGGAGTGCCTAAAAAGGGTCGAAATTGGAGGGCCTGAAAAGGGGGTGGAAATCACACAAAAGTACTATACATACCGTCAAATTGTCTTGGGGCGCGTTTTATTTATTTATTGTTATGTTATTTTTTTATATATATTTTTTGGGGGGGTGCCATATATATATATATATGTGTATATATATATCTGTGTATATATATATGTATATATATATATATGTATATATTATGTCTCGCATATTGGGCTGCGATACTTCTTTCAACCGCTGTCGCGCGAGTTTCGGGTCTCGGCGAGCAGATCTCTCCCGCCTTGCCACTGGCAGCTCGCGTGGCCCTCGCGGAAGGTGGACCACATCTCCTCGGACTTGTTGTGCTTCGAGTGCGGAAAGCCCCGCGCCACGTACCTAGCAACTGACTCGAGACACTCGGGCGCTGGCTTTTTTTTTGTTTTTGTTTTGTTTCGCGAGCTGAGGGAAAGATGACTGTATCAAGGGCCTGGGGGTAGTTGGCGTGTGGAGGGAAGCAAAGGAAACCCAGGTTTCTCCGAGTGACGCAGATGTGTGGACTTTCGGGGACATTTGGCACCTCTATTTGGTACTTGGATGTTCGGCCAAGTTAGTAAGGAGTTAGCCATTTGGATTTGCTTTGCGGTTTTCAGTGGTTTATAACCGAACGGTTTCTGGGACAACTGACGTTCCCTTGGCAAATCGAACACCCAAGTACCAGGACCCCCAAAGGACCGATTCCTTTGTTCTGCCTTACCACTTTCTTGTGGGTCAAAGGTGGTAAAAACGAATCGGTCCTTTCAAGGTGCAGGTCGGTGATTTATTTTCCTTAAAGGGACACGGGTCCCGATGTTTTTGTCAGGTAAACATCTTAAATATTTGTTCTTGGGGGGGGGGGGGGCGGAATTGCGTTTTGTTTTAGGAATTCCCAAAGAAAAATGGGCAACAGTCCACCCCCCCAAAAAAAAAGAAACTCCAAGGGAAACTCCCAAAATGTTAGAAGCCGAGAGCTGGAGAAAAAGATGGCGCATGGGTCTCGGTGTCCTTTCCCGTGGATTTAGGCTGGGGCACGACTAAACCACATGGACGGATTTAGGGGCGCAGGGGTTTTTCACTGAACCAAAAATTAATATTATTCCGTCTACGTTCACACCATATCTCCAAATGAGCGAAGGAAGCAAAGCAGGGAAAGTACCCCTTATACCCAATACCCACTTTTTTTAGTTGGTATCATGTAAACCCTCTACTAAAAAAGGGATCGTTTCCAAAAAATACCCACTAGAAAAAGGCCGAATGTGGGTATTTGGAGTAGGGAAAGTAGAAGCCCCAATTGAAACCCAGGCCCAGCAAAGGCCCAGCGTGGGGGCTCAGCTTCGGGTTCGGAAGACGAAGGTGATCAAAGGGTTTGGATGGAACTTGCTACGGTTCGCTTCCGATCGAGTGGACTGGCCAAACCAAATTAGGTCAACACCCCAAATAATGGGGTCATGGACCCATTTTTAAAGGCCACTGAAATGGCCCAAACCCCGAAAAAGTGCCATAAACTCAGGGAGTATGTGGCAGAGGGATCCGACTTTTCTCTCTCTCTCTCTCTCTCTCTCTCTCTCTCTCTCTCTCTCTCCGTCGCTCTGGATGTTGTCTCTACTCCCCCTCTACCTCCATGTGCCTCAACGCTCCCTGGACCAAAAGAGTCTCAGTGATTCCCTTCAAGCCCAACATATTGACTAGGTCCTCCAGTAGAGAGGTTAGAACCCTTTTTTCTGCTATGGGAACCCAATCTCCCAGCCCAAAAAGGGGTGAGGGAGGTCGGGCACCCCGCTGGGGGACCTAGTTGACTTTAGCTGCTGAATTTGTGTACCACTGGTTTATGCAGATTTTGGCTCTTCAAATCCAGCAGTTGATGATGAGTCATATTCTTAAGTAGGCCAGTATTTAGCGCCAATACGATACTTGGCTTTGGGAATTAGGACCCCAACCATAAACTCGTGTTTGTTGTTTGCCTGGTTCGTGGAAAACACAGACCCCCCAAACAAAAACAAAATCAAACATACTTCTTGGGAAGTGATGCAAGCAGCGCGTTTGTTTTCCTTCACACGATTTTCGTGGAGCAAAGCATTTGCTTCAAACCGGTGGATGTCCTCACCGACAACAAGATTCGGCCCTGGTTTCTTTCTTAGCCTCACAAGAACAAACAGACGGAACCTGCATAGGGGGTTCCACGAAAAGGAACATGGTCTGCCAGGAACCGGTTCCTGTCCCTGTGCAGCGTTCTATGCTTGTGTTTGGGAGGCTTTCTGTTCAACGGAACTTCCCCCTCCCAACGAAAAAAATCGGACCGGGAATCCCATTCCGGGGGGAGGGGGCAGCTGACAGCCCCTGCCTTGGACCACAGGGGACTCCAAAAATCCAAACAAAAAGGTGTATGTCTTCTATAAGCTTCTCGTGTTGCTTGTAGATTTTATCCTATGTAAGAAAAAACAGTTAGTTTAATCAGAGGCTTGGCGGCTTGGCTTAAAACATATCTTAGGCGGTTTTAAGAGATCCAATACTTGCTATTCAATCTTCAAAGCCCTGTTTCTCAATTCAGATGCCAAGTAAGAACTCCGCGGGAGAAAAAACATGGATGCATCCAATTCTTTTTGGGTGGTTAAGTACAAAAATAAATCGGAACCCATCCCAAAAACAATTGAACCAAAGGCGAGGGTACTCTTTTTTCTGCAGTCTATTTTAGTAGGGGAACCCTCCCCCCAAAAAAGGATAAAAGGGCACTACTGCGGGACCTAGACTAGGCAACTGGTTGTCCAAAGGCGGAGTCCACTGGGCAACTGGTCCTGGGCTGCCCTCAAATGCCCTGCTCAAAGTTTAACTTTTAGTGGGTTAAATACGGAAATCCAACCACTAAAAAGCTGAAAAGCTCAAAAGCTAAGCTAAGGAACCAGATGGCTGGCTTCGCCACCAAGGGTCGTCAAGGGCCCTGACATGCCCTGACTCCACTCCCCTCGCGTCGCCTGGAGCCTCGTCGCGTCAAGCGCTGCAGGAAGGGCTCATTCCCCGGCGCGGCCCAGCGCACGTAACCTCACGCCCGCGTTTGAAAAAAAAAAAGAACGCGGGCCCCGAAGAATCGCATCTAGGTCCCCCAGCTAAGTGCCCTTTTACCGTTTCTTTTCTGGTTGGGAGGGTTCCCCTAAAATAGACTACAGAAAGAATATCTCGGGCACCCTTATTCTAACCTCTCTACTGGAGGACCTGGGAACCAAGGGGTTTGGCGTAACATGGAATTGGGAATCCCCCCCCCCCCAAAAAAAAAGAAGAAGGATGTGCCTTTCAACCTTGGTTTCCCGATAGAAGCCAACATAAGGGCAGCAGCTCAAGCAACAAATCACCGATCAAGTTGGTTTCAGGTATGGGTTTTGGAGATATGAGCAATGCCAGTTTTTATATTTCCAGGGGTATATACTCTCTCAAGCTTGTATCGGTGGTATTGCGAGTCCATACCTTCAAAACCCATACGTGGAAATGCCAACTTGACATATCTTGGCAACTCCCTCGCAACTGCGTGATTCCCCTAAACTTATGGGGTGACATCCCTTTTTCTGGGTAGCTTGAGGGTCCAGGTACACAGAAACACATATCTTCCGACTCTGCCAATCACAGTTCGACCCGAAAATAATCAAACAAATGGTTCTTAAGGGAAGCCTCCGGAAGCCAACCTGGAGGACAGATCCCTTTTCGTCTGCCTTAGGGAGTTCATGGGTCAAAGGCGGAAACATCAAATCGCTCCTTTGAAGAGCTTCCACCAATCTTGGGGTACCTGGAGTCTCCATGACCCTTTACAAATGGGTCCATGACCCCATGATTTTGGGTAATGACCCCATTTTTAAAGGGACATGGAGACTCCAGGTAGTTGTTTTGTGGGAAGCAAAAAAAAGCCGAAAGGAAACCAACCCATGTTGGCTAGGTCCTCCAGTAAAAAGTTTAGAATAAGGGTACCCACTTGTGTCTGTCGTCTATTTTGGGGGAACATTTTTTCCCAACCAAAAAAGGGGGGGAGAGGTGGGGCACCCTTTCGCTGGGGGACGTTGTCTTTTTGTGGGAACCGATCAGTCGTCGGCCCTTCTCCGGGCTACTTTTGGCGCCATCTCCGTCTGTGACGAGCGCCCTCCAAATTGCCAGTGACCAGTTGCCAGTCTAAAGACACACCCATAGTTGTTGTTTTTGTTGACAGAGAAGTGCACAGACTCCCCTTCGAAGAGGGAAGTAGTCTTGAAAAAGCAGGACGCATAGTATTGGTTGGTGGGAGGGTACCATTAAAATCGACCCAGTCGATCCCAGCACCTTCGCCCATGTAGGTTCCCGCCCGTGGTCTTTATATCGGGTGGTGCCCGCCCTTGGCCTACAAAGCCGAAGGGTAAATGGATTCACTGGGCAACCTGAGGAGAAAAAAAAAGCATCAAGAATCAGACGACCCTTAGCTCACCTTATCCCTGGTGGTTTAGCTTGGTGCTTTGGTGCTAAGAACTATAGCTTCCCACTTGCCCTCTACAAACGGGTTCAAATCCAAACCCTCAGGCCAGGGTCAAAATTCAAATCGCTTAGCCCCCAGTGAACGGGACCCAATCCAACCACTAAAATAGACTAAAATGGGTGGTGCACCTACCCCAAAATGGTACCGTTGGTTTTGACCCACAGCCACCAAACGCAAGGAGCAATGACCTCCAACGTCCCTCAACCCTGCCTTAGTGGAGTTGGCGGAGTTGGTCCCCTAGGTTCTGAATATGGTTCGCCATACATCTGGGGCGCAATCCAATCCGTCCACGTGGGGATGCTATGCAAATTGGAACCCAAGCCCGCTCTGCCCAAGTAATCAAATACCCAATGATATCGCCAAAAATACCCTCAAAACCAAACCCTTAAAACAAAAATACCCCCTACTCCAGATCGACCTTCTACTAAAAAAGGAGGTATTTACCATGGGAAACCCAGGTTTTTCCGAAAATACCAACTAGAAAAAGTGGGTACCTGGAGTCTCCATGACCAGGTCCATGACCGCATTATTTTGGGTAATGACCCCATTCTTAAAGGGTCAGAAGGAGACTCCAGGTATTTGGAGCAGGGGGTACCCTTGGGTCTCTTTGGTGAAAGCAAACCCCTCGCCAAGGCCTCCAGGGCCTCCTCCGCAACCGAGGCGCGGTCATCGATGCGTGCCCGCTCGGTGTAAAAGCTGAGGGCGTCGTTGCTGGCCTTGGATTCTGTTTCCGACGTGTTGGCTATTTTCAGTGAGTTTGTTTTTTGTTTTTGTTGCCATGGTCTTGCCAACTACCTGGAGTCTCCCTAAGGACCCGAAATAAAAATGGTTGGTCACCCAACACCATGGGGTCGTGGACCGACCCATTTTTTAAAAGTCGGGTCCTTAGGGAGACTCCAACGAAGTCCGGGAACTTCAGTGAAAAATATGTCATTTTTTAAGGGGCAGAAGGAGACTCCAGGTATATACCCCTGAAAATATAAAAGTGGCATTGCTCATGTCTCCAAAGCCCATACCTGAAACCAACTTGATCGGTGTTTTACGGACCCCGAAGCAACCTCCGATGTGGAGAACCCCAAGCACTCAGGGCCCAAACTACTTTGGAGCCGTTGGGTTGGAGGCAAAGGGCCAATCACCCCATGGGCTCCCTGGAAAAGAAATTAACGATGAGGATCTCGGCAAAATACTGAAACCTGAAATATGGGACCCCCTCCCCCCCCCCCCAAAAAAAAAAGAGAGGAGACAAAAAAAAACACACACACACACAAACAAACAAAGAAACACACGAACAAACAAAGTTCATTGACGTCGTAAACAAGTCCATTTGCGAGATCCATATAATTTGGCCCAAAGCAGGGCTATTTCGCACCCAGCTTGCTGTTCGGTGGCATTTACTCAAGCCATATCGACTTCATCTTCAGAGAGTAGAGCCTGGTTCCCGAAAAATCACCCCGGATTAATAAACCCCTGGTTGATTTTTTTTCTGGGGGGTGTCCCCTTTTAGTGGGGATTCAGACCACTTTTGGAGGGAACACCCCCCCAATAATGGGACAGATTTATTTATCCTGGGTCAACATTAATCGATTCAATGAAGTTGCCTCCCGATTAATCCATTGTCGCCTTCGCTGAAGGTAGTCTTGTTGAACATCTGGTCCGCAGCTATTTTCCTGCATGTTCCTTATGTGCTCTTACCGCCCCTCACACCTCAAGCTCTTCAATGTTTCATGCTGGACCCGACCGCGAGGCAGGCAAAGGACGTAGTAAGGGCTGGCGTCCTTCAAGATAAATTCCTGGAGTCTCCATGACCCTTTAAAAATGAGTCCAGGATCCCATTGGGTAATGACCAACCATTCTTGAGGGGTCATGGAGATAGCCATTCCTTCAATCACAGAACTGTTGATTCGAATCGCCCAGTCAAGAACGACGACAAGGAATAGTTGAAAGTCTGAAAGTTGTTTTTCGCTTCGGACAAGCATTGCCTGGTTGGAACGGCAGGTCGTTGTTTGGTGGGCGAGTTGGATGGTTGGACGCATGGATTGGAACTGGTGATTCAACCAAACCATGGACCCCGAAAGGGTAAGCCTTGGATGAGGACATGCCTAAACAACTGCCTTTGCTGACACTTGACATTCCAGACATGATCATTTCCCGAAAACGGGAAAACGTGCTTCTCATTGCCTGAGTGGATTGGCCGACAAAAAGTACAAACTTGTTCTTTCCACTACAGCAGCCTTCCGACCAACCTACTCAGTGCAATTTCCGGGAACTCAGGGAGTGATGGCAAACACATGAAGCAACAGTTGTTTAACCAATGTAGAAACCAAGATGGCAAAGGCAAACCTGAGGCCAAACTGTACGGTTCATGTCTTGTAGCAGACAAAGCCCCTTGCTCCAAGCCCCTGAACCAGCAAAAGGTCAATCACCTTTTGGTTCAGTGGAAAAAACCATTTGCCCGGAGTCTCCATGACCCTTTAAAAATGGTTGGTCATTACCCCAAATAGTAGGGTCATGGACTGTCATGGACCCATTTTAAAGGACCATGGAGACTCCAGGCACTGTTTAGGCCATGTCGTGGGAACTCAGAAACGCGGGTGAATCGAAGCCAAAGTGTCCAGTATCTTGCTGCCGATCAAGTTCAGGCCATCCATGGCGTCGAATCGCGAAGCCGGGCCGATTTAATCGGGTCCGATAGACTACGGTTTGGATGTGGGGTGAACGCACTCCTTTGGACCCAACCCGCAAAAGATATGAAAAGGTTGGGACCTCTCCATGACGAATCTTTGGCACTTCAAAACTTGATTGGGGGGGTCGGTGTTCAGAAACTCGAGCTACAACTCCTCCCCCCCTTTGGAAGAAAGCCCGGCGCGGGAACACAAAACCCAGTTTTCAGCTCCCATTTTGGCATTTGTGCATTTCTGCATTTGTGGTTGGTTCGAAAGGCAAAGCACAAGGACCACATTTTTGGGGTCCACCGATTCTGACCCTTACCCATTTGGACGGGACATTGCTCCTTGAGCCAGCTAGCCAATCTTGCCCGTCAGTAAGCTGCAAGCTGCGCCCCAAAGGTCGATGTCACAAAAGAACCACCAACCCTTGCAAAATGGGTCCATGACCCCGTTATTTTGGGTAATGACTCCATTTTTTAAGGGTCACGGAGACTCCAGGTACATCCCTGCAAGCCATCATCACTTCCTGAGCCGATTCGCCACAAACGCTAGAAATGGCTTCCCGTCAACCAGTAACTCCGGGAGTGCAGGATAGAAACCAAACATTTCGGTGATCTAGCACCCAGCAAGCCATGAGCAAATGGCCATGGCTCAAAATCGAAACCGTACCCCCAGTAAGCATCCCAATTCAACCACTAAAATAGGTTCTAAAATGGGCGGTGCACCTACCCCAAAATGGTACCCTTGGTTTGACCCACAGCCAAATGTGTTTGTTTGGCGCCAACACAAAGCGGTGTTCATCTGCCTTTGCGGCACCACCACCCAAAAAGCACACACACACACACCGCCCCCGTAAAAAGACACACCTCGTGGAACATGGATGGCTCGTCTGTTGCTTTTTTTCGGGAACCCCTTTTGGCTGGTCCGAATCCCCCAAAAAGACACTGCCAACCTGGAGTCTCCCTCTGCCCCGAAATAAAAATGGGGAACCATGACCAACCATTGTTTTGGGTAGTCTGACCAACCATGTTTATTTCGGGTTAGGGAGACTGGAAGCCATCTTCAGGGCATGGACTGAGCGCCCTCGCGCATTTTCCTGCCGCAGGTCATATCCGGCAGCTTTAGAACTGCTCCGTTCCAAATACTCTCAAATGGCTGTGGCTCAAAAATTCCACAGGGTTTTGGTACCGGATGTACCTGGAGTACCTGGAGTCTCAACAGGAAGGGTTACAAAGGTTGATGCGCGATTTCAGTCCTTTCTTTCACAGCGAACAGTGGGCTAGTTTCTTAGAAATCCATGGCTACTGTTTTCATTGAACCTGGAGTCTCCTTCTGACCCTTTAAAAATGGTTGGTCAGACTACCCAAAATAATGGTTGGTCATGGACCCAATTTTATTTCGGGATTCCAGGAAGGGTTACACAGGTTTTGGTCCACTCCACAGGGTTCCATTTTGGTTCCGGATTTTTGAGCCACCGCCAAATGATTTGGGCCAGGCCCTAGCTCAAAAAATGGGGGAGCTCCAAGCCTAAAATCGGATCGTGCAATTGCATCATTCAGCTCGCGAGGTGCCCAGCCCTCACATTCCATCGCAGTACACCACCAATTTGGGGACCCCTGGGACCCGTCTTCGTTCATTTGGTGCCAGATACTCAGATCCTTTCCGACGGGTGTCAACAACGGGCACCCGGCACGCGAGCTTAGAGGCCCTTGGGAATGAAGTCGCCGACCTAGCCGCGAGACCCACCCCAAGCAAACGGAGGACAACATCACGCCCAGGCGCTTCGAAGGAAACCATTAATTATATGAACTAAAACGAACTAAACCAATCACTTTTAGTCTCCACCAAAATCACTAATTTGAAATCAAGTATCTCACAAACAGATCGTTGAACTACCTGAACCCTACCAACTTGAAGAATACCCCCGCCCTCCAGCTACCCGCTTTTACCTAGGGCAATTCTTTTGAAAAACCGATCGGGCTTCCATGGGAAATACCGATACCCCTTTTTTAGGAGAGGGTCGGCATCATACCAACTAAGGAAAGGCCGGGTATTTGGAGTAGGGGGTACCTTTACAACCCTCGGTAGCTAGTAGCTCCCTGCAAACTCTAAGTTGTTTTCCCCTTTATAACAATACACAGAACCCAAAGCAACAGTACAAACACTTCTTTTTGCAGCCCCCTACCAAAAAATGAACAGAACCAAAACAACAACAAAAAACAAAACAAACACTTGCCCACAACGGTGAAGTTACACTCAGTTGCCCAAAGAACGGAACAAATTTCAACGCGCGTGAAGGTCGGACTCGCTCTACATCCCGAGTTCGCTCTGATTAAGGCCCGTGTGAGTGATTCGAGCTTGGCTTCAAGTAGAAATGTGATTCGCCGGAGTCAAATCTGGGCAAAACAAAAAAGGGGCAAACCAAAAAGGCGAAAACCTCCGGGCAAACAAATCCGGGCTTAAATTCGGAATTCCTGTGTTTGAAGTGGTCCCCGAACCATCGATGTTCAAATGACCCTTGTTTTTAACCAAAAACGGACAGTCACACAAATGGGGTTGCCCACAAGAGGCCCAGATTCTGTTTAATCTTCCTGTTTCGTGGTTCGCCTTAATGCCCAGCAAAAGGTGGTTCATTCTGCAGCTCTTCCCAGCTCAAAGGTCAAAGTAAAAGCCGTAGCAGTACTAAACTAAGAATTGAATTGGCAATATTAAATTAATCACTGGGAATCTGAGAGCAAGTGTTGGCAATACTAAATTTAGAATTGGTAATACCAAATTAAGCACTGGGAATCTGGGAGTAGGTCTTGTCAGCTGCTGAAAACCCCTCCCCCAACCCAGAGTCCTCTGCGCGATTATGTCGTTTCTCTCTCTGTTTTCCTCCAAACGGAATGGAGCTGGTGAGCTCCTTGCAAGTTGCCGGGAGGGTAAACATGGCCGAACTAACCGACCTTTCCTTTTGCCTGTGTGGCGTTCCTCGACTTTTCCTTGTCAGCAAACAGTTCGGGGGTGTCTTCTTCTTTGAGGGGGAAACCCCAACTTGTGTGGTCTGAAAGGGAAACCAAAGAGAACAAAGAAACGGTGACCATTTCAGTAGGTCTCTTGAAAAAGAACACACCCCGCGAACTGTCTGCAGTCTTAGTTCTCAGGGGGTCTTTGACCGGCCAATCAGGTCTCTTGGAGTTGGTACCCACTTCTTCGTGATTTGCAGCGGGAAACCAAAAGGACCACCGCGCTTGGCCACCCGATCCGCTCCCGGTTCTGGGCTCCGTGTTGGTGACTTATAGCGACAGGTCAGCGTGTTGCGATTGACTCTGATGTAACCACAAAGACTTCCAAAGTCAAGAGTTGTTGCATCTGTGCCATTTGAATTGAACGAGTCAGGGAAACGGATTCTCTCTCTTTGCACATAGCGGAAAACCCGCCGTTTTTGTGGGCGCCCCATTTTAAGACCCGGCGTTTTTGTGGGCGCCCGGTTTTTTTCGGACCCGTTTGGCCGCCGAGTCGCGCTGGACTGAAACTCGGACTGGGTGAAGCTGGGGATCAGCGAGGGCCCGGCGCCTCCAAGCGGCGCGCCGTTCGGGGAGAGAAACAGGGGCTTCGGAGGGGAAAACACCTGCCTGGAGTCTCCATGACTCTTTGAAAATGGTTGGTCATTACCCATAACGGGGTCATGGACCCATTTTTAAAGGGTCATGGAGACTCCAGGTGGAGCCCCAAAAGGCTCTTTTCCCCAACGACCCCCAAATACCCACTTTTGCTTCATGTGTTTCATGGTTTTTGAGGTCGACCCTCTACTAAAAAAAGAGGTTTTTGTCGGGGTCAAAAGGATTTGAAATAGATTCCCTTTACCAACAGGGAAAAAAAGGGAGCCCCCACAAAGTTTTCCCCGACTCCAAATAATTACCCGGCCTTCCTTGTAAATTTGTCGACCCTCTACCAAAAAGGAGGTGTTTCCTTTGAAAAACCAGGTTTTCCAAAAAATACCCTTGTATAAAAAAAGTGGGTATTTCGAGTAGGGGGTTTGTTGGGGTCCAAACAAAGGCTTTGCCCGAAAAACAAAAATGTCATACGGCCAAATACGGTGTTTGTTGGTTTGTTGATACAAAATACAAGCTTTTTACTTCGAGTCTCCATGACCCTTTAAAAATGGGGTCATTACCCCAAATAATAGGGGTATGGACCCATTTTGCAAGGGTCATGGAGACTTCAGGTTTACTTCAAATTTTATGCTGGCTGCAAATGACTTGGGACTTTTGGGGCCAAGGCGTTTCTTGTTTTGGTTTGCAATTGAACATGTTTTAGCACCGGAAACCTCAAACTACCAAACAAACAAACAAAAAACAAGCAGGGAATTTGCTCACCGAAGACTTTGGGGGGCTGTGGGGAATGGAATCCACTTCTGTGATACAACAGAAAGGGCTTCCCAAAGACTATTTTGTTCATATAAAGGGGGATCCCTTGTATCACAGAAGTGGGGAGAAACCGCTGGATCCCACAACCCTGCTTTGGGGTATCACCCGATTGTAAGTTAGAAGTTGGGGAAGCCATTCAGCCTAAGACCCGGGTCAAATCCCTTCCGTTTGAAAGTTGATGGCGAAACATATCACACCCAAGGGCTTCGAATGAAACCATAAATTCATTTGACTCAAGTATCTCACAAACATCTCACAACGTTTTGAACACCGAAAAGGTGAAAAGGTCGATTCGCTTTGGAGAAGTGAGAAGCAACTAGGGCAACCAAGCAGCCAAGCAGCCAAGCCAGCAAACCAATCAACCGAGGCTCTTTCAAACGCGTCACTTCCCAAGGATCCTTTGAGAAGACCCGTAAAAGGGGCCGAGTGATGTGCTCTTGGGACCTCCCAAAAAGTGAAAAACCTCTACGTTGCTGTTGATCCCTCTGCAAAAAAAAAAAAACACTGAGTGTGGCTCCAATTGGGACCATCCGAGCTGCTTCAACCAAAAGTGTTCAAGTCTAAAGATCCAACCCAATCCCAGATGCCCAGTGGATTTCCATGGGGCCAAAAGGGCATCCCGTTTTGGTTGGTTCAGTGCAGAAAGGAATCGGAACCCTTCCCAAGAAACCAGATGAACAAAGGGCACATTTGACTGGGCAACTGGGCAATCGGAATCCAAAAAACGGGTCAGATCTGCTCAAGTCATTCGTGGCTCGCTCGTCGCGCCTGTAGAGGCGTTGGTCAGGACCATGAAGAAAAAGCCAACCATCGCCTGGAGAAAGGTCCAGGGTAAAAAAAAAAACAAAAAAAAAAAAACATGGACCCGAGGTCCCTGAGAACCCTCCTGCCATATGGCTGTGGCTCAAAAAACCGGTACCAAAATGGGTTGTCCTGGTAAGTGGAAACATGGACCAAAACCTGCGTAAGCCCTCCTGTTTAATTCTGAGCCACAGCCATATGTTTATTTTTCAGGTGCGCCGGTAGTGACGGTCTGGCTTTTGGCGTGCCCGTTGTGCGTTTTTGTTTGGCCTGTCACTTTTCAAGCAGGCCATTCCACCGGATATGATTTCTCACTTGCCGAGTGGATGGCCCAAAAAAAGTCCAAACTTTATATTTACCACTAAAATGGTCTTCCCAAAAAGTTTAAAGTTCATGAACTCAGGAAGTGAGTTATACAACCCTGTACCTGGAGTCTCCTTCTGGCCCTTAAAAAAGCTGGTCTACCCGGTCTACCCCCACATACGGATTGGGTCATGACTCATGACCCCTGTTTAAAGGGGAGACTCCAGGTCAATTTGTTCGGTGTTTTGTTTGTTTGTCTCGTTGCATATAACAGTGCAAAACATGCGGCGAACCCTACCCTGGGGTTCATAACACCACCGGATGACCTAAGGATGATCATGGCGTTGAAATGGAATCCACGAATCTGTGATACAAAAAGGGCCCAAAGACTAACCGCCCCTTAGAGGGGATGCCCAAAAGTAACACAGTGTGGATAAACCGAGTGACCCCACAACCCTGAACAGCTTTGAAAGTCGGTTTTGGACAAGTGAGACAGTGGTCTTCCCCCTTTTGGTGGCTTTGAAAGCGACAAGCACAGGAACTTTATCCACTCCGGGGATGCCCCCTCCATTCTGAGACTCATAGAGACTCCAAAACTACCCGGCGTCGTAGTGTTTGTCCTTTCCTACCACTCAAACCACCCGGGAGTACCGAAGAAAGAAAACAAAACACATGGCTTCTCTTGAGGGTACCACATGTTGTGCTGCGATTTCCGAGTTCAACGAGACACCATTGGGCCCCCTAGTTTGAGACACCGGCTGATGTAAACATTGTGCCATCATTGCCTTTGAGTCTGCTCACACAGCTTTATAATCCAATATACCGAGCAGCGAGTTATTGAAGCCAATCATCTTGTCAAACAGGCGTGCCACCAACACCGTGTGGCAAGTTATTCTTAATCCTTTGTTATGTACGCACGCCGCGCACGCGCACACACGACTTCAGGCTTTGGCACGCGTGACTCTTGCGAGGCCTGGAAGACGTCCGCACGTCATAAGCATGGATAACAGGACACACCTTCAGTGACTGAACCTGTCCATCTGTCGTTTGCCAAGTTGCAAGTCGGCAGTGCTTAATCTCGCGCAGCTTCATGTTGTTCCACTCCTGTCAATTGGCTGTGGCTCACCCATTTGTGGGCCCCTTGGGAAAATAGAACAAAACCTGCGGTTTGCCACGGCTCTTTAACTTTGAGCCACAGCCAAGTCACTCCTTGAGAGCGCCGTCCTCTTGTCCCCTGCTAAAAGTTTAACTTTTAGTGGGCTAAACGGGTGTGTACTTTTTTAGGCCCCCAAAGAACACACAAATGGTGGTGTTCCTTTCGGATTCCCTTGAAATCCACCGAAAAAGACCGGCGCCTGAAAAAAGAACAGACCCCTCTGCAGATGGAACCCAAACCACATTCATGCTTCACGGAACTATCCTGAAGGCCCATTTTCAGGTTCCACGTTGGGGATCTGTTCCCACAAATTCTGCCAGGTTTGCAGAAACAGGTTGACCTTTTGGAACCAAAAGACAGGGCAACCACAAGGTGAAAAGGCCGATTTGCGTGGAGAACAACAGAGAATTGCGGGCCGATTTGCCCAAACCAAAGGCGATGTCGACCCATGACTAGAGTACAACTGGGAACAAAAAGGCACAAAGGTCGATTCGCTTTGCAACTGAGACCTGAGCGGGTCTGCAACAAAACGGGTCCCACGATCCAAGCATGGATATCCAAAAGTGGGCACGCCGAATTGACCTTTCTTACCAATATAGGTACTCTTCTTGAGGCGATTCCATGGAAGCTCAGGGCTTCTGAACGGTGGTGCGAAATGGACTTTGTCCATCCACAGTTCCAGTTGTAGATTCCCCTAACCAACAGGCGCAACATAAAACCTACATCTTTATTTCCGCAGATGCGAGTGCGGGGTTGCTCAGGGTGCACCCTTGCAAACACACACACACACACACACACACCAACTAGCCACACATATATTCTTACCGATTCTTACCCCCTACTCCAAATACTGACGCTTTTAAGGGTATCTCGTGAACCTCCGACTAAAACAGAAAGTATTTACTATGGACAACCACCTGGAGTCTCCTTCTGACCCTTTAAAAATGGTTGGTCATTACCCCAAATAGGGTCATGGACCCATTCTTATTTCGGGTTCTTAGGGAGACTCCAACCAGGTGCGTCTTTCCCCCCAAACAAAGTTGACCCACCAACTTCAAGCCAAGGGGTTGAAGTGACACCGAGGAAAACGATGGGTGCAGTTTTTAAAGGGGACCCCCCCCCCAAAAAAAAAAAAGAAAATACAAATGACTGTGTTTTTTTTAGGTGTCCCTTCCAAAAGCAACCCAAAAAGGGTTCCAACTCCAGAAAAAGACAAAAAAACGGGTCATCTACCAGCCTGGTTCATTTTTTGGGGGGGCAACCCTGATTTCAAATGTCTCCTTGTGACTCCAGGTATCCACCTGCGAAACATGTCGGTTTCTCCGGCGCCTGTGGGGTGTACTTGGCGGTGAAGGTTGGCCCGAACCATTTGGGCCGCTTGCCGCCCGCCGGGGCATCCACGTTCCAGCCTGGCGATTTGCATCAGGAAATTACCCTTCCAACGAACGTAGCAGTGGGAAGGCGCCTGGAAGATCAGTTTCCTCTTAAAACCTTCTATGAGGTGCTATGTTGTTGCATTGGAACGGAGGGTAGCCAAAACTTGCTTGAGAAATGCTTGGCCGAGTTCCTGCAGAATTGCTTGTGGCTGGTTTCCATGACATGTGTCCTGCATTTGGCGAGGACATGCAGGGCACAGGAAGCGGAAATGAAGGGGAAAGGCAAGGGAAACGAAGGGGAACTGAAAGGGAAATGAAGGGGACAGGAACAAGACATGAAGGCAGGGTGTAATGTCGGCGGCCTGAGTTTGAGGCTCTAAAGTGTTTTTTACAAATCTCATTAAACAAATAACATAGTACATCATACTTGAATTATTCCCTTGTTGAGCTCTATTCATGGAAGGGATGTCTTTTTAGCTTCTAATTGAAGATAGAAAGTGTAATGAAACTATGTTCTGAAAAAAGTATATGACAATTCTACCAGTGAATGCAATTCAAAATCGTATGTGAGAAGGAATGTTCCTTTAAATGCATTGAACATATTAAACATGTCATTGAAATATTTGCTGTGTACAGTCCTCATGAGGGCTGGGGAGAGAGGGGAGGCCCATGAAGTCCATTTATATTCTATTTCAACTTCAATCATACTTCTCATTTGGCATAAGGAGCCTTGAAGGGAGCTTTATTCTGAGGAGCTCGATAACTCAGTTGTTCAGTGACCCTGGAAAAAAGGGAACCCTTCTTGGGGGAGACCATTTTTAGTGGGGCAGCCACCAAAAAAAAGGGAAAACGGGTGCCACTGAACAACTGAGTATCAGAAGCCTCTTAAGCTGCTTAGCAAGTGAGCTTGAAGAGGAGCTTTGCAAGCAGCTTTACAAACCAATGGTGAGGCTTATCATATGGAGCCTGTTCAATAGAACGAAATCTTACACGCAGCTCCACAAGGAGCCTTATGAGGAGTTTTAATAACGAGCTTTACAATGAGTCTTGTAAGGAGCGTCTGCAGCATCTAGTTCACTGGTCACACCCCTTCACTGCAGCTCCACAATGTTTTAATCATGGCAGTACCACACCTGACAAAACAGGATAATCTAAAACAACAAGGACAAAATGAGGGAACACAAAAACAAAACAGCAATTCCTCGAGAAAACCAAAGAAACAAAACACACAACTATGAGGAAAACGTTTGGTTTTGGCAACCATTTTGTTTGATTGATTTTCTCGAGTTTGTTTAGTTTGTTTCGCTGTTGTCCCTGAGCTTTTTGTTTTGTTGCGTAAAAAGAAGAAGTGTTTTTTGTCATAGTTGTTGGAAAAACAAAAACCCTCGAGAAAAAAAAAGAGGACAAGTTTTGGTTTGGCGCACAGTTGTGTGTTGTGTTTCCCTGTGACTGCTATTTTTGTTGAGCAAAAACGCAAAAACAACAAATGGTTTTGTGTTTGCTTGTTTTTGTCATACTTGATGAAACAAATGACCAGAACACCAAAAAACATCCGGTTTCTCGAAGAAACAACAGGGAAGATCGAGAAACGTAAAAACCCGAGAAAGCCACACAACACATAACTTGTGGCAAAACCCCAAGTTTTCCTCAGAGATTGTGTTTTCCGTTTTGCATTTTGTTGGTTTCTGGGCCTTCTGGATGATCTTTATCGATGTTGTTCTTCATCGCCACTTTAAACTACCTGGAGTCTCCCTAAGGACCCTTCAAAAATGGTTGGTCATACCCGAAAAATAACGGGGTCATGGACCCATGTTGCAAGGGGCAGAGGGAGACTTCAGGTACAAAGCTTGCTAAACAACAACCAGTGGTGGTTTGCATACAGTTCCTAGAACATTGCGACAACTGGAGGTTTTCGCTAATTGTTCACAATGAAGCGTGATGCAAATCCAGAACGGAATCTGTTTTGCTCTAAACGGGGGTCTTATGACTAAAACACGCAACACACTGTGTCTTGTTCCACTTGTTTCAGGCAGATCAACAGGTAGTTCATGAGAAGGGGTGACTATATGCATAAAATATATATATATATATACACATATACATAGATATGTCCGATCTGTAAACATCACCAGTCATCAACACTCATCCGAATTTATGTCCTTGTGTTCTAGTACGTAACTCGCAACCGCTTGATGCGTCAAGACCGCTTGACAAAAACAAGACTTCAGCTTCCCTCCGACTGGGCGGTTTGGATTTGGCGCTTTGGCGGTTTGGTGATTGGTGGTTTGAGAAAAACCTAAAAAAACAAAACACAAAAACAATGCTTTTTGGAAAACACCGAGGTGTTCGGCGAACGCGTTTTCTTTTTTTTCTCCTCGAGTTTAAGCATTCTCCCATAGATTCCTTCAACTCATCCGATCAAGGAAACATCATCTCGGCGAAATCTGCTCCCCTGCTAAAAGTGTCTAACTTTTAGTGGTTTTCCGCGTCCGGAAAACATCCATTCGTTGGCAAAAAGTCAGCTGGTCCTAACATCCCTTGGCAAAATGCACCAAAGTCATCTCAGCCGAATCTCCCAGCGGTTTCGAAGGATGGAAGTACATAGCCCTTATACCCGTTGGCGTCCGTGGTTTCCAACCCGTTTTTTTTGAAGGGTATATACCCCTTTTGGGGAGAGGGGTATGAACATCAGGCCTCTCAGGGGTTCATTTGTAGGGGTATGTAAAAGGGGTACCTGGAGTCTCCATGACCCGAAATAAAAATGGGTCCATGACCCTATGATTTGGGGTAACCGCATTTTTATTTCGGGTCATGGAGACTCCAGGTATGTACCTTGGCACCCCATTGCCGGTTTCCCATTGACCAGAGCAACCAGCAGCCCGGATCCAAACCCATCCAAATCCGATCGGAGACCTGAGGCATGAGTCAGGTTTCCAAAAAAAAACGGGAAAACCTGCAAGTTGCTTGCTGGCGAGAGATGTCGGGAATGAGAGGATAAAACCATCCATATATGGTTTCCTTTCAAGGGAATCCCCGAAACGGGAATGGAAGAATGTCTCATTTCCTGCCTATCGCAGCACAAACCACCCATTCAAGAGATACCTGAGTCATGACAGATCGATCTATAAAAAAAAGAGGAAATTATTCCCTGGAGTCTCCCTAAGCACCCTTTAAAAATGGTTGTCATTCCCCGAAATCATGGTTGGTCATGGACCCATTCTGTACGTGTCAGAAGACTCCAGGTCCAGGGAGAAACAACAAGTCCTCGGCACATGGAATCCTTCCATTTGGTTAAGGCCCCTGGAAAAAATGAGAACATATTTCCAGTAGTGAAATCGATTCCCTTTAAAACCAACAAGGGAATATAAACAACAAAAATATTCATTTCAGCAAATGGAAGAATCCTAAAGGAACCCTTTAGAAGCGATCCCTAGCGGGAATCGGAACCCTGAATCGGAACCTTTTGGGGGGATTGGACCCATGACGAGTCCGAGTCGGGGGAGAAAAGGAAATGCCTGGGGTCTCCATGACCCTTTAACTCCCTGGCTGAGTGGATGGCCCAAAAAAAGTCCAACCTTTTTCTTTACCACTAAAATGGTCTTCCCAAAAAGTTTAAAGTTCATGAACTCAGGAAGTGAGTTAAACATGGTTAACCATGACCCCGTTATTTTGGGTAATGACCAACCATTTTTTAAAGGCTCCAATTCGGGAGACTCGTGGACGTCCGGGCGTCACTCTGAGCTTCGTGCCGAGGTCACCAGGCTGCACGCCTTCCTTCGAGTTCGAGTGCGGCTTTGATGTCGTGTGGCTCGCGTCACGATGGAAACTTGTGTTCGGGCGCAAACAAATCCAGGCTCCCAAAAAGAAAAGACGGTTGGTCCCCCGTTTTTCTTTTTTTTTTCTCCGAGGCCCGGACTGAGTGATCCTGGCTGAGATATCTGAGTGGATGAAATGAGACCTACCACTAAACCAACAAAAAATAACTACCTGGAGTCTCCCGAATTGGACCCGAAACAAACATGGCTCACCCAAAATCATGGCAAGGGCCATGGTTCCCCATGTTCCTGGAGTCTCCCGCATTGGACCCCTAAAAAATGGTGGTGGTCAGACTCCCCAAAACCAACGGGGGTGGACCCATTTTGCTTTCGGCTCACGGTTCTCCCCATGTCCACTTCGGGCTCCCAAGTCGGGCGGGCGGAGAGGCCTAAGGGCCTGGATGCAAAAGGGAGCCCAAGCCCCGCTGAAGGCCCAAAGAAACTTCTTGGCTGGAAGAGGGCCCCGGCGAAAAATGGTTTGATATTTTTTTCGCCTGGGAAAGGTGGAAAATCAAAAGGACCAATTCCGAAAAAGATTTAAAAAAAAAGGGGGAGCGAACTCTGGGGAAGAAGTTTGGTCATTCGGGACTCGCTGAAATGGGGGGAAAACCACCGGGCGGTCGCCTACATGAGCCATCATAACTCCGAAACATTTCGGAGTAGCAAGGGCCTTGGTTCTTCTTCATAGGAATCAGATTTCATGGCCATTAAGAATCCTTACCTTCTGTTTAATTGAAATCCCCTGGGGAAAAAAAAGACCTCCGGCAGTGATAGATTCCCTCTAAAAACCAACTGGGGAAAATAACACAATGCTCTTTAAGAAATGGAAGCTATTGCCAGGTGGATGACCAACGTTAACCCCAAGCAAAGGCATCTTTTTGAGACCGAAGCAACGTCATCATCTAGACTCTCTATCGCTGGTGTTTGCTGCGACTCTTGCTGAGAGTCACCTCCGAAATATCCCAGGTTTTGCGTCGTTGCATCTCGCCTGTAAACTTAAGTAAAACCCCAACTCTCCGGCTCTTCCCTCTTCAGGACGCGTTGTTTCGCCTCAGATTTGTACCGTCCGCGGCTAGCTCAACTGCTCTGGGCGGCTTTCTCAGCCGTCTCTTGGATTTCCCCAGGTCGCAACAGACCCAGATTCAAGAATAGCAGCAGAAGCAGCATTAGATGCTTGAATGTGCTGGACGCTCCTCAGCTGCTCTTGCGCCTGGCTGCTGTCTCCGCCCAGCAGAAGCACGATAAGTTGCTTGGATGTTGTGGACATTCCTCAGCTGCTCGTGCACGTGGCTGCTGTCTCCGCCGTATTCTGCATCACCCCAGGTCACAACAGCCCCAGATTCAAGAATAGCGGCAAAAGCACCATGAAAAAAATTGCCAGTTGCTTGGATGTGATGGACGTTCCTCAGCTGCGCCTGCACCTGACTGCTGTCTGCGCCAAAGCGAGAACGACCCCAGGTCACAACAGCCCCAGATTCAAGAATAGCAGCAAAAGCACCATTGGCTTGGATGTGCTGAACGTTTCTTAGTTGCTCTTGCACCTGGCTGTTGTTTACGACAGAGTGTGTACGGCCCCAGGTTACAACAGCCCCAGATTCGAGAATGGCAGCAAAAGACCTGCAGTTGCTTGGATGTGCCGAACGTTTCTGAGCTGGTCCTGAACCTGGCTGCTGTCTCCCCCAAAATCTGGAGCGCCCCAGGTCACAACAGCCCCAGATTCAAGAATAGCAGCAAAAGCACCACCAAGATCAGCATCACATGACTGGATGTGCTGGACCTTCCTCAGCTGCTCTTGCACCTTGCTGCTTTGTCCGCCGCATCTCGGATTACCCCAGGTCACGACAGCCCCAGATTCAAGAATGGCAGCAAAAGCACCGTCAGTTGCTTGGATGCGCTGGACGTTCCTCAGCTGCGCTTGCACCCCGCTGCTGTCTCCACCGCATCCTGGATGACCCCAAGTCACGACAGCCCCAGATTCAAGAATCGCTGCAAAAGCAGTGCCAGTTGCTTGGATGAACTGGACGTTCCTCAGCTGCTCTTGCTCATGGCTGCTGTCTCCTCCGTGCTCTGGATGACCCCATGTCACAACAGCCCCAGATTCAACAATGGCGGCAAAAGCAGCATTAGATGCTTGAATGTGCTGGACGTTCCTCAGCTGCTCTTGCACCTTGGTGCTGTCTCCGCCACGTGCTGGATCACCCCAGGTCACAACAGCCCCAGAGCCAAGAATGGCTGCAAAAGCATATTTAGTTCCTTGGATGTGCTGGACATTCCTCAGCTGCTCTTGCACCTGGCTGCTGTCTCCGCCGCATTCTGCATCACCCCAGGTCACAACAGCCCCAGAATCAAGAATGGCAGCAAAGGCAAAATCAGTTGCTTGGATGTGCCGGACATTCCTCAGCTGCTCTTGCACCTGGCTGCTGTCCCCGCCGTATTCTGGATCACCCCAGGTCACAACCTCGTCTCCGAAGCAATGCCAAGCAAACGCCCTGTAAGTGGCAGCCAGTTGGCCCAGCTGCACAACCGCGGCCACCACGTCCCCATCTCTCAACCCGGCTTCGCTCATTGTGGCCGTCAAGTCGAGCTGCTGGCCTTTCGCAGTGAGCTTCAGCATGCGCTGGAAACGCTGCTGCGCTGCAGCCTTCAGCTCGCTGATGAGTGTCGCCGGTGACACTTCTATGGAGTAACCATCTCCACTGGGCAAAAGAACATCCACCTTCATGGCGCAGGAAGGTTCTTCGTGCATTCAAGTTGTCACACAGCATCCTGAGACACAAGAATTCCCACCCATGTCACCCTTTCAAGGGAATCCCAAGCGAGGATTTAAATATGCTCGCATCCTGGGACACAGACTTTCTCTGATCTCGCTTCTGGATTCTCCCAGTCGAAAAAATGAAGAACAATAAGCTCAGGCGATATCCGCAACAGCACCACACCCTCCCAGACCCAGGACCCACCTCACCGCCGGTGTTGCTGAGGATGCCGCCTTGTAACTTTATAAAGCAAAGCTAAGAGTAACAGCGCAATCGCGCCCTGCTGATCGGGGCCTGACGGCGCAATCGGGGCCCGATCGGGGCTCGACGGCCCGATTAGGGCTCGACGGTGCAATCGGGGCGGTACAATCGGGGCCCGATTGGGGCCCGATGGTCCTGTGGCGCAACCTCAGCCATATAGCTCAACGCCGGTTTTCCTTAGGATGCGGCCTTACATCTAGCAAAACTAGGCGATGCCAGCTTGGTACAGTTGACGGGGGCCGACTGAGTCGGGCCCCGATCGGGGTGCGATGGCGCAATATCGGGGCCGATCAGGCCCCGACGGTGCAATCGGGCCCCGACAGTGCAATCGGCCCCCGACCTGGGCCCGGTGAACCTCACAAACCGTCCTCGTGGAACCCTCGTGGAACTCAGCGTGAAACTTTGTTGGAACCATAGCTTTTGCAGAACCTGGTGGAAACCTCGTGGAGCATTTTTGGAACCTTACCCCATAGCCCCAAGTAATACTCAGCAATGCCAAGCATTTACTCTGCTGCACCGTGAGTCCCGCAGAAACGTGATCTGATTTGTCACAAAGCCAACATTTCGGGCCGCGTTGCCTGAGCAAGTGAGCAAGTGAACGTGTGCTAAAAACCATTGATTTCGGTTTTGCTTAGCGTTTCGCCCATGAGCAAAGCGATCTTCTGAGCCCTCAAACATCCGATGGCTTTTCAGAACATTTCTGGAACGCTTGTGGAACCTTGTGGAACCTTGTGGAACCTTGTGGAATCCTTGCGGAATTCTGTGGAACTTTGTGAAACCTGAGGGGACCATCCTACAGCCCTCGCAGAATGTCGTGGAACCCTGAAACCCTTCATGGAGCCTTACCCCAAACCACCCCGGACCACTTCGCAAAAGGAACCCTGATGGAACGCTCGTGGAACCTTACCTCAACCACGGACCACCCCGCAGCCCTCGCCAAACCTGGTGGAACCCTGGTGGAACCCTTGTGGAACCTTCCTCAAACCACCCCGGACCACCCCGCAGCCCTTGAAGAAATTGGTGCAACCCTGGAGGAACCCTGTTGGAACTCTGGTGGAACCCTCGTGGAACCTTCCTCAAACCACCCCAGACCACCCCGCAGCCCTCGAAGAAATTGGTGGAACCCTGGTGGAACCCTGGTAGAACCCTGGTGGAACCCTCGTGGAACCTTACCTCAAGGCCGGACCACCCCGGAGCCTATCTGGGCTGAGACCCGAAAGCTTTTAGCTGTTGGGGAACAAGAAAAAAACAACACTTTCTGACGTGTTCTCAAGTGGAATCAACGGCTTGGCGAACGAACTGCGGGAGGGTGGGAGTTGGGGATCCAACGAAGGCATGGTTCACTTCGAATCGGGTCATTCACTCATTCCCTGACACCAGCAATGCGAAGAAGCCCGAGATAGCGCTTTGTTGGCAAGTTTCAACTGTACCTATATATGGGTGTGTCGTTTTCTAGGAGACCCCCCCCCCAAAAAAACAATGCGGCTTTCCTCAATTGTTTGAAAACCACGAGTGTGTGAAAAACCATTCTTGGCCCACATCTGAACATATACTGAAGAAAACACTTCTGATTCTGTCAAGGATATTTTAATTGAAGCCTTTTTTAGCGCTCGAAAGGCTGAGAAGACACGGCTAGAAGCTGAGAAGCTGCGTTGGTATTCGAGTAGGGGGTAGTCTCTATACGCAGGTGGTTTGAACTAGCAATGGCTTGGCTCTGGAAGGCTCAACTCAAACACGAAGAGATTCCGCGCACCTTTCGCATACCACAACCTGACAGAATTCCCAGCAGCCATTCTGACAAATTGGTGGTACCGACCCCTTCTGGCATACCCCGTAAACCCAATACCTTCATTTTCTAATATATCATGTCAACCCTCTACTGAAGAAGGGATCTGTATTTACCCTAAAAAGCCGCTCAGGTTTTCCCGAAAAAATACCTAAACAAAGAGGACATTTGGAGTAGGGGCTACACCAAAGGCAAACCCAACTGCCCCCCTATTGCAGGCCTTCGAACATGGGCTATTGCAGGCCCTGAGTGGTGTCAGAGTCGGGATTCTCCGGGAGAAACGGGTTGCGCCAACGTTTCAGCCGCTGGCACCATACCCTCGCGTTCGGATGGGCACCAAGGTCCTGGAGAAAAGGTGATCAAACAAATTGGGCCCATGGGAAACATGAGAAACTCCCTGGAAAACCCATGACTTTTTGGTTTATCCATACGGCTTGGGCCACACAAAAAATTCGCCATACGGTCATTTGCGGTGTGTGGTCAACAATTTGTGAAATCAATTCCCCTTACCAACAGGGGAAACGAAAAACATACCTGGAGTCTCCCTAAGAACCCTTTAAAAAAGGTTGGTCATTACCCAAAATAATGGTTGGTCATGAACCCATGTTTATTTCGGGTCATGGAAAGTCCAGGCACATCTCTAAATCTAAAAGGGTTCCTTTCCGATGCACTCATGATTGTCCTCAAGCGATCGGAACCCGTTTGTCGTTCAGTAACTCAACTTCTCTGTCTACTGAGGCTCGGGCACCGTACTTGCTGATGACATTCCTTGCGGCAACACGCCAAGAACGCGGGCGGCGGCTGTGAAGAGTGGAGCCCAGAAACATCGCATCCAACCCCAGCCCAAGTCTTCTGCAGCCCAGAAACACAACCAACACGTAGTAACAATATTGACGACACTTCCTGTTCACTAGCAAATCGCATTCCCAATACCTTCATTTTCTATAATATCATGTCAACCCTCTACTGAAAAAGGGATCGGTATTTACCCGGGAAAACCGCTCGGATTCTCCCGAATAAATACCTAAACAAAGAGGACATTTGGAGTAGGGGCTACACCAAAGGCAAACCCAACTGCCCCCCTATTGCAGGCCTTCGAACATGGCCAATTGCAGGGTTTGAGTGGTGTCAGAGTCGGGATTCTCTTGCATGAGAGGGCTTTCAGACCGAGGACCTACCTGGAGTCTCCAACTACGGACCCGCTTTAAAAATGGGAAGGGTCAGACTACCCAAAAGAATGGTTGGTCATGGTTCCCCATTCTTATTTCGGGCCAATGAGGGAGACTCGTAGAAATATGGAGCGATTGCACCCCAAGGACCTGGAGAAAGGTGATCAACTTGGCCCAAAAGTTGTGTTTTTCTCGCTTCTCTCAGTTGTTCAGTGACCCTGGAAAAAGAAAAGAATTGGAACCCTTTTTGGGGCTTGGGCCATTTTCAGTGGGGCAGCCATCCAAAAAAAAGTGGAAAAAGGGTGCCACTGAACAACTGAGTCATTTCAAGCCTCCGGGTTTGGACGTTGGTCATTCTGCATGACGTCTACAAAAAATGGGGCTCATGGAAATGGAATGCCCCCTTTTCGGACTCATGGAGAGTACTGTGGAGTAGCAGTATTTGTCCTTAGGGGCCACTTTAACAGGCAGTGAGGTCGTCTCAAATACGAATTGGAACCTTCCGAAGTGGTTGATGTCCTGTTATTTAAGCCACCTGGACCCCCAAAGGACCCCTTTTGCTGCCTTCTACCACTTGCTTATGGGTCAAAGGCAGAAAAAGGGGTCCAGATAAAAAAAAAAGCAGGCAAAACTAGGGTGAACAAATTGGAGCCACACCTGAGGAAGGAAAAGGGGACCGTCTCCTTCTGATCCTTGACAGGGTGGAACGGTTTCATGTAATGTCAGGAGACGATTAGTAAACCCCCCCCGATTAAAGGTTCCCCCTTTTCCCCCCCCAGATTCTCACCAATACTAAAGTAAAGTTCCAACAAGGTTTCCCCAAAAAACCATACCCAATTATTTGTAGGCCCTCCCCAAAACCCACCTGATTAAAGGTATACCTCTGCAGCCCCCAAGCCAACAAAAACCTGCCAGAAAAGGTGCTTTCCTTCTTGCTTAGTATTTGCTTCGTCTGTGCTTAAACCCACCAATACTAAGTCACTATTGAACCCCTCAAGTTTTTCCCAAAAATGTGCTTCCCCCGAAATGCATTTTTCTTTATTAAAATTTGTTTAAAATGACAAGGTTTTCAAGCTCACAAAGGGGACCCCCCTTGAAAGCCAGTCCCCCTCATTAACAGGAACCCCCCCGCGATAAATCAGGGCCCTTTTGGGCTCAAAACCAAAAAATGTGCTGTTGCCTTTTAAAGTCCTACTGCCCCGAAGGGACCAGAAGTAAGAGGACGAGGACCGAAGGGGCTCCAGAGTAATCAGGGGGGTCCTCCCAAAAATCTCAATTTTTGGGACTTGTCCAAACCTTGTCGACCTTGAAGGGGGGGGGAGGGGGGGGTTTTGCTAATCAGTTGTCACCATTATCTTGGCTGGAATTAGGACCCCAGCAAATTGTATATTTGCCTGGTGAGTGGAAAACAAAGTTGACACCCCAAAAAAGCGAGCAACAATCAAAAAGGGAAACTCATTCTGGGAAAGTTGGGTATGGCTGCATGGTTCCCGAAAGAACGACTAATTTGGTAAGTGGAAACATGGACCAGAACCTGTGGTCCCCTGGTCTTTAAATTTGACCCATACCCATGTATGGAATCACCATGTTATCCATCGCCTTCCGATCCCCCCTTTTTCGGGGGCCCGCCCCCCCCAAATCCCAATAGCTCTCTCGCGCCCAGTGCCTAAGATCTACCTCAAAGGACTTCGAAATCAAAGATTAAGCTTTTGGCCCCTTACATACATATATATATATATATATGTATGCTGCATACTTCTGGCAGTGATCGTTCCCGTTCAGACCAACAGGGGGAAATAAAACACCTTCGCAAACGCAAATCGGTTTGGTGGCTCGCCTTTAAAACCAACCAAGGGGTCCTCCCTTGCAAAAAAAAGGCACACCCACTCCAAGCCACACAAATTCTTTCCCCACCCCAACTACCCAATTTGTTGTTTGTATAATGTCAACCCTTGACTAAACACATGGATCGGTATTCACAGTGGAAAACAATACCTGGAGTCTCCATGACCCTTTAAAAATGGGTCCATGACCTCATTATTTTGGGAAATGACCAACCATTTTTAAAGGGTCCTTAGGGAGACTCCAGGTACAAAGGCGGTTGGAAACCAGCAGTTGGAAAAGCCACTTGGAGACTTCTTCAGAGCCAAACCCGTTTCACGTGTCCTGGGCTGTCCTTTTTCAGATCCCCCGCTAAAAGTGGCTAAAAGTTAAACATCTAAAAAGCTAAGTTGAACCACCTGGAGTCTCCATGACCCTTTTAGAATGGGTCCAGGACCCCATTGACCAACCATTTTTGAGGGGTCAGAAGGAGACTCTAGGCAATTCCCCAATTTCAAGTTGAACCGGACGGCTGTTTGAGCTGCCACCGTCTGATGGAAGAGGTCGAGGGAAAATGGTGGGTGCTTGTTTTTTTCCTTTAAACCAAGAAGGGTACCCTCAAAAGACAGGCGCGCCTCAATCTTCATAATTATTACGGTAGTAATCCACCTGGTGGCTCCTAATCCGTGAGCTAAAAAGCTGAAAAAGCCGCCAAAACAAAGCTGGTTCTTTGGTTCTGACCCGCCGTTTTCCAGGTTTTGGAAGCCTAAGCTGCCATTTGCGGCTTTTAAGCCCCCTGGAAATAATGAGAACATATTCCAGTAGTGAAATCGATTCCCTTTTAAAACCAACAAGGGGGAAAAACAAACTTCATGATTAGAGTTAGGCCCAGTTGTAGAATGTAGATTTTATTGTTTGCTTCAATTTGAGTCACTGCTAAAATGTAAAATGTATCCTAAGTCTACCCAGCCTGAAATAAGGTGGTGGGGCCTAGTATTTTTGGAAACCACCTTGGTTTCCATGGTACATACCAATCCCTTTTGTAGTAGAGGGTCGACAAATCATGCCAACTAGAAAAAGGCCTCGGGTATTTTCAGCCCAACAAGCCCCATGAGCCCGGAATCGGACTTGCTCCGCTTCGCAGCGCGCTTCGCGCCCAGCTCTCGCTGCTCCGTTTTTCCGGGGCGCGCGCTCGTAGCGCCAGAGCTCCGACAAGGCGATGACGGTGATGATCTGCAGCCAGCCGATGATGGGCACCTCGACTTTCGACGTTCGACTTTTCGGGGCTTCCTGGCTTGGAACCCGAGCCCGGGTCCTTACCCCACGGGGATATAGGAAACTGCCTGGACCCCCAAAAGACCGATCCCTTTTTATGGCCCAAAAGACCCAGAAAAAAGCGGCACAAAGCCAGAAAAAAGGAGTCTTTTGGGGGTCCAGGTGCAATTCTAGGGAAAATAAGTCACAATGTGATGATGGGCACCTCCTTGCGTTCGACTTCGGGTGGGGGGCTTTGGGGCTTTCGGTCGAGAGGGACGGGTGTCCGTAGAAGGCCGTCTAAGGAAACCTGGACAAACATATAAGGAAACTACCCTTCCACCCAATACCCTCTTTTTTAGGGTATCATGTCGACCCTCTACTAAAAAAGGGATTATTTACCTTGAACAACCGAAACCTGTTTTCCCCAAAAGACACCAACTAGAAAAAGGCGATCGAATCGGTATTTGGAGGTTACGGGATGGTTGAAACCCCAAGGAACCCGGAAGGAACCCCGAAAAAACTCAGGAAGCCAAAGAGAACCCAAAGGACACTTGGGGAAATAAAGGCAACCCTTAAACACCCTAAAGCCAAAGGGACGCCTAGCACACCTTAGGGCAAATATAGGGAACCCTAGAGAACAGGAAGCTAAAGGGAACCCGAAGAAACCTCAGGGAAAACATAGGGAAATCCGGGAAACCTAAAACACCACGAAGGAAGCCAGAGGGAACCCCAAGGAAAAATGTAGGGGGAAAAAGTCGGAAACCCTAAAATGGGCCTAAGCCAAAGGGACATAGGGAACATGTAGGAAACACCAAAAAAAGTTGGAACCCCCCCCCATTTGCGAAGAGGGGCTCTCAACTACCCACCCTACTCTTGGGGCTTCCATAAACCGAGGGGAGCTCCGTCTGTGGCTCTGGCCGGACTTGTTGGTCAAACGGAAGTAGGATACCACGGGAGCACAGCGGGAATCCTCCATAGCTAAACCCGACTACTCCAAATACCCTCGTGGTTGCAGGTATTTTCTTGGACACCTTTCTTTTCAGAGTAAGTACCATCTTTTCTAGTAGAGCATCGACGTCATACCCTTTGGGGTAATCATAATAAGGGGACTACCCAATTCCCCCACCTATGTCCCTGGCTGAACATCCGGGTTCGATTGCAAGGATTTGAACCTCTTTAGGCCCTTCTGTGTCAAGATTCTTGGGGTAGGGTGAGAGTAATTAGTTGGCACAATTCCAATCCGCAAGAGCATGATAGCACATGCTGGGCGTCCAACTCCTCGTTTCCTGGTTGCAAACTGCACATCGCTGTATTGGTTGGGTGTGCCAATTAACTAATTCTGTCCAAACCCGTCCGCTGCTACGAGTGTTTGACTTTGGGTTAAATGGAAGCCCCCCCCCCCCCCCCGCTCAAGGGTGGGGGATGGCTCTTGAATCCTTGACAGCTGGAGAGCGAACAGAAGCCAAACAAAAAAAACACGAAACCAACCTCCAACCTTCTGCACCAACTGAAAACTACCTGGAGTCTCCAACTCTGACCCTTAATAAGAATGGGTCCATGACCAACCATGATTTTAGAAGAAATGACCCCCTTTTTTAAGGGTCATGGGGACTCCAGGTGAAAACAACTGAAAACCTCTCTGGGTTTCGGATTCGCTCGCGAATTGAGATGGAGACTGCTTCAATGGCACAGGTGTGGAACCAAGTGGTATTCCAAATAGTTCTTGACTCACCGATCGAGTGGATGGGCCAGAAAACAGTCCACGAACCCTTTTATTTACCACTAAAGTGGTCCAAACCCCAAAAGTGACTCAAGTTCGAAACGGAACTCGGGAAGTGAGTTGTTACCAGGTCAACCCCCACTAAACTAGAAGGTATTCAACATGGCAAGCAATCGGCTTCTGCCAAAACATACCAACTAAAACAAAAACAGGTGCAATGTTTGGAGATGTTTGCAGTACCCCCTACTTCAACTACCCACTTTGTCTAGGGCATTTTTGGGAATCCTGGGTGTCCATGGCAAATACCTCCTTTTTAGTAGAGCGTCGACATCATACCCTAAAAAACGATGGTATATATTTGCAGTAGGGCGTAGGCGATCAACCACTTCACCAGTCGGGCATCGGTCCACGTCACTCGGGCAGTTGAAACCCGCCGCGGAATTTTTGAAAATAAGCCGTGACTTGATCCTTGGAGATGGAAGCGAAGTAAAGTGGTCGGATGTCCCAAACCAGGTTTTCCAGTAGAGAGGTTCGAAGGAGGGCACCCGATATTTTTCTGTCGTCTATTTTAATACGGGAACCCTCCCCCAAAAAAGGGTAAAAAGGGCACTGGGGGACCTAGGAAATATTGCAAGTACCCCTTACACCCAATACTCGTTTCTTTTTAGGGTAAGATGTGGATTCTACCAACAAAAAAGAAAAGTAATATCTATCATGGACACCCAGATTTTCAAACAATACCGACTACAAAAAAGGCGGGCCTGTGGAGGTTGCGGGGATAAGGGAACAAGGAACCCCACATCGCTTGAGGGCTCTGAGTGCTCACAGCTCAAGGCGTTTTACGGCCAGACCCTGTGGCTCAAAGCTATCCCGAATCAAAGAAGCAAAAGGTCAATCGCCTTTAGGCACTACCCAGAGGCTCCAATTCGATGCTTGTTGGGCCCTCAAACAGCCAGGTTTTGCGAACTGTCTAATGGAGGGGTCGGGTCTTCCATTGAAAGCCCCAGGAGCCTCTGGGTAGGAGAAAACACGGGACTTGTTTCTAGGTCCGTTTGGGGAACGATTGCCACTCATAATCCGTTCAATGCTGTTCACTGTCCAATCCTTCGTATGGTAGCACAAAAGGCTCTTCTTTTGGCAGCTCCCTACAAAGAAAAAGCAAAAACAAAAGAAACCAGCTAAGAACACGCCAGCAACAATGAAGTCAAGCACCTACTTTCTGGGACTTTCGCACCAAAGACCAGCGATTGGTTCGTTAAGACTTGTAAGGAATTGGGCCCAAACAAAAGGCACCTGAAACAAACACGGACCAAAACTATACAAAACTTCTAGGCCAGCCACTATGGTGGGTACCTATTACCTATCGTTGCCACTGGAACAGGGCTACAAAATCCAGCCCTTTGGTCTGGTCATCTTTTGCCCAGCCCACCCGTGGGACAAAAGGCACCTTTTGGTTGATTGATTACAAATGGAAAATGAGTCCATTTGTAAAAAAGGCGGGATCCGTGTCAACATGTTTTTTTTCGCCTAGAAAAAGAAACCAGAAACCATGTTCAGCAGTGATAGTTCCCCTGTTAAAACCTGAAAGCTTGGCTGGAATTAGGACCCCAGCAAAAAATGAGATTTTGTTTCCCTGGAAAATGTGGAAAACAAAGGGACCCCCAAAAAGCAAAACAACAAAAAGGGGAGCTAACTCTGGGGAAGAAAGGACGTGTTGTTCAGCTTTCTTTGTACAAAACAATACTCAGGTTTTCGCAAATGGCGAACACATGTGCCCACACGTGGAACCTAACTCATTCCGAGTTGCTTCTCTTGTTTTGTTATTGAAAGAAAACAAACAACACAAACAGTGTGTGTATATATATATATATATATATCATTATCTTTGTTACTACTATTATTACTATTAACTATTACTATTATTACTATTACTATTACTACTATTATATGTATATATATATATACTATACTATGCATATGTGACATGATCGGATTTCCGCTGGAAGAAATTTAGGACCGCGTAAGGATCCCTTTTCGGAACCCTCCGCGCCTGGGTGGCCGCCTTGAGAGGATCCGCGGAGTCTGTGGGGTAGCGGGTGATGAAGGGCTCCCACCTCGAATCGGAAAAACGGCGCAAAGCCGACTCGGTCGACACGCAAAACCCCAAGACAAACCTGGTGAGTACGCCTGGTAACCCAGTGAAAGAGACTTATAACTATGGTAATTGGGTTACAACCACGGGATATGCATCACTTCCTGCATCGATTACGTGTTTTGTTCTACCTTTGGACTTTGGACCACTTTCTTATTGTTTTTTTGGGGGGGTCAAAGATGGTCAAAGGTAGAACGGGTCCAGTGGGGGATCAGGTGAATTCAAACTGTTGGCCATGAGGGTTGGAAGCTGCAACCCATTCGCTTTTGGAACCGAACGCCGCGTTTCGTTTTGCTCTCCCGCGTGGATGGTCCAAGAAAAGTCTGAACTGTTTATTTGCGGCTAGAATGGTCTTCCCAAAAATATGACGTCCAGGAACTCGGGGAATCGAGTTTGCCGAGTCAACGAACGTGTGGTTGAAAAGAAGACAAACATCACATGTGGCCATAAAAGGAATTCCCTGGAGTCTCCATGACCCTTTAAAAATTGTTGGTCATTACCCCAAAACAATGGTTGGTCATGGACCCGTTTTTTTTTCCCCTTTTTTTCTTCGGGGCAGAGGGAGACTCCAGGTCCATAGATTCCATTCCGGTCACCTGCCTGCCCATTGGTTTCCTTCGAGCCACTGAGCCGCGGCGTCTTGCCGACTGAACGTCTGGTCGGCGCTTTGCCCATGTTCCACTGGGATCCGGGTGCATGAAAAACACCTGAACATTGCAACTTGTAAATGGTGTTGTGTCCATTTCTTGATTTGGGTGTTGAAAAAGCCAGCCATGTTTCAATTGGTGGCAAGATGAACTTCTGTTAAGGAGCCCTGTTCCATCCATCCTGCCCTCCACGAAAAGATGGAAGCTGAATGGGGCCCTAGAAACTCAGACGCCGAAAAGATACTAAAATCAGGGCGAAAACGCGTGCTGTTGGCGGAAGCTGGGAGACCACCACAAAGCCCCAATTCATCCCATATAACTAGGGGTAACTTTTTCATTCTTTCCAGTGATCCTTCTTTCCAGAAAACCCAAAAACACAGCAGAAACGGCTGGTTTTTTGAAAAGAACGATGCCTGAAAAGAATGGGGAATCAACCCCTAGAATATAACCCACTCAGACTCGCCCAGTGGATTTCCATGGGAAAAAAGGATGCATCATGTTTTGGTTGGTCGAGTTTGAAGGGGAACCCTTCCCCCCAAAGAAAAAAGTGAAAAGGGCAAAATCCACTGGTGGCAACTGGTTGCAAAATCCACTTCTGGAACCCAGTGCACCTTGCTCGACAGCACAATCCTTGGGCGCTTTGAGGCGGGTTGCCGATTCGACGGGGGCTCCAACAGACTTCCGGGGTTGCCTTCACAGCAGGATGCCCAGATGCAGGGATCCGGACGCATGAAAAACACCGATCGAACATTGCAACTTGTAAAATGGTGTTGTGTCCATTTCTTTATTGTGGTGTTGAAAAAGCCAGCCATGTTTCAAATCGGTGCAAAATGAGTTTCTTTTAAGGAGCCCAGAATGCACCAACTGCCAACATTGCTTTTGCCCGTGTCCGAAGCCCAAGTTGGCAGCCCAAGTACTGTAACCAAAAAGCAGAGTTGTTCGTTCGGGGGGGTGCTGGTACCAGATGTGTTTCTCACATTCAAGTACCGGAAGCTTTGAACCAGGCATGTTTTCGTGATAGAAGCGCATGTTTGAAAGTTTCGCGACTCTCCGAAGCAATCGACCTGAGAGGCGTCAGATGCCCAAGTGACCATGAGAAAAAAGGCCGTCCTTGTTTTTGTTGGCTGACTTCAAAGGAATTGGAACCCTTCCCGAAAAAAGTCAGAACAAAAAGGGGGCGGAATCCACTTCAAAGGGGAACCCTTCCCCCAAAAAACAACGAAAAACCACTGGTTGCAACTGGGATTCGGTATCCCCCGTTCCCCTCATAGCCCAAAGAAAACTCAGCGCGACTCAGCCCGCCGACGCGACTCGCTTCCGCTGAGGCTCCGACTTGGCCCCGGAGGTTTGCACCGTGTAGCCAAGGACCTGAGAAGGGACACGGCAAGGCAGGGCGTCCGATCGAGTTTGGAGTGCCCAAAAAAAGGAACCAAGCGGGTTCCCCTCAAGCAACAGGGATCCTTACAGTATACACCTGAACATTGCAACTTGTAAATGGTGGTTTCCCTTTATTTTGGTGTTGAAAAAGCAACATGTTTCACATGGGTGCAAAATGAATTTATTTTAAGGAGCCCTGAGCAAGTCAGAGCCAACCACATCGACACCAAGAGCTTCGATGTGCGGACAAGACCCTGCGCGGACTCCGAGATTTGGTTTCTGGGCGGTGCATTTTGAATCAGATCCGCCCCTAAACTAGGTCCTCCAGTTTTGGAGGTTACAATTTGGGTACCTTAACTTTTTCCTGCAGTCTATTTTAGCAGGGGAACCCTCCCCCCAAAAAGGCTAATCACATGGAGTCTCCCGAATTGGACCCTTTAAAAATGGTTGGTCACGACCAACCATTATCATGACCAACCATTATTTTGGGTAATGACCCCATTTTCAATCGGTCAGAAGGAGGCTCCAGGCAAACGGTTTGTTTACCGCACAAATGGCGAAACCAAACCCCAAAAGTTCTAAAAGACCGAAACGGAACTCAGGGAGTGAGCTACGGAGTCTTGTGTACCATAGGAATCTTGGCCTCTTCTGACTTCTAAAAAATCGGGAAATGACCCTTGCCATTATTTTGGGTAATGACCCCCATTTCAAAGGGTCCAATTCGGGAGACTGCAGGTTGTTCTTTACCCAAGCGACGAAAGTTCGAGTCCCGGAAATTGGAACTTGGTGAAATGACCCAGAGCTTCCTCGGCCGTAACTTCGGCCTTTTGTCAACGGCCGACACGTCACCCCGTAAAATGGCAACCTAAAAAACCAACCCGTGTTTAAACGGCCTCCGTAACTCAGGCCTTTGGACTCCCTGGGGAATATACTTTATTTTCCACTGTTGGTTTTGAAGGGAATCGATTTCACAACTGGAAATGTTTTTTTAATTTTTTCCAGGGGCGCAAAAGCAAATGGAGGTGAGAAGTGCCTGGCTTGTGTTTTACCCCTCTCGCTAGCATCCCACCTCCCCACCCACCCCCCGCCCATTTGCTTTTTCGCCCCCTGAAAAACCACAAAGCACGTCCAGCGGAAATAGATTCCGTTCGAGAGGGCAAACTCAGAAATATTCTGAAACGCAAATAAGATACCTGGAGTCTCCACGACCCTCAAAAATGGGTCCATGACCAACCATTTTTTGGGGTAGTCTGACCAACCATTTTTTAAGGGGCAAAAGAAGAAATGGGATCCCTGTTGAGTTTCCTTGTGGCTTCACTTTACGATCCCAACTTGGCCAGACTTACTATTAAACCTTCTGCTGGTTGAAGAGCTTCCCCCACTGACCCCCAGACCACACCCCAAAAAATAGATAGGACAGTTAAGCCGTTTTGAAGGCTTATACCCACCCCACTACTCTGATTTGTGGCCTATCCTTAACTGGCCTGTCCAAGCTGATCCCCCAAAAAAGTAATAACTTGTGGCTCAACCTTAAGCCTTTCACCGATGAACAAACAACAACAAAAACAATGATCGACCAACCAAAAACAACAAGAAACCAAATGATTGAAACCTACTTTCACAAAAAACGATCCCCGAAGAAAGTGAGCAACAAAAATGATTGAAACTTTTCCAAAGAACCGCAGTTGTGAACCGGACGACTCCCTGAAACGACTCGACTCCCTGGCCAGCGTTCGCCGTGGCTCCCGGCAGCCAACATGCACACGCGGCCGTGGGCGAGCTCCGCCTCACGATACCTGGAGCACCGGTTTACTCGACCCCTGGGGTATGGGTTCCATGGGGGTGGGACCTGAGAGAACGAACAACTCAAAAACAGGTAACCACCTGGAGCTCCCTAAGGACCCTTCAAAAAAACATGGGTCCATGACCAACCATTATTTTGGGTGATAACCAACCATTTTTTAAGGATCATGGAGACTTCAGGAATAAGCCAATCTCGCTAACCATAATTTTGGGGCTGTAACCTATTTTAGGGGAATTAGAGAGAATTCACCCACCACTAGTTTGGCTTGCTAGAACCCTTTTTTTAGCTGGCATCTTGAGGGTTCGGGTTGATCAAAAGGTCCGTGCTACATGGGATGGAAAACCATTGGTTGGAAAAGAAGAAAACAAAGTGATAGTTCAACCACAACATGGGAAAAGTTGCCCATGGTCGTTTGGGGGCCAGGAATATTGATCCACGAAAGCATGGGGCTCCTGTCGTTTCTAGTTGGAAACCCTTTTTGGGTGGAGATGGTTTCCACTATCCCCAGAATGGGATATAAAGCCACGGAAATGGCCAGGTTTTGAGAGGAGCCACTTCCAGGACTTGCTGGGATACAGAGCCATATGGCTAAAGGGTATCTCCCCAATTTGTGCTGGAGGTGGCTTGGAGGTAGTGCACACCATCTGGGCTTTGCAACTAAAAAGAGCACGATATATAGGCCGTACCAAACTCCCTATGAAACCAGGCAGAACCACCATGAACACAGCAATTGAGCTCCACAATACCCGTTGAGCGGCGCTACGCTGCAACCCAGTTACGCCTCCTTTGCAGGCGCAGGTTTGCCAGCGCGGGGGGCGGGGAGGGGAGGGAGGGGCCTCATGACCACCCCCCCGCAATTGCAATGCAAGTGGTGCTAAACCCCTCCACCTATACTTCCTTGGCCGTACTAGAACCCCCTAAGGTGGTAGAACCACCTTGCTCAACTGAAGTCTCATGAGCCCAGTGGAGTTGATAGGGGAAAAGTGCATCCCTTTCACAGACAACAAAAACATGGGTGGGATCCACTGGGCAACGTGAACAGTGAAACGACGGCCTGGGAAAAGCAGAAGAAGAAGATGCGCCGGTCCAACTCACCGGCTTCTGTCCTAGGTCCTCCAGTAGAGAGGTTGCAATTAGGGTACTCTTGTTTCTGTAGTCTATTTTAGTAGGGGAACCCTCCCCCAAAACAGTTGTTAAAAGGCCACCTAGCTTTTCGGACCTATAGTTTCCAAAAAGCTAGCATGTCCCTAACCAGGACTTCTGGTAGCTCCTTTAAAGGCTCCAACTCGCAACTCCGAGTCGCGCTATGCGCCTTCCAATCACAAGCTGCTTTAAGGGGCCTTGTACTTAGTAAGTGGATAATAACCATGGGTGTCACTCACTTACCGTGGTCATAAGTCTCCTAAGTGGGTTCTAAGCAGGCTTACTAACCACTTTCTAAGTAGCTTGGCCCTTCAAGTGGGGGGGGGCGGGGGGGGGCTAGTTGCAGCTTCTACTCTTCTGGTTGAGCCTCGCTGGAAGCATCCGGGCAGGTTCTAAGCCAACAGGAGGGTACCAACTAATGGCTCCTTTCACGTTGTCCGCAAGGGATTCTTTATGTGTTTTCTCTTAAAAGGGAAACACACGATGGGTTTTGATTGAAGACACAACAATGGCTGGATTTGAGGGCGCTGCTTGGTGTCCGTCGCCCGTTTCAGGGGGTTTGCCCTCGACCCGGGATCCCATTTTTCGAGTCCCAAAATGTTGGAGTTGTGGGTGGACACAGCCCTGTTGGAAATGACATTGGAACAATTCTTAGGGAAAATGGTCTTGAACATTCCAGTCACCTCTCCCTCACTGTCAATGTCAACTTGTGGTGTTCTCCCCTGGGAGTTCAGAAGTTCAGACCGGTGCGCGTCAGCAAAAAACCCGGACCGGGGCACCAAGGGAGCAAACGCTTGTTCTTCGCCTCGGTTTCGATTCGATTTCCGATTCGCATCGAGTCGAGGAAATGGTTCGGACTGGTGGAACAAACTGGTTCGCTTCGGACCATGGAAATGGCCCGTAGGGTTCAAAGAAGCTGCTTGATGCTGTCTGAAGTGCTCAAAGTTCAACTTTTGGGCTACCTGGAGTCTCCTTCTGACCCTTTAAAAATGGCTGGTCATTACCCAAAATAATGGTTGGTCATGGACCCATTTTTAAAGGGTCATGGAGACTCCAGGTAAATGAACACCTATTCCACAGCCCTAAACCAATTAAAAACAACACGCCTAAGTTGGACCGGATTCGCAAGACCCAAAGCCAGGCAAACCAAACTGCTCCTTTTGACCTTCCAAGGCAATCCCCATGGTCGGACCCTAGGGATGAGAGAGCCGAGTGGCAACTCATCCCATGGGCGCAACAACGCAAATCCAGCTGCACCGGAGGTTTAGTTCTCGGCAAAAGCTGGGATAAGGGGTACCCCTTAACCACCCAAGACCCGCATCTTTTTAGTTGGTATGATTTGTCGACCCTCTACTAAAAAAGCGATCGGTATGTGCCATGGAAACCCGATCGGTTTTTCCAAAAATACCAACTAGAAAAAGTGGGTATTTGGAGTAGGGGGTATGCAAGTGGGGCAAATTGAGGGTCCGTTCACAAGGGCCCAAGGGCCCACTCGATGACTGTCTAATGCCGCGACTGAACCAGTTGGAGCCTTGGCAACCTGGGTTACCCGCTGAACGGGTCCCCCGTGGACTTGACCTCGTCTTTAGTGGGTTACCCGGATGGCTGAAAAACAAACCCAACAGCTGGTTTCGGGCACTCAAGTGTCCCTGGCACCCCCACCTACCTGCTTGGACCCATGCCCCCAACGATTCCATAGTTGAATCTGGGGGTGTCGTCTTTTTCAGAGGACCACCGAATGATACTTCTCCTTTTGGCCTTCCTTAAAACAAAACAAACACAGCATTATTGATTCTTGATTCTTGATCCATGGCCCGCACACTTACCTCAAGAGAGGTTAAGTGAGGGGGTGCAGTGGGCTGCCATTTCTTCATTGATCCTTACATTCTACACCTAAACATTGCCTTGTAAATAAATGGTGGTTTCCCTTTATTTTGGTCGACAGAGCCATGTTTCAAATGGGCAACATGTATCTTTTAAGGAGCCCTGATAAAGTTTGGGTCTTTGGTTACGACCCAAAAAGCTTGACACTGAAAACGGCCCCGAAAGCCACAGGCTCCCCTGAAGGCAGCCAATCGCCCCGAAACAGCCTATGTGTTGTTTGTTTAAAAGCCTAGGTCCTCCAGTAGAGAGGTTAGAATAAGGGTACCAACATTTTCTGTAGTCTATTTTAGTAGGGGAACCCTCCCCCAAAAAGTTGGCAAAAGGGCACTACTGGGGGACCTAGTAGCGCTTGGGTTTGTCTAAACCTCCAAAACACACATGCTTTCATCTTACGTGTTATTGGACTTCAACAAGACCAACTATACTGCGAAGGGTCAAACAAATACTAACTATGCTCACCGAACGGATCACGACTTCAGAGTGCAACCGGAGCCCGAGCAAGCGACAGCCCAAAAACAGCCCAAAGACTCCCGCCCTGGCACCTCCGGAGCCCTCCCTGAAAGCTGCAAACCCCATTTTTCTCTTTGGGGGCCTATCGACCCCAAAGCCTTTACCTGGAGTCTCCCGGCCCCTTCAATGGGTCCACCCCTTGATTGTCCCTGAGTTCGTTGGGGCCTATCGACCCCAAGGCCTTTCTTCAACCATACGCCCTTTATTTTGGGTAACCCCTTTTTAAGGGACAGGGAGACTCCATCTAGCAGAAAACACGACTAGACGCATTTTGGGCAATCTCTATGCTTTGAGGGTCCTTAGCGAGGCAGCGCCCCCATCCTTCCCGCTGTTTTGGGCCACCCCTGTTTTTTTTTTCAGGGTCCTTAGGAAGACTCAAGCGGACGACACGGCGAGCTTCCTGGCCGAGATGCGAAGCCCGCAGGGTCGAAGCCGGCATCGCCCACATAAGGCCCGAAGATGTTGTTGGTGAGATTCTGGCGCGGTGGCGTTTTGGAGGCTCAGTACTCTGGCTCGTGCCTGGACCTTCCGTGTGTATAATGATCTATATATATATATATATCTATATGTGGTTTTGAGGGAACCCGTTTCACCTTGATTTAAAGGAAGCCATAAGGAATACCACCATGATGCGGGATCCCTTTTGACTCATGGCACTTATTTAGCATCTGAAATTCAGGGCATCCTCAGCTGGGGGCATAAGAACCACACCCGCCCGTGCACTAGCATGAAAGCTGACTAGAAAACCGATTTTCTCCCAGCCGAGTCTCTGGCGGGTGAACCATGGAGGGTGAAAGACTTCTACCAACATGTGTTGGCAACTTGTTGCACTCCTACCACTTTGCGGGGTCAAAATGGTGAAACGAGTGGAATAGTCGAACCTACTAAAATGGCCCTGGGGCCCAGTGGTGTTTTTTTGTTTTCCTTGGAGGGAACACGGAGGCTCATCCACGGGTGATACGCATTGGCGGGTCAGAGGCGGTTGCCCCCCCCCCCCCCCCCAGTTTCCCCCACTCCTCGACCACCCTTTGCTACATACATTTATGCTCAACGCTTGTTCCCATGGACACCCCCCAAATTGAGTCAACATTACTGATGGGCGAGATCCCCCATACTGGACATGGCCAAATGGATGTGGGTCTAAAATAGGTACCCAAAATGGAACGCTGGCAAATGGAAACATGGACTAAAACCTACGGTCCACTAGTGGTTTAATTAGAAAAAGGCCGGGGGCGTGGCCAAATGGCCTTGAATTCCTCGCGGAACTTTTATCGTGACTTCCGGGGACGCTGTTGGCTGCTCGGAACCCCTTTGGCCTCCGCCATGCTTCATTAGATTATAGTGCGCCAGTCGGGTGGGTTTTTTTCGGTCGTCTGTTTTAGGGGAACTTTTTCCAAACCAAAAAAGGGGCGGGTAAAAGCGCCCCTAGCTGGGGAGGCGCGTCTCAACCATCACGGTGGACCCGTTTTTTTGGTCGTCGTTGATACCTGGCTAGAACTCCCTGGACTGACCCCAGTCACCTCGCAAGTGGCCTCTAGTTGAGCGAAAGGAGCCCTCGGGTCTCTGAGGGTCTGTGGCTGCCTGTGACCCTCCAAAAGTGGTTGGTCATTACCCAAAACAATGGGGTCATGGTGCCATTTTGAAAGGGTTATGCAGCCTCCAGGTGTCCGTTTTCTGATCCACCAAAAGTCTAACGAACTTTGGGTGAAATTCGGACATCCAACACGAAGATCCAACAAGCTAAGTTAAGAACCGGATGGCGAGCCACCAACCCCCGAGTCATAATTTGAAAACCTATTGTTCACATGGTCAGTCGAAAACCAGAACCAAGCTTCAAGAAGCGAAAAGGCGGGGATCTGCGTCCATTTATGGCAAGGGGATTGTCCCTGACTAATTACCCTCCAACTGAGTTGAGGTAACCATCACTTAAAGGCTGACCATCCGCCTTGAGAAAAGCAGCGTGCATTGGCTTCAGCTTGATATCCCAAGTCTCTTGCCTTACACACGTTGTGAGTCCCTTCGTTGCTTTCGTTCTTTATCATCATTCTTTACTCGCCCAGCCAATTTCCGGAAGGCCTCGGGGCTGTTCTCAAGGAACAGCTTGGGGCTCATTGGGCCTCTGCATACCCCCTGACTCCAAATATCCGCCTCTTTTTTCGGGCATCATGTCGAGTTTGAAATCAAGTTCCACAGAGGGATACATACACCTTACACCCAATACCCACTTTTTGGGGGTATGATTGGTCGACCCTTCTAAAAATAGACATGTTTACCTTGAACAACCAAGTTTTCCCCCAAAAAACCTAGAAAAAGTGGGTGTTTGGAGGCTACAGGGTAGGAGTCATGTGGGCTGAGGCCGTTGCTTCTTGCTCATCAGCTCTATAGTCCTTGGTGTTGTTCAGGGCTGTGGGACATGACCACTTCTGTGATACAACAGAAAGGGCCTTCCAAAGACTACCCCCCCATACAAAGAGAGGATTCCCTTGCAAACCCCTTGATCCCACAACCGTGAATTCGTTGGTGGTCTACCCCGAAAACCCGACCTGACAACAACACGCTTTCCGCCACGCTGTTCACGTGTTGTAACAGCCCCAGATTCAATCTGAGCTGCTCTTGCACAGGGCTTCTTTCTCGCCCAGCTCTTGGATTACCCCAGGTCACAAGCTCCGGCAGTTGCCTTGTGCTGGACATTCCTCAGCTGCTCTTGCACCTCGCTGCTGTCTCCACCGAGTTCTGGCTGTCCCCAGGTCACAACAACCCCAGATTGAAGAATGGCAGCAAAAGCACCGCCTCTTGCTTGGATACTCCGGCCGTTCCTCAACTGGTCTTGCACCTGGCTGCTGTCTCCGCCGCATTCGGGATGACCCCAGGTCACAACAGCCCCGGACTCAAGAATGGCAGCAAACGCTTGCCAATTTGCTCGGATGTGCTGGACGTTCCTCAGCTGCTCTTGCACCTGGCTACTGTCTCCGCCATCTTCTGGCTTGCCCCAGGTCACAACAAACCCAGATTCGAGAATGGCAGCAAAAGCATCACACGTTGCTTGCATGTGCTTGACGTTCCTCAGCTGCTCTTGCACCTGGCTGCTGTCTCCACCGAGTTCTGGCTTGCCCCAGGCCACAACAAACCCAGATTCCAGAATGGCAGCAAAAGCACCGCCAGTTGCTTGGATGTGCTGGACGTTCCTCAGCTGCTCTTGCACCTCGCTGCTGTCTCCACCATATTCTGGATGACCCCAGGTCACAACATCCCCAGATTCAAGAATGGCAGCAAAAGCACCGCCAGTTGCTTGAATGTGCTTGACGTTCCTCAGCTGCTCTTGCACCTGGCTGCTGTCTCCGCCATATTCTGGATGACCCCAGGTCACAACAAACCCAGCTTCGAGAATGGCAGCAAAAGCACAGTGAGTTGCTTGGATGTGCTGGACGTTCCTCAGCTGCTCTTGCACCTGGCTGCTGTCTCCACCGAGTACTGGCTCTCCCCAGGTCACAACAACCCCAGATTCAAGAATGGCAGCAACAGCACGTTCAGTTGATTGGATGTACTGGACGTTCGTCAGCTGCTCTTGCACCTGGCTGCTGTCTCCGCCCCATTCTGCACGGCCCCAAGTCACAACAGCCCCAGATTCAAGAATGGCCGCAAAAGCACGGGCAGTTGCTTGGACGTGCTGGACGTTTCTCAGCTGCTCTTCCACCTGGCTGCTGTCTCCGCCATCTTCTGGCTTGCCCCAGGTCACAACGGCCCCAGATTCAAGAATGGCAGCAAAAGCACCGCCAGTTGCTTGGATGTGCTGGACGTTCCTCAGCTGCTCTTGCACCTGGCTGCTGTCTCCACCGAGTACTGGCTCTCCCCAGGTCACAACAAACCCAGATTCGAGAATGGCAGCAAAAGCACTGTGAGTTGCTTGGATGTGCCGAACGTTCCTCAGCCGCTCTTGCACCTGGCTGCTGTCTCCGCCATATTCTGGATCACCCCAGGTCACAACTTCGCCCTCAGGGCCATGCCAAGCGAATGCCCGGGCTGTGGCAGCCAGTTGGCCCAGCTGCACAACTGCCGCCACCGCGTCCCCATCTCGCAGCCCGGCTTGATTCAGCGTGGCCGCCAAATCGAGCTGTCGGCCGTTCGCAGTGAGCTTCAAGGGTCGCTGGAAATGCTGCTGCGCCACATCCTTCAGCTCTCTGATGCGTGTCTCTGGTGAGACTGCTACAGAGCAACAATCTCCGCTGGGCAAGTAAACATCCACCTTCATGGCGCAGGAAGGTCCTTCTGGCTGTATTGAAGGTGTCAAAGTGTACTCACTCATTGGTCAGGTATGCGAACTAATTGTTCGTAAGCCGAAACAAAGCCAACGTTACAACTGTTTCACCAAAGGCCGCAACATGTTAAGGTTTGCCTCAGTTAGAAGAGACAGGATTTGTTTGGACCAGGGCTGTTGGCTATAGAACCTCGCTCGATTCGAACCAGGATCGACACCGCGCAAAGAATATGGCTCGCTTGCTTTGCAACGGACCTGAAACAAATTATGTGTGCTCGTCTTATGGAACCTGGAGTGAATATGCCTGGACCATCAAACTAGTTGGTTCTTGCCCCAAGCCCATGTTATGTTCCCTTTGTGAAGGGTGTGATTCGCCAGGTGGAAAAAACACCGAGAAACCAGGTCAAATCCGATCCATTCGCTTCGGGCGATCGGCAAATGAGATCAACCCCCTACTCCAAATTCCCGCTTCTTTTTGGGTATGATTTCGACCCTCTACTAAAAAAGAAGGTATTTACCACGGACACCCAGGTTTTTCTCAAAATACCAACTAGAAAAAGGCCGGGTATTTGGAGGTTACGGGGGAACGCTTTGGCCTTTCTCAGGAGATTACCTTTTGGGCCCACGAAAAATTGGCCCAAATTGGGAAACCAGTGACCAGCCCAAAAAAAAGTGTACACTTTTTGGGCCACCACTACAAAAAAGGGAGAGCCACCAAGGAAAAAACGTGTAAAGTGTGTCCACTGGCTGGGTGAGCTTGGTATGGGCTGCAAAAACAAGCTGACTGTTTTTCGCAGCCCTGCAACCTAAAAAATAACAGAACCCCCCAAAACTTGATCCTACCCCCTACTCCAAATACCTGCTTTTTCTAGTTGGTATTTTTGGGAAAACCGGTTTCGGTTTTTCAAGGTAAATACCGATCCCTTTTTTAGTAGAGGGTGCACAAATCATACCAAATAAAAAGATGCGGGTCTTGGGTGGTTGCAGGGTACCCCTTATCCCAGCTTTTGCCGAGAACTAAACCTCCGGTGCAGCTGGATTGGGTTTAAGGGGTAAAACTGTGACGGAGATGTGGTTCAGCTTGCCTTCACCAGGCTTGCCTTGAACCTTCCGATCTGAGTCGTCAAAGCCAAATCGGAACCTACTATACCCCCTACTCCAAATACCCGTTTTGTTTAGGGTATGATGTCGACCCTCTACTAAAAAAGATATTGGTATTTACAAGGGAAACCCGGGCTTTTCCAAAAAATACGAGAAGTGGGTATTTGGAGTAGGGGGTATACTGGACAGGGAGGTTCTCCAATCTTCAGCTTCGATGTAGGGAGGGCAAAACCTGGAAACGGCCGGCACAGTGAACAAATTGAGTCCAAAGGAAACCAAAGGCGACCAAGCCAACCCCTTACTCATACCCACTTTTTTCGGGTATTTTTTGGAAAACCTGTGTTTCCATGGCAAAAACCGATCCCTTTTTTAGTAGAGGGTCGACCTCATACCCTGAACGGGGAAGTACCCGTTGGTTTTTCACCCAATGTGTTGCTTCTTTTTCGCTTCCCTTCAGATCCACAAAGCGATGCAGGGAGACCCACTCAAAACAAAACTCCGATTCGAGCCACCCATTTGTCGGTATCAACCTGGAAACCTCAGGAATTGGGCTTCAAGTTAAATTGTGTAACGCCACGTTTAGCTTCTTACTTGGTTGACGTTGGGTTAGGGGAGCCAAAATTTGAAAAGTTTAGCAGTTAAGCGGGAATTTCCCACTAAACCACAATAAGCAAAAATGTAGAATGTGTCAAAACAACAACCATGCTTTGAGGACTCGAAATTCGGTGAAAAAAAAGAAGTTGCTTTGGCTGAAAGACTTGGGACATCTGTTTAGCAACCTTCGGCTCAGCCTGATTTTGCAGACCAAATTTGGAGGCGGCCAAACAGTGGCCCCATTTGAGAATTATTCCTTCTGGCCACCTGTCATACATCGGGTGGCCGACTTTTCACCTTCTCCCGAATTGGTGGTTTGCTTTGGTGGATGTAAGCTTGGTTGACGTTGGAAGGGGAGCACAAATCAGGTGTTAGCAGTTAAGTGGTTGGATGTCAACCACTAAACCGCAATAAGGATAAATATGAAATCTTGGTTGCGTTCTGCTCCCCTGCTAAAAGTTTAACTTTTAGTCTTTTAATGGAAAACCCATTAGTTGGCAAAAAGTAAAAGTCCTAACATCCACCCAACATGCACCTCTGAAATGTTTCCCAACAACCAGGAAAGGGAGTACCTTCCCTTTCGACTTTGAGAGGAGCTAGGGTTCAAGTCCCAGCACTAATCCAAACCAAAAGAAACATGTTTTAGCAGTTCAGTGGATTCTCCACTAAACCACAAAAAAAAAAAAACATGTGAAGAGTGTTTCCCAACAACCACCATGATGTAGGTAATCTTGGATTTGGAAGGGACATCTGGAAGAACAAAAACACAACGCCAGAACCGCATGTGGGTAAATTTCCCCAAGCATGCTAGAGGGAGTGCCTTCCCGTTTCTTATTTTGAAAGGAGCTAGGGTTCAACTCCCCACAAATCCAAAGCAACGGATTGGAGTTCCTGATCTTAAGCTTTGCTGCTGCGGGGGAAATCCCAGTGAGCCCCTCTACAAGGGCTTCCAATCCCCAAAAACCCACCGCTCCAAACCGGGTGTTTAGTTGGTATTCCTTGGAAATCGATTCCCTTTCAAACCAAGAGAGAAAAAAAAGAGTTCCGCAAATGGAAGCATACCCCCGACTCCAAACACCCGGCTTGTTTTTTTTGGTATGATTTGTCGACCCCCTTTCCTAAAAAGGGATCGCTGTTGATCATGCGAAAAAGAAACCGGTGTTTCAAAAAGAATACCCCAGAAAACGTGGGTATTTGGGTAGGGGGTAGGTCTTGCCTGATGGAATGCTCTAACTCTTCAGGTTTGTTCGGTGGGCTCCGGACGAAAAAGGTCAAACCAACCGGAAATCTCGGTTCTTCAAATTTCACCGGGTCACTGGGCAAGAATCAGGCCACCCAAACCCATTAAAAACGACCAACTAACAAAAAGTAGTTGTTGAAATTCACCCATTCCATAAATTTGAGACCATAACCCATTTCTTATTAGAATTATGAAGCTCAAGGTATCTCTGCTGATTTGATTTGTCTGAGTCCACCCAATACCTGAGCCAAGAGCTCAAATCCCCAAATCATGTGCATCCATTTACCTGTATAGTAGGTAACCCGTACAAGGTTCCCAGCCGATAAAACAAAAAAATGATCCAAGGGTTACCCGGTTGCTTTCTGCTCCCCTGCTAAAAGTGAATATATTTTAGTGGTTTAATACGGAAAACATCCAGTAGTTTGCAAAAAGTTAAAGTCCTAACATCCAAGCAAGATGCACCAAAGTAAGTAAATATAGGGGTCCTTTTGGGGGAAATAGGTGGATTTCCCTGGTACGTGATTAAACCGCCAGGTAAACCAGGTAAACCAGGGCAAGATGCAACAAAGGTTACCTACAGTGGCTAAGCCCAACTTGGATCCAAAGAGCTAAAGAAGTTCCTTCCGATCAGCTTCTCTCTAATTCTCAGATGTCCAGTGGATTTCCATGGGCCCACGGGAAAAACAAAAAAACGACATCCGACTTTTTGGTTGCTTGAGCTCAAAGGGAACCAACAAAGAAAAAAGGGCAGCACTGGGCAACCGGAAATTGGTGGATTGAATTGGAGGGGTTTCCCGCTGGGATTCACCGGGTACTTGGGTGTTCGGCTGACTTAAGCTGATAGCAATCTGGGTTATACCCAAAAGGTCCCCCGTTACTGAGCTGTCCTCAGATCCCTCGCTCAAAGTGACTAACATGTTTAGTGGGGCTAAATACGGAACACCAACCACTAAACCACCTAAGATCTAAAAAGCTACCTGGAGTCTCCATAGGTAAGGAATCGGATGGCTGGTTGAGCCAAGATTAGGTGGAACTCCCTCTTGGTTTCTTTTTCACCCGGGCGGTTGCCACCAAACCAGCAAGAAGCTGTCCTTTTTGGACCGCTCGGGATGGGGGGGAACAGCCTGTTGTCAGCTTGCATAAAACGCACCAAACCGGTCCCTGAGTTTGAAGCAACATGCCGGGTTCGTCTCAAAAAGGAGCGGCCCGGAAAGCGGGCTTTTAACCAATTCTCTGGAAAAACCCAGGGTACCTGGACCCTCAAGCTACCCACTCAAACAAACAAAAAACAGGTGGATTTCACATACCCACAATCAAAGTTGAATTTCACCAACGGTAACCAGCAACTTGAGTTGCAACAAACCATTTTTGTGTTCGAAGTTTCTTCGGGTCCTGACCCGAAATAAAAATGGGGGTCAGACTACCCAAAAGAATGGTTGGTCATGGGCCCGTTTTTATTTCGGGTCCTTGGGGAGACTCCAGGTCCAGGTGCCCTCCAACAAATCGAGCCGACGTTCTTTCGGGGACGTCCAAGTTCCTGAAGTCTCCATGATCCGAAATAAAAATGGGTCCATGACCAACCATTCTTTTGGGAAATGACCAACCATTTCTCAAGGGTCATGGAGACTTCAAGTTGCCTTCAACTCATTTCGCGTTTTTCCGCCTCCGGCACCGGTGCCCAGGGCAGAGCCTCCGAGTTCGCGCGCCTGGAGGGATCGCGGGGTTTCGTTTTGAGCCCCGCGTTTGCGGGGGAAAGACGGGGAAAACCCTCCGAAAGTCGGTTGGAAGCCGCCTTGGAAGGGGGGGGAAGCCCTACCTGGAGTCTCCCTAAGGACCCGAAATAAAAATGGGTCCATGGCCCAACATTATGTTGGGGTAATTAATGACCAACCATTTTTAAAGGGTCCTTAGGGAGACTCCAGGTACAAAGACGGTTGGAAAACAGCAGTTGGAAAAGCCGCTTGGAGACTTCTTCAGAGCCTTAGTTAAACAAATGAGGTGTATGCCGACAAATGGGGTCTATGCCGAAAATGTGAGGGGTCCCGGGCTCTCGGTGTTTTTTCTTTTTTTTAGGGTCCTTGAACGTGACTCCAGGATTTCGCTTGAACTTGACACGGGACAAACCCAAAGCTATCCGCATTTCAAGGGGAACCTCTCGCAGCGGCGTTGGGAAGGGATTTCGTGTGGGGGGGGGGGGGGTTCAGGGGCTTATGGGCGTAGGAATATTGGGAACTTACCACAACTTGACAAAAGCCCAGGGTGAAAAAAGGTACCTGGAGTCTCCATGACTCTTTTAAAATGGTTGCATTGCCCAAAATAATGGGCATGGACCCATTTTTATTTCGGGTCATGGAGACTCCAGGAACACCTTGGAACAAAAAGGAGGAGTTCCGAGTGGCTCCGTGCTATCGGGAAAGCAAAAACAAACCTGCGGCTTCTGTCGGTCGGCTTTTTGGGGGTAGCCAAAAAACAAGGGAAAACTCAGTTGCCCAAAGGACCGAAAACCAAAGCTGATCACCTTTTTGCCATGACCAACAATGGACCCAAGTAGGAAAACCAAAAGGTCAAAAGGGTGATTCGCTTGGGACAAGTGAGAAAAATAATTCCACAGCACTGGGACGAGGGTAAACCGAAACCATTTTAGTCACTTTCCAAGTTGCAAGAGGAAAACCAAGGGGAAACCAATCACTTGGAGGGGCATCAGATTTGTTCGGGTTACAGGATGCACTCTTGCCATGGGCATAGGGATATTGGTGTGTTTGCCAATATGCCTACCAGGTTCAGCTTAAACCAATAGCTCATCTTGGCCCAACTCCATCGTCAAAGAACATACGCTCAGATTCTGGCCTATAGTGAGAAACACTCAAAATGTGAAGTATCTTTTGAAGACAGTCATACTTTCATTTGCTTAAGCCCCCTGACAAAAATTAAAGATGTGTCCAGCAGTGAATTTGATTCCATTTAAAACCAAGAGGGAACAAAACAGTTCAGCAAATGGAAGCATGGTTACAAAAGACAATGGCTCTGAAGCAAACCAAAAGGACCCCAAGGAGCCGAACGGGTAGGTAACCCCCCCCTTGCATGAGCCGCAGCAGCCACAGTAAAAAATACTTGTTTGTTCGCTCAAAAGGACGAGGGCGCACTTCCCCATGCTCAACCAGTTCAATGAGCAGCACCCAAACATTGACGTTTGGTTCTAATTACCAAGACAGACACAAAGGTCTAGGCCTTACTATAACAACCCGTAATTAGAAAAACCAGTGTCATTGATGAGATCCAGTTGCGTCTTTACCTTCCAGCCAACCCTATTTGCGCATGTGCACGGCTTTTTTGCCATGCACATACAGCTGGATGGCATGCCAGCAAATGCGAACATACATGAACCCTGAAATCAGCTAGTAGAACCCACAAATTGCCACTGACAAACAGTTTTGGGCGCTCAAATGGACCGTAGACTCCTAGGAGCTTCAACCAAACCTCTCGCCACTCGCCAAGGTGCATCGCCACCTTGTTCGCCGGCTCCTAGCAAAAGCCCCAAGCCAAAAGAGGGCCTCAAACGTGAACATGGTTTGTTGGGGGCTGCTGAAAGGTAAGCTCCCAATACCCCAAGGACCCCTGGACCGATGCAACACTGTTTTCTGCCCAAATTCATCCGAAAAACCGTACCTGGAGTCTCCATGACCCTTAAAAAATGGGGTCATTACCCAAAAGAACAGGGTCATGGACCCATTTTTATTTAGGGTCATGGAGACTCCAGGCAGGGGCAGAACCGAGGCTGAGCCCGAACCGAGGCTTCGGTCGAATACGCCTCGTGGCCCAAAAACTCCAACACGATGCGCTAAACGGGATCGGATCATGCTTCACGACCCCAAGGCTTGGATAAGGAAAACTGGGTTCAAAGGGTTTGGCACAGGAAAATTCACGGGAAACCCCAAAACACTTCAAAATAATGTTTTCCTGTAAAATTTCCTTCTAACCCCAACCCTTTGATGAGTGTTTTTTGGCAGGCGAACCTAAAAATAAACAGAAAACAAGGAAAACACTTGATCCAAGAACAGTGAATCCATCCACTAACATGGAATCTGACTGAGGGGTCCTGGAAGACTATGTTCTTTTCAGGGACCCCTCCTCTGGGTTCGTGGACAGGAGGTAGTAACGACTAGAACCTGCCTGAAGAGCTTGTAAGTCCACCATCGTGTGTTGTAAACCAGGGTAACCACATACTAAGTGCCCTGCCCCCTTTTGTACTTCATGTCTAACATGGCATTCGCAGCTAAAGAAAAAGCCGTAAAGTCCAGAAACTGGGGAAGTGATGGAGTCGTGGTTTAAGAGTACCCGCAACAAAGGCGTCTCAGGGCCCGGTGCAAAGCAACCCGCCAGCAATCCAAAAGAGAAGTCGTCTTGCAAACAGATTTCACATGTCCAGAGTTGGGTGTCTTTTCCAGGGGATCCCCAAAATGAGTGGTTCGCCCGTTGGTTTCCCTTTAAAACCGCAAACTAAGGTTTCCTCAAAGATACACCCATTTGTTGCCGGGAGAGCAACCCTGTCATACCCAAGTGCGCCATTGCGTGTCTTTTCTTAGGGTTCGGACCGGGACTCCAAGATGGTGCAACGCTTTTCCTTTTGGGTTCGCTTTGAAACCTACCCTGTGAAGGCCCCTCCCAACTCAAGACGAGCAAGCCATTCCTATCGTGTGAGTCACTTAGGTGGGCCCCTGGTGGGTGCAGAAAATGGTTGCCCCACACCACAACCTCTTGGTTTCCTCAAGGGGACCGGCTGGCTTCACCAAACAGTGTGCCCAAGTCTGCGTAACGAGGCAGCGATAGCGACTGCGCTCGGCCAAGGTGATCGTCGCGAGCTACCCGCGCGGCTGTTCTGCCGTAGCCAGCGTAGCTCTCAGCGTCAACTTGCCACGTCGAAAGATCGCCGTAGTTCCTGCCTCTCTGCTGGGCTGCCCTCAGATCCCCTGCTAGAAGTTCAACTTTTAGTGGGTGAAGTTTGGAAATCCCCACTACTTGGTTGACGTTGGAAGGGAGCAACAACTTACATTCTAGCAGTTCAGGTGGGATTTCCCACTAAACCAAAATAAGCAAAAATGTAAAGAGTGGTCCCTACAACCATGAAGACTAAACCCTAAAAAGCTCAAAAACTAAGGAACCAAATGGCTGGGAGCCACCAAGCTCTCTGGCGCGAAGGGACGAGAAGACTCTTAACTGCTCACCGATCGGCAATTCGCCGGTCAAATTGGTGCTGTAGCACCTCCCGGCGACCTGCATGCTGCCTCACCATACTCCCTACTCCAAATACCCACTTGTTCCAGTTCTTTTTTGAAAACCTGGGTTTTCATGGTAAATACCTCCTTTTTTAGTAGAGGGTCGACATGATACCCTAAAAAAAAGTGGGTATTTGGAGTCGGGGGTATGCTTTGGGACACCAAACTTCGGCCCACGTAACCTTTCCATTTGCTCCGAAGACAATGCCCCGGAAAACCTGCGGGAAGGGATGTGGCTGTGACCAACACCCTGCAGAATTATCAGGCGACCTACATGCGCTTGTAGAAGCCTGTCTGGCTCATAAGCTCTACGGGTTGACGGGTTGTTGCCAGCCCATCTGTTCGCCTGTTTGAACAAGCCGCCCTCTAGAGTACTCGAGAACCACAAAAACAAGAAACACAAAAAGCAAAAAAACAAATATTCATCTGGGACTGAATACTTTTTGTCTATATTCTACATTGTAGAATCTTTCAGGAGGAGACTCAGATTTCCATTTTGGCGATGTTCTGAACAGGAAGAAGGGAATCAGGATGGGAAGACTAGAACAACTGTGAACCCTTGCCTCAGTTTACCAATGCCCGTGAGCAACAAATCTGAATGTTTCACAGCATTCCATCAATCAAGAACCTTCAAACCTTCATAACCTCGATTTTCAACTACATCTGTAAGCAGCTGCCATCGAGTTTGTGTTTTGCAGGCTCAATGGATCCGTGGGGCGGCGACCCAAAGACCAGCAGCGGGTGCCATGAGTTAGTGCCATAGTGCCTTCCCCCCCGCCACAACCATCATTCCAGCTTCGGAGCGATCGGCGTCGAAGCGCCGTACTTGGGTGTTGCATTCTCCGTTCGCGAATGTAAGTTACGTAACGGTAACCGTTCGTTTATAACCCACTGAGAAATGTCCCCGTGAATGTGGGGTTAAAAACTTATTAGGGGGTTACACCCCAAATGGCGATCACTTACTAACTTGGCCGAACATCCAAGTAGGTAGCTCTTCGGCAATGTGTTTAGTAACCTGGACCCTCAAATCTACCCTGAGAGAAACCACCAGGAGGTCTCCTTAAAAAGAAACAAAAACAAGTGATAATTTTCCCAAAAAAGGAACCCCACAAAAGGATCTTGGTCCGCCTCACGAACTGTTTCCCAACCCTGCCCCTCCGCTGGTTGCCCAACCACACCCAACCACGCCCCACCAAACCGTGGTCAATATGGGTTTCCCTCGGCGGTTCATTCTTCCCTTACTTGCCATTTAGGGCATCCACCGTGTACAACCCTTGGTAACAAAAAACTGACTGTTTGTTGCAGCCCCGAACCTAAACATAAACAGAAACCAAAAAAAGAACTTGCTGTAACAACCGTGAAGCACCGTCCCTTGGTTGACGTTGGACAGGGAGCAAACAATTATAAGTTTTGGCAGTTAAGTGGTTGGATTTCAACCACTAAACCACAATAAGCAAAAATGTAAAGAGTGTTCCCAACAATAACCATGGTCCCACAAAAAAAAGAGCAAAGGACGGCCTGTTGGGCATAGCCACCCACGAAGGGGTTCAGATTGCCTGGCCGGCGAAAGGACATCTCTAGGGTTCCTTGCCGCCATGAAAAAGAACGGCCCAAGGGGACCCAATTTAGAGGACACCTTAGGAACATATTTAGTTTTCATGTTGGTGAGGATATGACGGATAAAGAAATGGACAGAAAAGAAGGGATCCATCTCTTTTCTCTTTCTCTCGTCACAATGGTGGTTGGATGAACCCCCATTGAGATTTAATGGTGGTTTGAAGCCCTGATGTTTTTGAATGGGCAGGTGTTCTTCAAGCCTGTTGAGGCGCGGAGTGGGTGAGACCAACCTGACAGTTGAGTCGCTGCCTGCTTGGCTCTTAAAATGGACCCCCGAAGTGGGGGAGGGGGGGGGGGTTCTTTTCAACGCCTTAAGGCCCTCATCAAGGGCTTCTCCATGGCTCCTCGGCTTATCCAGGAATTAGCCCCCCTTAAAAGTCTATAGAAGAATTGAGAGGGGTGAAGCGGAGGTCTGGAGGTAAGCGTTGGGGTGAAGCACTTTGCTAACTCCCGGTCGAAGAGGCGAACTGCACTGTGAACCCCCCCCGCCCCCCCCCCCCGAAACCTAAAAGGGGCTTTGACGTGGAAGAAACTTTGCGAAAAAGTTGGAAAATAATAGGAAATGAAACAGGAGTTCGGGGTAGTTCGTTAAGTAATCTTGCATAATTGGGTTGGACTTGAACCAACAACAAAGCCACACCCCTCCGCGGCTTGTGCTTGGCTCCTGAGAAAAGCACGGCTTACGTCATTCGCGAATCTGATTCGAATCAGTCAACTCTACTGCGTCCACGTGAGCTTCCCAAGTCTTTCATGTGTTGCACCCGTGAGACATCTGGAACATCCTCCTACGGTTCCAAAATGAAGCTGCCGGGCCCCGCGGAGTCGATGAGAAAAAAACAAGGAAAATCGAGTCAAAACCACGATGCTCCCTTCGAGTGTTTTGGGGGGAAGGTCGAAACCATCTTTCCTCGGACTTTTGTACATGTCACCCATTTTGTACATGTCACCTCTAGCCAGGTCCCCTTTTCGGCCAAACAAAGACGCATTTTTGTGGGGATTCCCATGCGTCCGATCCCAACAACGGATCGGCCGGGTGATTTAAGTCAGATCCGTCACATTTGTACCGGCCCCCTGAGACTCCATTCCAAAAAAGAACCCATGAGTCCAACTGCTCCGGGTGGTTTCCTTTTGGTCTCCTTTCAAAACCATCCAAAACGAAGAGGTCCGATTTTAATTTGCCAAAAAAAACCTCTTTGATTTACCCCGATTTTGAGGTAACCCTAATTCAAAATGGTTTTTGGTGGATTCCTGTTTTGAGACGCACCCATTTTGATTTCCCCAAAAAGAAAACCCGGCGTCGCCAACCGCGGCGCTCGCCTGTGGTGAACTGCTCCACCAAGGACTGCCCCGTGGCGCCGTTCTGCGCCACGATGGCAGCCATCGCGATCATGGCCTCCGGTCGAGCCGCCCTTCCGAGGGAGCGAGACAGTCCTTTTTTTTATTGAAGGAACTTCGCATTTTTGTTTTTTAAACTTTGAAACCATGAGAAACCGTTCTTTGCTGGTAACAGGGAAATCAACATTATATATTGGGTTTCTTGGGTGGTGCAGGATTTCGTCCATCCACAGGATGGGGTGGCCTGGAAAACTAACTCTTGTCAGGGAAAAAATGTGCAATAACTTAAAAAATGGCCATAACCCCCCTCTTCTTTGCGCTCATCACAGTCTTTATCATGGACAATCCACCACAAGAAAAGCAAAAAACAAACATTGTTAAGACAAATTCGGGTGGGATCCCCCGTCCGAAGCTTAAACATTTTGCAAAGTGGCGCCCGCGGGATCGCAGCTGAGTGTCCATTGGAATCAAGTCCCAAATTGTCTTCCCTCCAAAAATGTTTTGGAAATGAAGGGGCTGTGTTTTTTTGTAGGCCTCCCTTCCACAAGAAAAACTCCATGGCAACTTCTCCCCAAAAAAATAACGCCAGTCGGGAAGGCCCACTTAGCTGTGGGCTCCGAGAGGGTTCCCACCGAAGAAGGTTCCGTGATTGCCTTTGAAACCACCAAAAGAGGCGTACCTGGAGTCTCCATGACCCTTTCAAAATGGGGTCATTACCCCAAATCATAGGGTCATGGACTCATTTTCAAAGGGTCATGGAGACTCCAGGTACCCTCAAAAAAGGACACGCCCCCTTGGTTTCCATTTACGCCGTTTGCAACTGAAGCTGTCAAGGTGAAGGCTGGAGTCTCAAAAAGACTAAGAGCAGCTGTCCACTGACAGCCATTTCTTGATTTGTTTCCTGGAAAGCCGTATGGCCATTCTTCTTTTTCGCCTTCTTGCTGGCCGGTGGCCGTATTTGGCCGTATGCAACCCGTATTTGTTCAACAAATTGTTGACAAAAAGCCGTAAATGACCGTATGACCCTCTTTTGTGGCCCAAGCTGAATGGACGAAGAAGAAAAAAAACCGTCACATATGGGTTTCCAGGTAGCTTAAATCCCCAGTGATAGATTCCCTTTGAGACCAAGAAGGGAAAACAACACATATCCCTTTCAGACGGAAGACAACAAGGGGCTTCCTCAAAAGACGAGCCGCCCGGAAAAGAAACAGTAGTCATTTGAGCAAATGGAAGACACCCCCTACTCCAAAGACCCTCTACATACCTCCTTTTTTAGTAGAGCGTCGACATGATACCGACTAAAACACGAGATGGCATTTGGAGTAGGTCCTCCAGTTTTGGAGGTTTGAATAAGGGTACCAACTTTTTCTGTAGTCTATTTTAGTAGGGGAACCGCCTCCCAACCAAAAAAGGGGGCTCAAAAAGGGCACCAATTACTGGGGGACCTAGTCATCTTGGGCAGAAAAAATCATCCCTTTTTTAATAGAGCGTCGACATGATACGGACGAAAAAACGAGTTGGCATTCGGAGCAAATGCAAAAGAAACAGTACCTACCCCAGAATGGTCCGATTGGTTTTTTGGACCCACAGCCATTTGAGCCGCAATCATAACCTGGTACAAAAATGGTGAACCCAGAACCATGTACAGGATTAAGAAGGCGGATATCCGCAGCTATTTCTGGTTGGGATCGGCCCTTACTAACCTTCATCTACCCGAATCGGTTTTGAGCACGTGGCTTTGAGCAAATGGAAGATCCAAGCGCCCGATCTCAAAGTTTGAGCAAGGCTCCAAGCGCCCGTTGTTGATCTCCGCCAGGAGCTTCTTGGCCTTCTCCTGCCGGCTCCGGACGGAGACTCGGACGCGGAAATGGCTGGGGGTTGGTTGCGCTTGGCGCGAAGGGTTGGCTGAGCTTCAAAAAGCCGGCCCTACCTGAAGTCTCCTGACCCGAAATAAAAATGGGTCCACCAACCATTTTTCCAGGTCATGACCAACCATTTTTAAAGGATCAAAAAAGACTCCAGGTACCTTGACCCGACTTTGCACGGCCACGACCGATCCCTATTTTCTGCCTTAGACCTTTTTGTAATGGGTCACAGGCAAACAATGGGTCCTTTTCAGGTCCAGGCACCCATCGATACCACGAATTCCATGGAAAGGTGGAACAACTGGAATTCCTCCCCCAATTCTCACTTCCTCGGTGGGTTGTGGCAGAAAAGTCCCAACTTTTCAGTTAAGCTGGACCCCCAAAAGGCCCACTTTTTCTGGCTTTGTACCGTTTTTTTTCTGGGTCAAAGGCAATAAAAAGGGCTCTTTTGGGAGGTCCAGGAACACAAAAATGGCAACCAAACCCAACAAAAATCGACGATCAAGTCCGTGGCCCGGAACGTGGTTTTCTTGGAACCTTGCAGTGGAATTGCTGTCTGTTCAAAACCAGAGGTGAATGCTTTCATGCTCTCTAGTCTGCTCATGTCTGCTTGTTTGCCGTGTGGAGTGAAGATTCCGGAGAAAAACATGGAAAAAACAAAAATGAGAATCTCCTCTTGGGCATTTCTTCGCCGCCTCGAATCTCGCGAGCTCCCTTCACCTCTCGCGCGCTGTTCGCGCTCCGCTCGCTCCTCCGGCTTCAGCTTGTTGATCTGGCCCCAGAAGGGCGGGTACCCGTAGTTCCTGGGGAAGGCCAAGTTCCTCGCCTGCACGAACTCGATGCGGAAGAAGAATCCAAACCCCAGGAAGATGACATGAATCTAACCAAAATGGGAGAACCATTGACCAAAACCTAGGCCTTGTGTGTTTGTGCACTGTTTCTGGATTTGTCCGTTTCGAGCAAAGATAACGCTCATTTCATCCAAAAGCGATCAATTAGAAAGAAAACGCTCAATTGGAAAATGGGTCTGGTGTGTGTGTCTGCAAGTTTTCGCTCATTTCCCGCCGATTTCCGCTCAGTTCCCGCCGATTTCCGCTCATGTTCCGGGAGAAAGCTTGCCAAATCATGCCAAATCAAGGCTTCCGCTCGTTTTTTGTTTTTCCGCACAAAATCTGAAACGAGTAAACAAAATGCCCAGAGCCTCAAAAGGTGACCAAATGGAACACCCAGGAATACGTGTGTATACACTATGGGTGTACCTGGAGTCCATGACCCCATTTTGGGTAATGACCAACCCATTTTTACAGGGTCCTTGGGGAGACTCCAGGTAGAACCCTTGACAAGAATATGTGTGTGTGCGTGTGTTGCTTTTTCAGGCTACCCACTAGAAACATCACAATGTTCGGTTTCGGGGAGTGGGGGGATCCCCTATTTTGACACATCATATGAGCAGTTGTTGAGTGCACTGGCAGCCACGCCCAGGCGGAACCTCTGCGGGTGTGCCAAACCGTGGAAGGACGTCCACGCGAGCTTGCGCGGCAACAAGTGCCTACGCGGAGTGGCTGCCTATTAGCCTATGCTGACTTTTCCCGGGCGCTACTCTCACGTCATAACCGACCGCAAGCTTCTGTCCGGTAAAACACGCCTACACGAACCTGCCTACACAGGGCTGATCTACGCAGACTGCCTACGCGAATCGCTTCCCCAGCCAGAACTGCCTACGTGCCTCCGCAATATAAAAGAAGTTCCCCCAGAAAAAAACAAAAAATGATCTACCTGCAGGCCCAATTGATACATTCTTTTGGCAAACAAAACGCCCGAAACGCTTCTGGAAGCAAACGACTTGGCGCTAGTGTACTGACCATGACCAGAACTTGGGCAGTTGTCGAAATTAGCCCCGATTTGCGCGAAGCTGAGCCCGAAGTTGCGCCGAATTGCGCTCGCAACGCGGGGCAAATCGGGCCACGGCGTTTTAAAACTGCCTGGAGTCTCCATGACCCTTTAAAAATGGGGTCATCACCCCAAATAATAGGGTCATGGACCCATTTTTATTTCGGGTCATGGAGACTCCAGGTGTTCGTTTCCAATCGAGCAGAAAAAGCTCTCGAACTCAACAAACATACTTGAGCACTTTTTTCTGTATCAATTGGGCCAGGTACATAAAGTATGTTCCCGGAGATAGTGGTTTGAGGGTAGTGCAAGTAAGCGGGTCTTTTGACCATGGGACATACAAGCCATGTTGTCATCACCTACTATGCGGGCCAACAATAGAATTGGGTCAATGACACTAGCGTGTCATTGCCTTGCCCCTTTATCAACACCTGGCACGAAATGGGTCTACCAAAACCATGTGAAGAATCAAAAGGACAATCATATGCACCTATAGCCGTGGAACTGTCCCCACAAACCTTCAAGTACCCCCTACTCCAACTACCCACTTGTTCTAGGTATCTGTTTTGAAAAACCTTGGTTTCCTGTAAAACTTTGGTAGGCGTACTGACTTGTCCCAAAGTGTCCATGCAAAGGGTTGACCTTTCGGGCCCTCGAAATATAGACCCAAAGGAGGTGTCTCAAAAGGTCAGAAGCCAAGGTTTTGGGCAAGTGATACAGGGTGATGCATAGATATATATATATATGGGTAATTCTAACTGGAGATGTGGACATCAGATTTTAGTGTGGGGTTTATATCCCACCATGATTGGGTGTTCCCTAAAATCAGTGGCAATATCTGGAAAACCCTAGGCCAAGTGAGGAATCTACATATATACTAAGGAACACTCACCTTAAATGTGCCAAACAGGCGACGTCTAAAACCACAAAGGGAAATAAGGAGAAAGCAACCCAAGCCAGCAAGAACCCCCCAACCACTGCTTTTTGGACAGTACCAAGGGGGATTCTTGGATCGGGAAAAGCAACAATGTCCTGACAGAACCTCCTGGTAGCTCCAACAACGCTCCCCCGTTTTTCTGCCTTTGACCGCTAAAAAAGGTACAAAGGCAGAACAGGTACAAAGGCAGAAAAAAGGGGTCCTTTAGGGGTTTAGGGGGTAACCATGATTCTCTCACTTCCTGAGTGCACTGGCCCAAAAATAGTCCCGGATCTCAGGAAGTGAGTTATTATAGCCACTTAATGTTGACCCCAGAGTCATCAACCACAGTTTTGTAGTATTTCCCTGGGTTTAGTGGGGGAGGGGACAAAAACCACCCCCCAATTTAATAAGGGTGCAGATTGTTCTTGGATTTTGTCTCGGATTTGTTTTGATGTCTTTTTTTCTTTCCGTCTTGGCCAGCAAAATGTCGTACTTTACAGCAGCAACAAGTACGTGTTTTACGCTGGCTCGTCAACATCCCCTGCATCACCATCAGGTCGTGGGTAGCGGGGCAGGTTTCAGGTGGGCAACTGGTCTGGTTGGCTTGTGCGGCTGTTCGTTGGGTTTTGCTGCTTTTGGTGGCTTTTCGATTGCCTTGGCTTCCCACATCCTCAGCATCATCAGCTCCTCTCCAGCAAGCATTTTCTCTGTGTAGGCAGGTATGTACGTAGGCATTCCAAAAAGCAGCGGGGGTTGGGCCGCGGGGGGGAGGGGGGGCAGCTGCCCACCATCATGTTCGAAGAAGCGAACATGCAAGAAAGGGTGCGTTGATCTCTGCAAAAAAGTATACAAAGCGGAGGGGTTCGGGGGGGCCCATGATGTTCGAAGAAGTGCATACATACAGACACACACACACACATAGATTACATAGATTACATACAAACATAAACATACGTACAAAAACACTTGCCAGAGGAACTGGCAATGCTGAGGATGCGGGGAGCCAAAGCCAAACATGTTACGAAAGGCAGCAAAAGCACACAATGCCCAATGCCACCTGCCGGAGAGGAACTAGGAAAGCACAGGATGCGAAAAGCTAAGGCCAAAAAAGCCAGCAAAATCCGCATAAACCATCGAAAAGCTGCACATGGGAAAGCAAAGGATGCGAAAAGCCAAAGCCAAAAAGGCCACCAACAGATGCACAAACCCATGAAAAAGCAACAAAAAGCAAAAAACGAAACCAAACTCCGCTCAAGAATTCAAAAACCATCTTCTGGGGGTCTGGCGATCACTTTACATACCATACACCCCCCCTAAACTCTCTGCCCCCGCGCGTGAGCCGGACGCGTGCGCGTGCGGTGCCACGTCCTCCCTCGCGACTTTTTCCTGAGGCGCCTCGAGCAAGCCCGCGAAGCCCAAGATCTGCAGCCACCCGGCCGCCGGCACCTGGTAGATGGCCTGCCCGGCTGGCGTGTTTCGTCTTCGGTGGTTGACGGTGGTTCGTGTTTGGGTTGGTGTCCCGTGGGACAAAACGGGGGGCGCCCAACTTTTGGTCGGTCCGTTTTTTTTTTTCCTCAAAAACCACAAAGAAAAAAGGCCCCCTCAACAACGACCCCCCAAACAAAAATGAATAAAACAAAATAATCATAACCAGCTTCTTTTCAGTGCCCTCGATTCATTTGTTGGGTGCTATCAGGAAAAACAAGAAATCCATCAATCTGTGTGTGTGTGTGGATAAGTTTCAAGAACACCGCGCTCTTTGACGACCCCAAATGGCAAAACAAAACAAGCTACACTCTGAATATTGGAAGAATGCACTGGTGAGTGGTCTTGCTTGTCCAGCGTCTTCCAGTGGGAAAAAAAAACTATTTTGACTTGTCTAGGAGCTTCCCCATTTATTTTGAAGGATCCTTCTTTCCAGGAAACTCTCAAACACCCAGAAAAAGTAGCCGGGTGTTCAAAAGATGGGTAGTCAACCCCTCAACGGTTTGGTTTCCTTGTCATAAACCCCTCGAAGGGGTTATTGGGGGGGGGGGTCCGATGCCCAAGCGACGGAATTGGTACGGGGGCTCCTCTTTTGACTTAAAGGGAACTCTTCCAACAAAGAAACAAAAGTTATAGTAAAAATAGCTATAGCAATAATAGTTATAGCAATACTATTATAGTAGTAATAGTTATAGTATATATATTTTTAATAAGCAGTAGTAGTTATAGTAATGGACATCCTGGGGCGGTGTCCACTATGGACCGGTAGCGCAGAACCACCCAGCGAAAGCGACGATACGGCGCCCAAAGCACCACCCATTGTTCCAGGCATTGCTTGGTGGACGTTGGGTAAGGGGAGCAACAAATTAGTTGTTTAGCAGTTATAAGTGGATTTGGATTTCAACCACTAAACCACAATACGCAAAAATGGGAAGAATGTTTCCCAACAACAACCATGTAAGGCTTAAGGGAGTGAGTGCCTTCCCTTTTCTTATTTTGAAAGGAGCTGGGGTTCAAATCCCCAGAGTCAGAGCACCCACTGCCAGAGCATTGAGGTGAATCACTCCCCGCCCCCCATCAACCTCTTCCTGCATCTATGGCAAGCGTCTTGCCGATCTCAGTCCAACTTTTGGGGGGGGGGCTGGTCACTTTGGGCGGACGCCGTTTTCTGATCCGCAACAAGTGGATAACTTTTAGTGGGTGAAATTCGGACGCCGCAAAATTCGATAAAAATAAAATAAGTTGAACCGGACGGATGAGAACCAGCAAGTTTAGTCAAGCTAAAAGTATTCCCCCTACTCTAAAACCCGCTTGTTTGGGGTATTTTGTTGAAAAACCTGGGTTTCCATGGTAACAAAAAAACGAGTTGGTATTTGGAGTACGGGGTTAACTATCTTCTGAGGAGACCCGCGCTCGGCGGGTCAAAGAGCGAGCCTCGATGGTGCAGGGCACGTCGGCAAACTTCCTAAGGCTGGGGCGTTCGTCGAAGGTGGATTCGAAAACGCTCGGGGACATCCTGACCGCAATCGACCCCTTTTCCTGCCTTTGACCCATAAAAAGTGGTACAAAGGCCGAAAAAGGGTGTCCTTTATGGGATGGACAACCCGGTTGAATGTCAACCTCGGATTCATCCGCAAAACCCTACTCATCAGTCAAATACCTGACTGCCTTACTCAAAGGGAACCAGCCCAATCCTCCAGATTGATCTGAAAACTTCATTCTACACCTCGCAAAGTCCATCTACCATCGCTAGTCCGTTCAAATCCTTGACACATAATTGTTCGGTTGGTACATGGTGTTTTCTGCCTTCAAGGATAATTATCTAGAGTTCAGCATGCAAGCTTTTCTTCTTTGCTCTGGTATCATATGTGCTGAATGTTCGTAATGCGTTTCGTGGCATGGTGCACACACAATGATGGGAATGGGTTTTCCTCTGGAAACATAAGCCATACGAGGTAGCATCACAGAACCAGACAGCAAAGCTAGACAATATGTTTCCAATCCTGAACGTTCTCAAAGCGTCATTGCATCAAAAAAACATGTGCCGCATCTGGGAATTAGAGATTCATTCTACCCACTAAAATGGCCCTTTTGGGAGTCGGGCGCTCAACAGAGAGGACCCCCGAGCCTCTAGCCGCTAAACTAGCGGGGGGAAGGGGGGGGGGAAACGTTTCTTGGTTTCTGGGTTTGGAGTCTCTCAATCCAAGGAACCCCTACCCCTCACACCCAATACCCACTTTTTTTAGGGTATCATGTCCACCCTCTACTAAAAAGGAGGTATTTACCTTGAAACCCAGGTTTTCCGAAAAAAAATAGAAAAAGTGGGTATTTGGAGCAGGGGGTAACCCTCCAAGGGCCCGATCCGTCCGATCCAAGCGTCAGGTTCATGGAGGGCGATAGGTAGCCGCCGAATCGCCCAAAGAGGTCCGGGACGATCATGCCGATGGCCGCTACCATGCCTGAACTCCCGACTCCTGAGGCCCTGGAGGTTGATTGAAGGCCCGAAATCAATCGGGAGCCTGTGGGCGATGGATGTCACCAAACAGAACCCGTGAACTTGTTGTTTACCACTACCTGGAGTCTCAATTCTGGCCCGAAAGAAAAAATGGGGATCCCATGACCAACCATTAATTTTGGTATTGACCAACCATTGTTGTCAGGGTCATGGAGACTCCAGGTAGAATGGCAACCAACACCCCAAAAGTGAGGATCAAGTCCGAGTCCGAACCAGGAAGCCCGGGTGTGAGTCGGCTTCCCCAGCGAGGTTTTTGAGCACAAAGGTTAGAATAAGGGTATACTCACCTTTGATCTGTAGCCCCGCTAAAAGTGACTAACTTTTAGTGGGTTAAAATCGGAAACTACCTGGCACCCCGTATGGTTTTTGGTCAAACTCCCGTATTTGGCCGTATTTGCCCGTATGGCCATGATTTTTCGGTCATTTGCGTAAATCACCCGTATGAAACCCATATTTTTTCGACATGTTGTTGAAACATATCCGTAACAATCCGTATGGCCATTTTTTCGGTCAAAAGCGTATGACCTAAAAAAAAACCAGCCATATGGGATCCCAGGTACCACTAAACCAACCAAAAGGATCTAAGAAGCTAAGTTGACCGGATGGCTGGGCTTGCCACCAAGGGAGTCACTTCTCGGGGCAAGTGCCGGCTAGGCGTTGCTTTGCGAGCTGCAAATCCTGCCGTGCTTCAGCTCCAGCTCGCGGTTCCTCAGGAACTTCGCCTCGTCCTGACGAGGCACGAGGCTCTGGTCGAATGAAAAGCTCGCAAAACCTTCCTTCCCCATTCCAGACCCAGGGATCCTTCTTTCTAGAAAACCTCCGGAAATTCAGGGAAAACGGCCGGTGTTTGGAAAGAACGATGGTTAAAAGAATTGGGAATCAACCCCTAGATACTTGGGTTTGTCTCAAGGGTACCCCAAAAATGGCAACGGGCTCCTTTTGGACAACTCAAAGCGACACACATCCCTACCAGGAGTCTCCCGCGACCCTTGCAAAAAGGGGATATTTTGACCCCAATTTGGAAGGGTCAGAAGGAGACTCCTAGGATTCAACGAGTTCCTTCGGCAAAACTATTTTTCTCAGATGGGCTAACGCTGAGTGAATGTGCCAGGGGTCTACTACCATGACCACAGGCTAGTTTGTGGGTGTGAGTTTTAACTGGCGGACATCAAGTTGGTGGGATTCATGTACAACCACTTGGGAGAGTGTCAGTTCCTCCTTCAAATTAGTGCGCCAACGGCAAACAATTTCTGGTAAACATTGTAAAGCTCCAAAAATGGGGGGGAGGTATGAAGTTTCGGCTTTAGAACAACCCACAAACCTGGGTGACTTATAATATCCACCGGCCTGAAATTTGTGGTGGTTTGGGGATTCCCAACATAAACCACCATTTGGGGCGAATTCGGTCGTGTGCGGTCGTTATACCCCCTACTCCAAATACCCACGTTTCTTAGGGTATTTGTTGGAAAGCCAATCGGTTTTCCAAAATAAAAAATACCGATCCCTTTTTTAGTAGGTCGACATGATACCAACTAAAAAAAGGCGTCGGATATTGGGTGGTTACGGGGTAGTTCACCCAACGGTACCCATCACACTCCGCAGTGCATCGGACCTCCGTCTCACTCCAAAGCCTCTAACTGCCCGTTCACCACCTGCTCCAAATACCCGATGCCTTTTTCTAGTTGGTATGATTTGTCGACCCTCTGCTAAAAAAGGAGGTCGTTGCCATGGAAACCCAGGTCTTTCAAAAAATGCCCTAGAAAAGGTGAGTATTTGGAGTAGGGCGTATCAGTTGCATCTCCACTTGAGAGACGGGTGGACGAAAGCTAGCAGCACGCGCACAGCTTTTGCTGCCGTAAAAGAACGGCAGCAGTCCGCCACGTGATAGCAGCGAAAAATCCATCCCCGACAACTTTGGCTGCCGAATCTAGGTGACCTTCCATCAGGATGCTATGAGCATCCCGGATTTGTGGCGGGTTGCAGCAGCACCAAATTACAAGCTCAGCTGCTCCTGGACCTGGCTGCTGTCTCCGCCATCTTGTGGAGAACCCCAGGTCACGACAGCCCCAGATTCAAGAATGGCAGCAAAAGCACCGTCAGTAGCTTGGATGTGTTGGACGTTCCTCAGCTGCTCTTGCACCTGGCTGCTGTCTCCGCCATAGTAGAAATGACCCCAGGTCACAACAGCGCCAGATGCAAGAATGGCAGCAAAAGCACCATCGGCAGTTGCTTGGATTTGCTGGACGCTCCTCAGCTGCTCTTGCACCCCGCTGCTGTCTCCGCCATCTTGTGGACAACCCCATGTCACAACAGCCCCAGATTCAAGAATGGCAGCAAAGGCACCGGCATTTGCTTGGATCTGCTGGACACTCCTCAGCTGCTCTTGCACCTGGCTGCTGTCTCCGCCAAACTCTGGATCACCCCAGGTCACGACAGCCCCAGATTCAAGAATCGCTGCAAAGGCACTGTAAGTTGCTTGGATGTGCCGGACGTTCCTCAGCTGCTCTTGCACCTGGCTGCAGTCTCCGCCACCTTGTGGATCACCCCAGGTCACAACAGCCCCAGATTGAAGAATAGCAGCAAAAGCACCACCAAGCTCAGTAGCACTTGACTGCATGTGCTGGACGTTCCTCAGCTGCTCTTGCACCTGGCTGCTGTCTCCGCCAAACTCTGGATCACCCCATGTCACAACAGCCCCAGATTCAAGAATGGCAGCAAAAGCACCGTCAGTAGCTTGGATGCGCTGGACGTTTCTCAGCTGCTCTTGCACCTGGTAGCTGTCTCCACCGCATCCTGGATGACCCCAAGTCACGACAGCCCCAGATTCAAGAATGGCAGCAAAGGCACTGTAAGTTGCTTGGATGTGCCGGACGTTCCTCAGCTGCTCTTGCACCTGGCTGCTGTCTCCGCCACCTTGTGGATCACCCCAGGTCACAACAGCCCCAGATTCAAGAATGGCTGCAAAAGCACTGCGAGTTGCTTGGATGTGCTGGACGTTCCTCAGCTGCTCTTGCACCTGCCTGCTCTCTCCGCCGTTGTCCGCACGACGCCAGGTCACAACAGCCCCAGATTCAAGAATGGCAGCAAAAGACCGCTCAGTTGCTTGGACGTGCTTGACCTTCTTCAGCTGCTCTTGCACCTGGCTGCTGTGGCCGCCGTATTCTGGAGAACCCCAGGTCAAAACTTCGCCCCCGTGGCCATGCAAGGCAAACGCCCTGTTGGTGGCTGCCAATTTGACAAGCTGCACAACTGCAGTCACCACATCCCCGTCTTGCAACCCAGCCTCACTTAGCGTGGCCGTCAAATTGAGCTGGCGGCCTTTCGCAGTGAGCTTCAAACGGCGCTTGAAATGCTGCTGCGCTGTAGCTTTCAGCTCGCTGATTGGCCTTTTCGATGAGAGTGAGATGGAACAACCATATCCGCTGGGCAAGTGAACATCCACCTTCATGGCGCGGAATGTATATTGTTGTGCGTATTCAAATTATGACACTCGAATCTGAGATGATTCAAGCTGGCTTGAAAAGAACATGCGCAAGACCGACACAAAATAAAACTCCTCGAGCTACCATCCTTGTGTTTGTCCCAGGCTGAACTGAAACATTGCGACTGAAGTTCTTCAGCTGCCTTCTTTGTATGCTTTAGGGAAAACCGAAAGGAACACCATTTTTTTCTTAGGGGGGGTCCTCGAAACAATGACACACCCAAATAAAGAATTGCACGCTCGACCTCGCCAAGAACAATCGCCACATGTTGAATCATTTGCGTTGCAGTGGATTCAAGGCTCCTCTCAAAGGCCTTCCGGTGGGTTCCATGTTGATCTTTCAGCTCTCTCAGAACAGGCAATCGATGCACGCTCTCGTCTTTTTCAAGCACACGTGTGGGTGTGCCGTTTTTCGGAGACGCAACAACATGGATGTTGTTCCTTGTGGTTTTCCTTTAACCCCCCCCCCCAAAAAAACAAACAAACAAACACGGGTACCCTCAAAAAAGACAAACCCATATTGAGAACGCAAGAACGCAACGAATCTCGGGCGAGCCAAACACGCTCAGCACAAGAGACTCTGACAGACAATATCTATATAGTTATAGATGTGCTTCTGCTTGGCCTGATGTTGATGCTTAGATGGTGGGCAAGGAATCTCAATCTCAGGGGAAGCCAAATTGTACGGGACCCAAAAACCAAAAAGCAGCGAAACACTTGATCCAACAGTGAACTGCCTGGAGTCTCCTTCTGACTCTTTAAAAATGGTTGGTCATTACCCAAAATAAATGGGGTCATGGATCCATTTTTATTTCGGGTCAGAAGGAGACTCGAGGTGAATGTCTAACAGACTGGACATTCCGGGGCATCTCGTAAAAACTGGCTCAGGGAATGAATGACCCTGAGGATTCCCCGAAGGACACCTAGGTGCGAGTGGCCTTTGGAAAAATAGATGGGTTTCCCTGGTCAATGGGAAAAAAAAAAACATCTAAACCAGGGATCGCCCTCTATTTTGTAAGCAAACCAACCAAAAAGGACACCTAGGTGCGAGGGGGGAGTCCATTTCTCCGGGTGCCCGCATCTCTCACGGGAAGATCAATGGCTTCCTGGAAAGCCGGTATGGACGTATGGCCGTTTTTTTGGTGGACAACCGTGGTCATTTTTGGGTGGCCCAAGCCGTATGGACAGAAAAAGAAGAAGAAGAAGAAAAAAAGTCACATATGGGTTTCCAGGTTGATTCTGAGCACAGGGTGTCCCCTCTTAGTGCAGGAATACTTCCCCCTTTTGCTCAGATGCCCAATGGATGTCCATCGGAAAAAGGAATCGGCATCCGATTGTTTTTGGTTGCCTGACTTTAAAGGATCGGAACCCAAAACCCGCAAAAAGTTGGAAAAAAGGAACCGCGACCCACTGGTTGCAACTGGGTTTAGTGGGACCCCAACTTCCCCGAGTCCCCAACCCCAACCGAGTCGTCGACCCCAACTCCCCCAACCGAGTCCCAGAAATCGATCGCCGGCTCGCTAAGTCCCAGGAAGCAACCCTGGGTTTAGTGGGACCTCAACCCCAACCGAGTCGCTTTCCAAGAACAGGGATCCTTACATTGTACACCTGGACATTGCAACTTGTAAATGGTGGTGTCCCTTTCTTTATTTTAGTGTTGAAAAAGCAACATGCTTAAAATGGTGGCAAAATGTATCTTTTAAGGAGCCCTGAAGAAATCGCCGCTTTTTCGAAGAAATCCATCGCCGGCTCGCCCAGTCCTGGAAGGCCATCATGCCGAACGGGTCCCAGTACCCCAGCGGCGGGCATGCGCCCAGCTCCTCGCAAACGGGTGGGGGTGGGGGGTGGGGGGCCTTTACTTACCTTATGCCTTTACTTACCTTCTACCTCCATTTGCTTTTTCGCCCCCTGGAAAAAAAACATTAAACAAAAAAAACAACATCCAGTAGCGATACATTCCCTTTAAAACCAAAAGGGGAAGCTCAAAATATACCTGGAGTCTCCATGACCCTTTAAAAATGGGGTCATTACCCAAAATAATGGGGTCATGGACCCATTTTTATTTCGGGTCAGAAGGAGACTCCAGGTAGTCTTCAGCAAATGGAAGTCTATAGGAGCCCCTTGGGCCTCATGAGTTGAGGCCTTAGGTCAAAGGCAGGGCGCAAGGGGCCAGGGATATGTTCCAGTCGGTTTTACTCACCGCTCACTGGCTGAGTGGATGGCCCAAAAAAAGTCCAAACTTTAAATTTACCACTAACATGGTCTTCCCAAAAAGTTTAAAGTTCATGAACTCAGGAAGTCAGCACCTTCATATTCAGGGTCTTGCTCTCGACCTTCGTCCTGGAAAAAAGGTCGTCTCCGCCTTTGATTGGATATTCGGGACATCGTTGCACTTTTGGCCGCAACACGCCTAAACTCCAGAAATACGCCAAACTTTTTGTCTGAAAGCCTACGCCTAAAATACACCATCGCAATGCTCGCAGCCTTGCAGCCGTTGACAGAAAGGAAGCTTTGCAGGGCTAAACCACTTAATGCAGCCCGCCAGTTTTTCGAAACATGCGCGGTCCAATTTTGTGCGTTGCAGCAAAAGCGTACCCATTCTGACCGCAAAACGACCGCACAATTCCGCAATTCTCCCGCAATAGCCCGCAAATTCCCAGCAAATCAGAACAAGTTGTAGTTTTGATGATGAAGTCATCCCATGGTGTTCACTGGCACATTGGCAAGTGCTGAGAGGTGTATTGACTTTGTATGGCCGCTGCGCGACTGGAAATGACGCACTTCGTATGTGTTTATGCCCAACTTGTAGCTAAACCACTGGTTTCAGACATCGCAGGGGTCTCCCAAAGCACCCAGAAATGTCCCGGAGTTTGAAGGTCCAGGTCCTATATTCTGAGGTGCGGTTTACTCACCTTCTATATTTGCCAAAGAGCCTATTTAACACCCAAACTCCGCTTGTTCAAACCCCGTTTCAGGCAGAACCAAATCAACCTCGGCACTTAGGCGTTCAACAAAGTACACCTTGGAGGCCCGGACATTTCGAGCGGAAAAAGGTCTGCCTGGAGTCTCCCGAATTGGACCCGAAATAAAAATGGGAAGGGTCAGACTACCCAAATAATGGTTGGTCATGGTTCCCCATTCTTATTTTGGGTCATGGAGACTCCAGGTAACGAGGGGCCTTCTGGACCTCACAATTCGCTGGGGCTTTATGTCCACCCATTTGGGAGGGGCTCCCCCATTAAAACTCATATGGGGAAATGGGTTCCGGTCTGGATGTAGCATGTTGAGTGACCGAAGAGAAAGGGAACAAGGGGGGCCACTGAACATCTGGGCCCGGAAGGAACCACAAAACGAGTCACGAACGATTGCTTGGGGTTCTACGTCCTGCAGAGTAGACCACTCTACCCCCGTAACCTCCAAATACCCGTTTTTTGTGGTATTTTTTGGAAAACCGATCGGTTTTTCAAGGTACATACCTCCCTTTTTAGTAGAGGGTCGACATCATACCCTAAAAAAAGTGGGTATTGGGTGTAAGGGGTAGTTTAGACAGATTTTCCTCTTAAAGGCGCCAGGCTCTAGGTGTAAAATTGGAGGCCACCATACAACACCGGAGTTCGAACCTAGGTCGGATCAACTTGCAGGGTTGGTCCAAAGACCCTAGGCTTTGGGGTGGAACTGCAATGATAAACTCACCTCCTATCGACTGGGTTGGCCAAAAAAACCTCAACCTGTTTGCCACCAAAAATTGCTCAAAATGGTCATCATTCTATTAATGGAGCCCTTGGGTTATTCTTTTCATATGGGCCTTTCAAGGAACCCTTGGGTCTGCGTTCTCTTCGGCTCGGGAGGCATCAAACGCCAACCGCCCAACGAAGGCTCGCGCCTTGGAGGGGTCGAACTGCGCGAAGGCGCCCTGGCCGTCGTTGAAGGGCGAGATGTGGCCCGCCGTGAGCTGCTCGATGGGCGACTGCCCGGTCAGCCCATTCCTTCGAATCGCGAATGAGGCATTGCGAGGAGTAGGGGAGCGGGAGCAAGGCTCGGCCGTTTTGTCCGCGCCGTTTTCTTTGCGGCTGTTTTGAGGCCGCGCTAAAAATCCACGAGGGTGCCAACTCGAAAAACAACATGCCCCAAGGGAACCATGTAAGGGAACCATGGAGGGACTTCTCGCGGGAGTTCCACCTTGCTTCTCACGGAATGGGACCGAATGATTTCTATTTTTCTCTAAGTTCGGTTGCCAAGCGAGTTCGTAAGTTGTCGGCAACCATTCAATTGGTTCTAACCCACAAAAAAGTCCCCCGTGAATCTGGGGGTAACCAACTGGTTCTGCGGCGATCTCCAATTAACTTGGCCACACCCAAAGTACAAAATCACCCATATTGCTGGTTTTAAGGGATGCCAAAAGGAACTTGGCCAGCCATCCGGTTCCTTAGCTTTTTGGCCTTTTGGTGTTTGGTGGTAGTTTCCATTTAAACCACTAAAAGTTAGTCACTTTTAGCAGGGGATTTGAGGGCAGCCCAGGTTGTTGTTGGTTCTGCCTGGAGTCTCCTTCTGACCCTTTGAACATGGTTGGCCATGACCCCTTTCTTTTGGGTAATGACCCCATTTTTAAAGGGTCATGGAGACTCCAGGTAGGTTTCCTTTAAGGTATCCTAAACGATTGCCGAAAACTGCTCAGAACTTTCAATCGCTCCAACTTGGTGCAGGTCAAATAGACACAGCCCCTTAGGATGTATTTGTTTGTTCAAAATGAGGAAACACTCAAAATGAGGTACGGTGTCCTTTTGGTTTCCCTTTAAAACCAAAAGGGGAGGTTCCCAAAACCACACACCCATTGCTACTCATACCCCCGTATTCCGAATGCCAACTTTTTCTCGGGTATGTTTTGGAAAACCTGGTTTTTCAAGGTAAAGTCCTCCTTTTTTAGTAGAGGGTCGACATGTCATGGGAATCTTTGAAGGATGTGAAGGAACCCAAAGGAACCCGAGGCTGTGGCTGGATGAGCATGCCAGCCACCGCAATCATCGCCAGCCTGACGGCCGACGGCCGGGTGGAACCTCGTGATAGAGCGATCCAGTGCCGAACTCTATGCGGAGTTTCCTTCTGAAAGTTGCAGTAATGGTTGGTGATCTGCCCAAAATAATAAATGGTCACGACACGTTTGTTCAAGGGTCATAGAGATTCCAGGTAGAATTGGGCCAATGATGGGTGAGGTGCTTTAGTGATCATGTGAGACGACTGGTACCCTAGGGTCCAACCCCCTCTAAGAATGGTTGACCCATTTTAGATGATGACAATCCTTGTTTACCGTGGTAACCATTGTTTTAATGGTGGTAACTGAACCCCCGGGTTGTTCGCAACTATTTAGCTCCATACTGGACACTTTCCACTTCGCACCAGTCAACCAGTCAACCGACTCCTAGTCGCGGGGGGTGAAATTTGTCCCAACTGGTGGAGATTGTCCACCCATCCTACGTTTCCACTCAGGGGTTGAAGCGGAAACACACTTTTTCCAGAGCATGTTGTGAAAAACCGATCGGTTGTCCAGGGTAAATACCTCCATTTTTGGTAGAGGGTCGACAAAGTACCCTAAAAAATTGGAGGTACTGGGTGGTTACGGGGTAGCAGTCCAGTGACCTCAGGCCCACCAAACAACAAGCGAGTCACCATCAAAACCGGTATCATTTCGAAGCTGTGGCTGGGACTGTCCCTTAACCTTCAACCCTGACGTTTGAGCACGTGGCTCAAGTGGAGTTCTAAACAAGAAACAAACCAAACAACACACACACAAATGGTTCAAGTGGAGTTCTAAAACACACACACACAAAAAGAAGAGGACACCCCACCCCCGCGGGAAAACGCGAGGACACCCCACATTTCGGCACCTGCCGTTGTTCAGCTCCGTGGTGAGCTTCAGCTTGCGCTCCGCAGGGTCCTAACGAAACGGAACGAAGTCGGGAATTCTACCTGGAGTCTCCCTAAGGACCCCTTTTTGAGGTTTTACAAGGACACCACCAATTTTACGGGGGGTTCTCAACAATACCTGGAGGCTCCATGACCCGAAATAAAAATGGGTCCATGACCCTATTATTTGGGGTAATGACCAACCATGTTTAAAGGGTCAGAAGGAGACTCCAGGTAGGGGGAAATGAACCCGGGAATGAGACATGGTTCAAGTTTGTTTTTTTTGGTACGGGTAGTTTCAGAGTTCAATGGATCCACTGGGCGAGGCATTGAGTCAGAAATCTAGGGCTAGCTCGGAAATCCGAATCTTTCTAGAAAACCACAAAAAAACCCTGGGGAAATGGTGATCGGTTGAAAATAACGATGGCGGAATAGAATGGACAAGGAATCCACCAGAATGAGAAATGTAATGAACTCAGGTCCTGAAGGAAGCCAACAAAAATGGTTTACAGGGGTCTTTCCCTTCCCTGAGCAGCGAGGAATTGAGAATCAAGCAATACGGTTGATTCAACCTGCGCTTTTTGTTCAGCTCTGGGCATCTGCTCATGTACCTGTTCAGGCATCGTATTGAAACCTTGTGTTGCTTGAGGCATGTTAACGTGCTTTAACGCATGTTGTACTGTACGCGTTTTAACTCGAGGCCTCGTTACATAGGCCTGGGTCATTCTAACGCATTTTAACACGCTTTGACTCGGCACTTGGCCTTCGCTGCAAGCATTGTCTTCTTCTTTGCCGTGGCTGGCATCCGCCGGTGTCGCAGTGAGAACTTGTCTGGAAAGTGGCTTAATGTCAGGCATGTCTGTCTTCATCGGGAAAAGCACAAAGTCTGGTTTGCCAATCGTGCGGCTTCTTGATGATTAACAACTAGTCGTGCCATTCATACCTCTATTTGCTGTCGGTGTACTACCTGGAGTCTCCATGACCCTTAAAAAGTGGGTCCATGACCCCATTATTTTGGGTAATGACCCAATTTTTAAATGGTCGTGGAGACTCCAGGTACACACAATTAACTTATTTTCAAAAATTCTTCCCTAGAACAGACCAGCGCAGGTCTCGAACAGAAAAATCTCCAAACATCGGTCCATGGGTCCGGGTCATTTTGCCCAGCAAAGGCTTCGGAGCCCAATATGTCACATCTCTACTCTTGGTATGGGCTTGCGAAAACTGACGGTTTTTTGCAGACCCCCAGTAAACATGAACAGAACCAAAAAAAAGAACATGCCAAGAACAGTGAAGTATTCAGCTTCCCACGGATATATTTTTTTGGTTTGGAGCCCCATGATTTGAAGTACCTGGCACCCCGTATGGCTGTTTTTTTCTTGTTTTTTTTTTTTTTCCTTTTTCGGTCAAACTCCCGTATTTGGCCGTATTTGCCCGTATGGCCATGATTTTTCGGTCATTTGCGTAAATCACCCGTATGAACCCCATATTTTTTCGACATGTTGTTGAACAAAAAACGTAAAAACAACTGTATCGCCATTTTTTTCGGTCAAAGGCGTATGACCAAAAAAAACGGCCATATGGGGTCCCAGGTAGGTTTTAACCCAAATAGAAGTCCCCCGTAAATATGGGGGTAACAACTTAGTTTATAAGGGGGTTATACCCCAAGTGGCTAAACACTTATACTAGCTTAAGCAAACTCTGCGCCAAATAAGTTCAGGTGCTGCTTCAAACTTGTTTACTCTACCCACCTTTGTTGTGGTACTGAAGGGAAACCAAACAACACGTACACCCCAATGTATCCTAGGGCTTGTACATGTTTATACAACGGATTTGTAGATAATTATTCATACATATATATATATACATATATATGCAACATATTTCTCTATATATATACACATTTAAACAAAGCGACAACATAGGAGACCCAGGTCAAATTGTAAAGCCACCAATCGATTGCTGAACAGGGATCTGGTGCCCAACTTTATGGTGTTGAAAAAACAACATGCTTCAAATGGTTGCAAAATGGAGATTGTTTTTATTTAATTTTCGGAGCTTTTTTTTTTTTTTTCCGGCTGAACCGATTGGGTTCCAAAGTGTTCCCATGTGGAAAAGCTAAACCTCACTTGGTCCTTGAGGACCTGCCTGCACCCCCCAAAAAAGACCCATGTTTATTGCCTTTGACCCAGAAAAAAAAAAAAAAAAAAAACGGTACAAAGCCACAAAAAAGGGATCGGTCTTTTGGGGGTCCAGGTGGAAATGAAAGGAAGGTCGTCACCTCTTAAGGAGCCCTGCCGAATGGGTTCACCTCGGAAGCCCAGGTCCACCGGCCTTTGGATCAGAACCCCACTGGAAACCACGGGGCGGCACCCGAAGCTTCCATCGTTTTCGCCCCCCTGGAAAAACATAAAAGGTGTCCTTTAAAACCATAAACAAAAGATATGGTTCCCTGTAGTCATATGGCTCCCTGTAAAACCAACAGGGGAAAATCAAACATATTGAGCAAATGGAAGAAAGTGAAGGACACCTAAATTAAGACCTGCCAACCACGAAACGAATTTGTGGGCAAGGCAATACTTCCATTTGCCTTTTCGCCCCCTGGAAAAGACAAACACAAGAGAAGTAGTGATAGATTCCCAGCACGAAACCAACTTAAGGACCCAACAAATCTGTCCGAATCGCACTTGCCCTCTGCCATGAATATTTTTTGCAAGCTGACGAAAGGTCCCAACTTGAGGAAGCTCAGCATTTTTTCCACCAAGGTCCACTCAGCCTTTCCGATGGCGCACACTGCCTTTCGCAAGCCCCACACTTGAGCTGTGATGCTGTGTGGGAAGATCTACCTAGGCTTCAATCCCGATGATGTACATTCTGAAAATAGTGGCAAGGGCCCATCTTGGATGGAGCTCCTGAAAAAAAAGGCACAATTGTAGGCATATGAACCCCTTCTTGGTCAAACATGTTGAGGGGGATGCTAAACAGAAACCACAAAGAAACCGAAGCCAACGGTTGGGTTTGCAAACTTGCCCATAGTTCCAGGCAAACCATGAAAGTAGGTAACCCTTCTCTACTTTCCTATTGGTTTAAGTATACTCAGCTATTTCCCGCCCCCTGGCTCGGGTTACCTCCAAAACCGAACAGAAAAAGGATCCACTGGCTCAGGTTTCCCAACCATTTGGCCGGGTCCAACCCGAGTTTCGAGGGTCACGCGCCTGGATCTTCCTTCCCCAGTACCCCGTGCCGAAATTGCCCGGCTCACCTCAGTCAGTGAGCTTTCTCGTGTGGACCAGGTTCCATGTCAATTGGGAGGGTACCAGTCTCCTCCTGGAGTCTCCCTAAGGACCCTTTAAAAATGGGTCCATGATTTTGGGGTAATGACCAACCATTTTTAAAGGGTCATGGAGACTCCAGGAATTGGTGGGAGGGTACCAGTCTCCTGCGTGGGGTCATCTATCCCGCAGTCTCGTTCCCCCTTCTCACCTGCCGCAGGACCTGGAACTGAAAAGTGATCACCTTTTGGGTTGTCACGACGAAATACTGTGCATGGTTGCGAAACCAAAACTCGCACCACCCTTCAGAAACCCTGGAATGATGCGATTTTCTGTCAACCATGGCAACTCATTTCGTGGTGCGAAATGATTTCGCAACCATCCGCAGTATGTTTCAAGGGGCGACCTTACTTGTCCGTCCGACCGCGCGCCCCCCCCCGGATCATGTCGCGCGACCCAAAATTATGTCCCAACAAAACCAAGAACAGAAAAACAACTTGCCACGAACAGAGAATACCTGGAGTCTCCATGACCCTTTAAAAATGGTTGCTCATTACCCAAAATCATGGTTGGTCATGGACCCATTTTTATTTCAAGGGTTCAATTCGGGACACTCCAGGTCAAAGTCATCGGCTTTGACAGGCTCGTGGAAAGTGGATGCCGGTTTCTGCCTTCGGATTTGGTCGGACCGTACTCTGCGGTTCTCTTAGGCATGGATCTAATTGAAGATCTCTCACTTCCAGGGGCATTGTACGTCAGGCAAGTGGGTAACTGCAATGACCTCGGTTGCGAAATCTGCGAAGCCCGGCTAAAAGTGAATAACCCATTAGTTGGCAACAAGTTAAAGTCCTAACATCCAAGCAAAATGCACCAAAGTAAAGTTGGTTATAATCCACTTGCCCTGGGTATAGGCGGGTTATAACCAGGCTTACTAACCACTTTACTAAGTACCCGATCGCCCCTGTCAGTGTGGTGCTTCGATCCATCGGAAGCTCACATTCCTTCGCAGTGGGCCATGCCTAGGAGTGCTGTGAAGAGGGGCTTGCTTTCTTCGGAACTGAACTCAGTCGACTTCCCAGCAAAAGCCTTAACTTGTCCTTGGCTGAAATGAAGAAGACACCCGTACCTCGAGTCTCAACCCTTACATAGTGGGGGGTCTAGGGGTCATGACGGGTCATGACCCATTTCTTCAAAGGTCACGGAGACTCCAGGCAAACAACAAGTCTCGAGTTTCCCAACTGAACAATGTGAAGACGGATGCAGTCTGGCCACCATACTTGGCATAGCCAAAGCCGCCGAAGGATTGGTCCTGGCTCGACTTGCAACAACTCGCCTTGCCAAAGCGACTTTGGGCAAGTGCTCAGCATTCCAAAGACATGTCTAGCGGTATCCCCCAACTCTTTTGAGGCGTTCTTCTTTTGGTAAATGTTCTCAAAACCTGAGTGGGTTCTCCCAAGAACGATCGGTCAAAAGTCTGAGTCATGCTTTTGTATCCCGGAAAATACAGACATCCTACACAGACACAGATCTCCTTGGCATCTCAAAAAGGACTACCCGTTATCTCCATGACGTTGAAAGATGGGGTCATCAACCCAACAGAGGGCATGGCCCCTTTCTCACTTCCTCAGAAAGAGTCAACACCTGGTGTGTACCACTTCTTTTTTTCCGCAACCAGTGACTAAAGTCCTGGTTTTCGTTGGAGGGTCCTTAGCGTCTTGACTGTCCCCTTTGGGGATTCATTCAAAAGGCGTCTCCTTCGGGGCTTGGCAGGCTATGAACCGCCGCGCATGGGAATATTCTCTCAAACATCAGAAGCAATGTTCGGTTCTTTGCCATCAATGTAAGTACTGCGCTGCAAAAACTAACGAAAGGAACACCCAAAAGGGTCAACACATCCGTGCAGATTCGTCTACAAATGATGCTGAGGTCCCATATTTGTTTGGCTGTGGAATCGCAGCTGACGAGCCCATGGTTGTGTTCCCAGACAGGGGAATTTGGTGAGCAACCTCAGGAAATGGTAAATCGGTGATGTCCAATGTCCTCCCCTCTACAAGAAATAAGGGCGAACATACGTTAGTCATATCAAGGCATGCAAAGTTCGACAAATTGCTCACCTCTTCCTGCGTGGATTGGCAAAGTGAAAACTTTTAGATGGACACTAAATTGATCTTCCCAAAGTATCTCAGAAGCCCAGTGGTCAAGGGGAACAGGATTCCGCACTGTTTTTGTATTGGTGGATGTTAAGCGCTTCCCCAAACAGTCAAACACTAGGTCCTCCAGCAGAGAGGTTAGAATAAGGCTACCCCTTTTTCTGTAGTCGATTTTAGTAGGGGAACCCTCCCAAGCAAAAAAGGGCCAAAAGGGGCACCTAGCTGGGGGACCTAGGAAATTCTACCAAACAAAGGAGGTATATTTATCATGGACACCAAACGATTTTTCGAAAAGAATACCGAGTACAAAAAAGACGGGCAGTTGAAGGCTGCGGGGGTAAGGGAACAAGCAGAGCTACCAACTTTTTGCTGTAGTCTATTTTAGGGGACCCCCAAAAAAGGGGTAACAGGGGCACCTAGCTGGGGGAGGAATCTCCAGCTCCGCCGATCGGGTCAGGAGGTGCTCCCTAGGGCAACTTAGGGCAAGCGACGGAATCTGAGGTCTACATAAGCGGGCGGTCGCTCCCGATCAACCTGAATCTCAGTTGTTCAATGCTGGTCAACCCAGGTTTTCCCAAAAATACCCTAGAAAAAGGCCGGGTATTTGGCTCAGTTGTTCAGTGACCCTGGAAAAAGAAAAGAATTGGAACCCTTTTTGGGGCTTGGACCATTTTTAGTTTTGAAAAAAAAAATCCAAAGATAAATTTGGGCTCTTTGAGATTCCTTTGATCGCCTAAGCAGGGTACCTGGAGTCTCCATGACCCTTTAAAAAAAAGTCATCCGCCTAGAAGAAGGGGTCTCGTTCCCCCTTTTCTGAAGGGTCCTGATTAAGATTCGCGGCAGTCTTTTTTTGTGGGATTGTTTTTTTGGTGTTTGAAAGAGAAACCAAACAGACCACCGAGATCCATGTTGGGGTGCGTAAAGAACAACGAGCCACCCATTTAGCTGTCATGACCATTGCCCCTTAGTTCCAGGGAAACATCAAGAATCTCCTTAGATGGCCCAGAGCTTCCTCGGCCTGAGTAACTTAGGCCGTTTGTCAACGGCCGGTTTCAACACCCCGTAAAAAGGCCGTAAAAAGCCAACCCGTGTTTTTTTTCGGCCTCCGTAACTCAGACCTTTGGACTTTTTGGGTGGGGAGACATGGTGGATGTCATGTGGAAAAGCATCGATGGGAGCCTAAGGAACCGGGAAACCTGAAGTCTTCGCTCACCACGGTGAGTTGAAAGAGAACCCCAACAAAAACAAGTTCCCTGAAGGACGAGCCACACACGCACACACACACACATAAATCCCTGGGAGAACCAGACTTGCTGGAGTCTCCCTAAGGACCCGAAATACAAATGGTCAGACTACCCAAAATAATGGAAAGGGTCATGGACCCATTCTTGAAAATCGGGTCCAATTCGGGAGACTCCAGGTTGCCGTTTACCACCAAGGCCACCAACCAAACCCCCCAGCCATCGGCTCCGAGTTCGAACCGACAATGGAAGCCTGGGAAAAAAAAGGGAATTCGGGTATTAGGGAGACTCCAGGTATTTGGTAAGACGTTTTTTTTTGTTTTTCCTCGGGCAAAGGCTTTTGACCAAAACAAGGAACGGGTCCATGACCAACCATAAATTTGTGGCGACCAACCATTTTCTAAGGGTCCTTAGGGAGACTCCAGGTACCAACTTAAAACGGGAACTACATAATTCACCAACCATAAATTTAACCTGCTCTCCAATTCCCATTTTGGAGTTGCAGCTTTGAAGGTCCAAACGCCCCATTTTTGTTGGTTTGATGGTGGCAACTGCCCGAACCGCAGCCCTTGCGAGAAATCAGCCAATGGAAGCCCATCTGTTCATATGAATCGGCTCCAATTCCTTTTGCGCCTAGAATAAAAATGGGTTGAAAATATGTCCAGACGTGAACTCGATCGATCCCCTTTGCCAACAGGAGAAAAAAAGGGAAAAAACAAAAACATACCTGGAGTCTCCCTAAGGACCCTTTAAAAATGGTTGGTTTCATTACCCCTTTGGGCCCAACATCATGGTCCAATTCCTTGAACAAAAATGAGAGGATATCTCCAGTAGTGAAATAACAGGGGGACAAAAACAACAACTATCAATTTCAGCAAATGGAATCCTTCAGGGAAACAAGAAACAAATGGGCGCGGCTCAAAAAAAAGCGGAATTCCAACATGGGTTGTCCCGGTAAGTGGAAAAACATGGGTACCAAGACCTGCGTATTGCCTGCCCGCCCCGATGGTTTCGTTTTGCTTGCCACGCCCATATAGCCCTCCTTGAAGAGCTGGGTCTCAATGAGCCCCGCCACCAGCAAGACCTGCAGCCAGCCCTCCAGGGGCACCTGCCACGGCTCCGAGCCGAGCCCTCCGAGCCCTCAGGCCAGCCGCGGCTCGGCCCGAAAATTTTCTCAAATCTCGGCGAAGTCTGCGAGGCGCGGCGAAAAGTGAATATAACTTTTAGTGGGTTTCATTCGGAAAGCATCCAGTAGTTTGCAAAAGGTTTTTAAGTCCTAATTCCAAAGCTGCAACAAAGTAATGAGGTGGGTGTGGGTCAAAATTCAACCACCAAACAAGCACTGGTCTTAGTCCATGTTTCCATTTACCGATCGGGCAACCCATTTTGGGGATACCCCATTTTTGACCCACAGCCAGGGCATGAAAAACCAATTGGGGGCTCGACTCTCAAAAATACTGGGGCTGCGGCTCGGGCTCGAGCGGTGGCATGAAAAACCAACAGCAATGAGGAGTTGGACTTTCAAAAAACACCAACTTCAAAACGCATAATTTGGATATGGCCGTTTTTTTGTTTGGGGGTGGTTTCCTTTTTGTAAGTTGGTGGTTTGAGGTTTCAGGCATGAATCTTTCGCCACCACGGTTTGCCCTTCAAAATGGCTGAATCAGCTATATTTGGTCCTTGCCTTTTTTTTTTGGGGGGGGGCCAGGAACCCGAGGGTTTTGCTTCGAACTCCCTGACCGAAGGTTTCGCATCTTGACCACCTGGAGCCCCGAAAGGCCACTTTCCTTCGGTCCAAAGGCGTAGTTGGCCCGCGTTTCGCCGTAAGGTTGTTGTTTTCGAAATTTTCCCGTATTTGGCCGTCATTCTATCCCGCCAACAAAAAAACACAAAAAACAAGTTATAGAGGACGCTGCTCGGCTCGCGCGCCATCTTTGGCAGTTTGTCTCAACAGAGGAATCGGAGCCCAACGTCGGGGCGGGGAATTTGCCCACGTTTCCTTTTCCTGGGAGCCCACGAAAAATCGCCCCAAAAAAAACCCGCAAAAAATCTGAGGGACCCGGTTCCCACGCAACCCCGGTTCAGCGGCCAAACGTGACCCAAGTGGGTTTTGGTTTCCATGCGCAACCAACCCAAGGCCGCTCTTTTCAAAACAGGGGGGTCTTTTTGCCACGTACCTTTTGTAAGAAAATTGGCGACCCCGGAAAAAGGAATCCTTCACTACGAGGGGGGTGATCATTTTTCCACAGAAGGTGGCAACAAGACCCCCCCTGTTTCGAAGAAGAAAAAAAAAGGGCGAGCCCAGGGCCGTATTTTTTGCTAAGGCCAGTTCCCACCGCCTCTCACTTTTTTGGGGGGGTGGTCCTTTCGCCACCTTTGAGAGAATTGCGATCCTTCACTACGAGGGGGGCATGTTTTTTTCCACAGGTGGCAACAAGACAACGAGCCCAGGGCCTTCCAATCTATATGGCTAGCTCCAAGTGCCTAACTACCTGGAGTCTCCATGACCCTTTAAAAATGGGTCCATGACCCCATTTTTAAAGGGTCATGGAGACTCCAGGTACCTTTTTGTTGGTGCAGGGGGGGGGGGGGGAGGGCAACCTTCTACGACTAAATATATGGTTATAGGCTATAGGTCTAAGATTGAAAAATATGCGACCCAAACACATGGTTGGTAATGTCCGTTTTGTATGAGTTGTTTGTGGGTCCAGGTCACTTGGGGGGGCGGGGTTGTGAGGCTCAGGATTTCTGGGACGCCTGACATAGACAAAAAGGCACCAACAAAAACCCTGTGTTGGTTTGGTTTCGTTTGCTTAAATTTCCACTGCGGTTTGGGTTGCTTGGTGCTCAGCCCAGAACATTTCCCCAGGTTGACCCTTTTGGCTTCCCCTTTACCAACAAACAGGGGACGCTCAAAAAGGCTTCCCCTTTAAAACCAATCAAAAAACAAGGGAGAGCCTCAAAAACAAGCCCCTTGAAACCCAACAGGAAGGGGAGCCTCAAAAATCAGCTACCCCGGATGGAGCTTCGGATGGAGCTCTTTTTCGCTTTTTTTGATGCCGAAAGAGGAACTACCAGGTCCCGGGAGTCCAAGCTCGGGTTTCCTATTTGGCTGGTCAACAATAGGTACCTCAAATGAACAGGGAGAGCTGAAGATTGCAACTTGTAAATGGTTTCCATTTCTTCATGTTGAAAAAGCAACATGCTTCAAAGGGTTTCAAAATGGATTTCTTTTAAGGAGCCCTGATGAAGCCCTGGTAAAGGGAACGAACCAAGGACTAAAACCCGCGGTCCAATTCCTGTTGGATTACTTGTGACCCATACCCATTTGACTTCAACTCAGGGCTAGGGTTTCCTGTTTGTTTCAACTCAGCTGGCGTAAACCCATGGCTCATCCCCTTTAAAGGAGAAGCCCTCGGGTTTAAGTCTATCACAGGGATCCGGATGCATTTTTCACCTGAACATTGCAACTTGTAAATGGTGGTTTCCCCTTAGTTTGGTGTTGAAAAAGCACCATGTTTCAAATGGTTGCAAAATGTATCTTTTAAGGAGCCCTGTATCAAAAGGGTGACAAGTGGAACCCTCAACTCAGATGCCCAGTATGGGGAAAAAAGGGCACCGGCATCCGAATTGTTTTTGGGTTGGTTGAGTGCAAAGGGGGGAGCCCTTCCCAAAAAAAGTTGAAAAAAGGAAGCAACCCACTGGGCAACTGGGTCAAATATGCAAACTTCCCCCCTTTCAAGTCGTAGATCACGGCTGATCAAATCGTTAATCCTTCTCCCTACGAATAACTACGTTACCTTTCCCACACCTACGTTACCTTTCCCAGACTACAGATGTGCAAATATTAATAAACAAGACTTAGGCAAGGCAATGCTAAACCAAATCTAAACTCCCAGATTTCCTCTCCCGCTGACACCAGCTGGAGTCATATTAGCCAACATTTCAGTCCCCACACTAGACCATACTAAACTACAAGTAAACCAAAACGAGACAAACACAAAGCCATACTCACCCATCCAAAGTTTGAAATCCAAACTAGTCAGAAACAACCCTTTTCTACCTTCTCTAAGCAAAGCAACGTCTGACCTAAGGACTGCAGTGACACCCCAACACAAATCCAGCCTCTTGATTTCAATAGCCTTCAACCCCCAGGTAAGTATATTCATTAGGACTGGAAAATTTGTTTAGGAAGAAAATGGGGGAAGTGAAGAGTGAACCCAACAAAGAGTGAAGGCCAACGCAAAGGCCTCAAAAAGCATCCTAGGTCAGGGGAAGAAAGGGAACTTGCTCTGAAGGTTCATGCGCGAGCTAGCACAGGTTTGGCGCAGCAAAGTTGCCGTACTTCTCATGCTCAACAGCGCAAGATTAGCAGCTCAGCTGCTCTTGCACCTGGCTGCTGTCTCCGCCGTATTCTGGATAACCCCAAGTGACAACAGCCCCAGAGTCAAGAATGGCAGCAAACGCCCGGATAGTTGCTTGGATGCGCTGGACGTTCCTCAGCTGCTCTTGCACCTGGCTGCTGTCTCCACCGTGTTCTGGATCACCCCAGGTCACAACAGCCCCACATTCAAGAATAGCAGCAAAAGCACCATGAGTTGCTTGGATGTGCTGGACGTTCCTCAGCTGCTCTTGCACCCCGCTGCTGTCTCCGCCATCTCGTGGATGACCCCAGGTCACAACAGCCCCAGATTCAAGAATGGCAGCAAAAGCGGATTGAGTTGCTTGGATGTGCTGGGCGTTCCTCAGCTGCTCTTGCACCTGGCTGCTGTCTCCGCCACCTTCTGGATGACCCCAAGTCACAACAGCCCCAGATTCAAGAATGGCAGCAAAAGCACCGTCGCCTGCTTGGATGCGCTGGACGTTCCCCAGCTGCTCTTGTACCTGGCTGCTGTCGCCGCCATGATTGGGATGACCCCAGGTCACAACAGCCCCAGATTCAAGAATGGCAGCAAAAGCGGATTGAGCTGCTTGGATGCACTGGACGTTCCTCAGCTGTTCTTGCACCTGGTTGCTGTCTCCGCCAAACTCTGGATCACCCCAGGTCACAACAGCCCCAGATTCAAGAACGGCGGCAAAAGCACTGCAAGTTGCTTGGATGTGCTGGACGTTCCTCAGCTGCTCTTGCACCTGGCTGCTGTCTCCGCCATATTCTGGATCACCCCAGGTCACAACAAACCCAGATTCAAGAATTGCAGCAAAAGCACTGCGAGTTGCTTGGATGTGCTGGACGTTCCTCAGCTGCTCTTGCACCTGCCTGCTGTCTCCGCCGCTTTCTAAATCGCCCCAGGTCACAACAGCCCTGGATTCAAGAATGGCAGCAAAGGCACAGGCAGTTGCTTGGATGCACTGGACGTTCCTCAGCTGTTCCTGCACCTGGTTGCTGTTTCCGCCGCATCCCGGATCGCCCCAGGTCACAACAGCCCTGGATTCAAGAACGGTGGCAAAAGCACTGCAAGTTGCTTGGATGTGCTGGACGTTCCTCAGCTGCTCTTGCACCTGGCTGCTGTCTGCGCCATATTCTGGAGTACCCCAGCTCAAAACTGCCCCAGATTCCAGAATGGCAGCAAAAGCAGCAGCGAAAGAAGAACGAGTTGATTGGATCTGTTGGACATTTGGCTGGAGGAGCTGGCTGCCGTCTCCGCCACGCGCGGGATCACCCCAGGTCACAACCTCGCCTCCGTGGCTATGCCAAGCAAACGCCTTTCCGGTGGCAGCCAGTTGGCCCAGCTGCACAAACGCAGCCACTGCGTCCCCATCTCGCAACCCAGCCTCGCTTAGCGTGGCTGTCAAATCCAGCTTCCGGCCTTTCGCAATGAGCGTCAAGCGGCGCTGGAAATGCTGCTGTGCTGCAGCCTGCAGCTGGCTGATGGGCGTCTCCAGTGAGACTTCAATGGAGCAGCCGTCTCCACTGGGCAAGTGCACCTCCACCTTCATGGCACAGGAAAGTCTTTCTGGCTGGAGCTGAGACAACATATGATTGACAAGGGCCTGTTGAGTTGCCTTGTAAACTTTCTCGACAGGAATCCCAACCATTTGCGAGAGCTGCCATCCTTGGACACACCCATGTCAGAGATTATTCAATGTGGGGGATTGTCAAAAGGTCCTTCACAGAGAAGGACAATTGGGAAAACACGAAAGAACGAAACGATACTTCAACCTCATGGGAAAAGTTACCCATGGTCAAAACTGGGGCCCCAAGAGGAATATTGATCAACCCCCATAAAGGTCTTGATCAAAAATGGGGAAACCATCGAGCCGACTCCAAAGGCCGTCAAACATCCGGACCACTTCACAAAGACAGATTTGTCGTTGGTGGATCCCAACTGGGTTCTCCAGTTGAGAGGTTAGAATAAGGGTACCCTTCTTCCTGTAGTCTATTTTATAGGGGAACCCTCCCCTGGAGGTTTGGTTTCCCCTTTCCCCACAAAACAAGAATGGGGCCCGGTTTGTCAAACCAGATTCAGTTCCAAATCCAAACGGATTTTTGGGTACTTCACAAGCTATCCTTCGAGACTTGACCAATCGGATTGGTCAATCAGGGTTGCTCTTTCACAGAATCATGTTTTCCAGGATCCAAAGGAAAAACAAATCTACCCACTTGGGTTCAGTTTTTGATGTGTTTGAGTTGATACCCTGCAGATTGGTTGAAAGGGGTACCTCTCATTCTCGCATTCCATCACTATCTTCTCAAAAACCATTTCAAGTATTAGGTGAGAGAGTGATGGATGAAGAATAAAGAAAGTGACTGACAAGAGAGAAGGTAACGAGCGCAGGCATGTCAACAGCTTCGTTCATTCTCCCATCCTGTCTGTTGCCACTGTGACCCAACAGATTAACTCCTAGAGACAGAGCGTAGCGGAGCCGAGAGAAAGGGAAGATGTTGGCATCTCTTCACCTTTTCCCCTTCTCCCGGTAGCACCCATAGAATGCTTGGGAGAAGGCAGGCATGTCTTTCCCTCTCTAGCTCCTTGCATTGTTTGTCGTTTCCCTCTGGTCATGCCCCCGCCAAGAAGCCCATCCCTATGACCGAGCGTAGCGGAGGGAGGGAGGAAACGAGCGAGCCGCGGCAAGCAAGGGAAAGAGACGAGCCATTCCTTTCTTCCTTCCAAGCTTCTTTACTTCTTATCTTTTAATGCTGGAGAAGCTTGGAAAGAATTGTGAAAGGAATGGAAAGAAAGATGACATGATGAATGGGAAAGCGAAGGGAGATATATTAACTACAGTGTTCTATCTCTTATAATGTCCTCTAGTCCTTTCTCCATTCCATCCCATCCAGTTCATACAGATGGAATGGTTCTCTGGTTAACTGTCAAGGAAGGAAGGGACTGACGTACGAAGGCAAAGTTAACGGTCAAAGGATTCCTCACCTCGCTGCAGCGAGGAAAGGGAGATGAGGTCATGCCGTTAACTTCTCCATTCACTCACTTCTCTCGCTGCCGAACGAAGGTGAGACACGAATCTGGCGAGTGGGATGGCGAGTCCTATCTAATTCTCGAATTAACTCGCCATATCTTGTCCCATTCCCTACCTTCCCAATCTCTCCCTCTCGCACCCAAAAGCGAGAGGAGATCAGTGAGCTGCGAGAGGAAGAGATAGGACTGGACGGACGGTTGAGTCGTTAGCCGAGAGCAGGAGGTAGACGGGAAAGGGAAGGAGGGAATATCGTTTCATCAGCTTCTCCACCTAACTCCAAGCGATGGAAACGTGTTGAGATGAAGAGGAAAGGCATGTAATTCCTGTCAGCCTTTCCATAGCTTCCTTTCACCCTGCCTAAGATCTCAGATAAGAGTTGACAGGTGAAAGGACATGGCATCTCTCTCTCTCTCTCTCACAAATCCGTTCGGTCTTCATTAGTGTCTGAATTTCTTGGAATAGGTAGACAGTAATACAGTCAGGGTCTTTAAGACATAAGAATTGTGGGTGGCAAGAATTGCTGGAAGAATATTAATTGAATTTGTGAAATTGGGGCAGCAAGACTTGTGGAAGAGAATTGGGGCAGAATGTTGGTGGAATTGGTGGAACTGGTGGGTTGCAAGCATTGGTGATCTGGGAAATAAAACGGTTGGAAAAGACACAGATAAGAGATTCTACCTTTCCTTCGTCTTCCCAAATATTCGAAGGGAGAATGAAGGTAAAAGAAAAACACGAAATCGTAATTATTTCCAGTCTTCATTCTTATCTGGATTTCATTTTGGATGCAATCATTAATGTCATGCTTTTCATCATTTCCAGACTCCTTCGTTTCCAAGTTTCTGAGAGCTAGAGATAGAGGGAAACTAACCTGATGGATAAGATACGAGGAAGAGATGCGTGTGATGAAAGGAAAGGGAACTGGAGACCGCTTCCTTCGTTATCTCACACTTTCCTTTCTTTTGGAGAAGACTCCACTTTCTCTCACCAATTGTCCTTCTTCTTGATTACCTTTCTGGAGGCTGTACCTCTCTTTCTCTCGGGCAAGCCCTGGACAAGCCGTGTACAGGCTAGCGCCATGGAAGATCCAGTTAATAGAGATGTAACCCTTCTCTGTTTGCCTTGCATATCTCATCTATTCTCTCTCTGGAGCCTCCATGACCCTTTAAAATGGGTCCATGACCAACCATTATGTTGGGTAGTGACCAAGCCTTTCTAAAGGGTCCTTAGGGAGACTCCAGGTCAATCATTTCATTCTTGTCATCTCTACTCTAACGAAAAACTTTGCTTGTTGCAGACCCCCAGTAAAAATGAACAGAAAACAAACAACTAAAAAAAAAAACATGATCCAAGAACAGTGAAGTTGTAATTATTGATCTTAAGAGAAGATATGCAAGGTTTCCTCCGCCTTCAAACACACCGCCCTCTATGTCCTACGGCATAGCCTCTATTCTTAGTAAAGAGATTAGTCTCTCGTGAATGGCGGAGGTGACTGAGGAAGCCATCAAAAACAGAACTGTACATTAGACACTAATAAGACAGGACATGCTAATCAAATATGAACAAATCAATTGCAAAGATACTAATAGCATTATAGTTATATTCTTAGACGCTAATGAGACAACATCTTGATTAACGGGAACTCGTCTACATTGGAACATTCCAGAGTTAAAACATAATAGGAATGATAAAACAATAATATATGTAAGAAGTAAAGTACAAATGGGGGTGATCAATATTCCGTTCGGCCCCAAATAACCAACTGTTCGCATGTGGGAAACATCATATCTTTTTAGTGGCTTTCCAACAAAATGGTCATCCCGCGTACTGAAAGGACCTTTTGATCAACCCCCAAATGGAACACCAATTTGAGAAAGGCCCGGCACTCCATGGATCATCCAGGAACAACTCGGCTCGCTGAGAAAAAGTTGCAGAGAGAATTTGGGTTTCTGGACCCCTCAAACTCGGCTTCTTGGTGACTTCCTTTTAAACCAACCCCAATTTGGCTTAGCAAGACACCCATTTGTACCTTCCAATTCCATTCTTTCCAGGGATCCGAATCTTTTCAGGAAACCAGCAAAAACCTAGGGGAAACAGATCCGGTTCTTGAAAAGAAGGATTTGAAAAGAATTCGGAATCGGAATCAGCCCACTCCCATGATTCCAACTACTTGGACCCTCAAGATTGTCTGAAAAATGGGAAGTATAGAACTCAAACTTATGGTTGGTGAGTTTTCTTCGTTAAGTTGGTAGTTTGAGGGTTCAGGTAGGTGCTACAATCCGCTACCCAGTAATTTGTGGCTCCACTTGGGGATCATTCACAAAGTTGGTCTCAGACCGGCTTTCAAAGGCCTGTTGATGCGGGGTGATGTGGATGTAATACACCCTGAAATTTTGTTTGCCCACCGTTGTTCGAGCAATACTCATTCGATGCGGAGAAACAAAAAAGAAAAGAAAGGCAAGATATGCGGTGTGCGTGATGCAACTTCCCAAGTTGAATTTTTTGCATACCGCATTTTGCAACTTGCCAACTTGGCGAGACTCGGCCTGTTTGACTCGTAGATTGGCCAGACAAAACTCGGCCAAACTTTTTTTTCCACCCTGGAAAGCCGTATGGCCGTATGTTTTTCTCGGACGGAGCCCGTATTTAGATCGTGTTTTTGTTTTAACCCCCCGTATGGCCATTTTTTGGGGGGGACGGACAAAAACAAAATCACCTGGAGTCTCCCTCAGGACCCTTTAAGAATGGTTGGTCAGACCACCCAAAATAATTGTTGGTCATGGACCCATTTTTAAAGGGTCATGGAGACTCCAGGTACATGCTACGCGTGGATCTTTTCGGCAAGTGCGGTTTGTGAACCGCCTCAAATCATCAAGTGCTTAGTTCAAAAAAGCCTGAAATCATCAAGGGTTTATTTCGCGGTCATGGAGGGACCTCTCGGCTTCAACTCAGCGGGCAACTCGCAACTCAGCCTGGGCTCTGGTTCCGTTGGGCAGCGGAGTCTGGAGATTTCGAGGGGAAGGAACTTCAACTCGAGTCTCCCTAAGGACCCCTTTTTGAGTTGGTTTTACAAGGACACCACCAATTTTACGAGGGTATCTCAACAATGCCTGGAGGCTCCATGACCCTTTAAAACTGGGTCCATGACCAATCATTATTTTGGGTAATGACCCCATGTTTAAAGGGTTATGGAGACTTTAGGTTCAATTAGGGTCAAGGTTTTGAGGCTTCCACTTATTATACTTGGAGTCTCCTGCTGATACAGAATGGGGTCTTCTAATTTGGGGCCTCAAAATCATATGTCCTGGTGACATCCCGTTTCAGCAACTCGGGCTGTGGGGACCGGGTCCCGGGTTCATAGAAAGCCAGAGGATTCTTAGGATACCCCGCATGACTAGGTCCTGTAGAGAGGTTAGAATAAGAGTACCCTTTTTTCTGTAGTCTTTTTTTAGTAGCAGAACCCTCCCCAAAAAAGGGTCCAAAAGGGCCATCCGGGCTGGGGGGACCGGGTCGGGTCGTCGACCGGACCGCGCCTTCGAAATCGCCGCCAGGCCAGAAGGGACATCTGCGAACTTCCTGAGTGCGCATGCTTCTCACGCCTCGCGTGGCATTTCCCCACTGGCCTTAAGCTACCTGGAGCCTCCCTAAGGACCCTTGAAGAATTCATTACCAAAAATAATGTTATGGGTCATGGACCCATTTGTTATGGGTCATGGAGACTCCAGGTACAAGGATATGTGAGCAGCGACCAAAGCCTCTTATTGACTTTTGGTCCATAAGATGGCTCATGTTTCATCTTTGTTTATTGTTTTGTTTGAGCCTTTTCGGGAGTGACATGTAGAGCTCCAACAGCTGTGACTGAAAGTCGCTAGCCCCAAACTGACCATCGGACATGTTGCTTGATTCTTCAGGTGTCGCTGGTGGATTTCCATGCGTGGGTTGATTTGTTAAAGGGAAGCTTTACAACCCATGGTATGGGTTTCGCAACAAACTGATTGCTTAAACTGCACCCCTACTAAAAATGAACAGCACCAAAAAACAGCAAGTCTCAAAGCCTTGCCAACAACAGTTGCTTGATTCCTCAAACGCACACGAAGAACTTGGTGCATGGCCTGGTCGTCTGCGGAATTCGGAAGCTGAATTCTCCTCAATTAGAGCAGCCTACGAATCATATAGACAAGTGGCTCACGGACTCACGGACAACTGGGCTGTCCTCAAATCCCCTGCTAAAAGTTTTTAACTTTTAGTGGCTTAAATGGAAACTACCACTAAACACTAAAAGGATCTAAAAAGCCAAAGGGATGGCTAGCCGCCAAGTGTAGTGTTACATGGAAGCCCAACCAACCCTCAAAAAATACCGTAAAATACCTAAAGAACTGGATGATGAATCCCATTCGCACTGTGTAAATCAAACGCATCCTCTTTTCACAAGCAAGTCGCCAGTTTTGGGGGGCGCTTCTAAGGTTCTCCGGACCGGTCCGGAAGGAACTGCCTAGCTCATTGGGTAGCTTCCACTTTGCAGGGAAAATTGGTGGACATCATAATGTTGACACCGGATTAAGAAACCCCTGTTTATTAATATGGGGGTGTCCCCGGTTTTAGTGGAGATTTATCACTTATGGAGGGGAACACCCCCATATTAATAAACAGGGGTGTGTTAATCCGGGGTCAACATTATAGCTGGGCATGAATTTGTCCACCGCTTTTCAGGTGGTTCCCAATTTGATTTAGCCAAATGAGCCATGTAAACGTGTCCATGATTTGCGGCCGTATCATTTTGCCTCCGCCCCCGCTTACCGAACCTTATTGCCCAACGCAAGTTTTCACCTACGCTGCACGTGTGTAGGTGTTCCTGGAACCCCGAACGGCCACTTTTTTTTTCGGTCAAAAGGCGTATTTCGCCTGTTTTTGCCCGTAAGGTTGTGTTTTTCGGTCATTTGCCTGATTTGCCCGTATTTGGCCGTATCAAACCCGTATTTTATCGATAAAATATTGAAAACAAACCGAAGAAAAACGTATTTGGCCGTATATATGACCATTTTTTTTGGGCAAAGCCTTTTGACCAAAAATAACAGCCTTTTGGGGCTCCAGGTTGCTTCTTACGCAATCTTGCGCCCGTGGAGGTTTTGCTTATGCACAAGTTGCAAAGGTTGATATGACGCGACTCTTCTTGAACATGGATCCACTAAAAGGATGACATTTCCCATCGAACTCATGGTCATTTGGGGGGGGAAAAGCGGATCTTGGGGCGGGGAAGAAGCCCAAATAAGCCCTTCTTAAGCCTTTGATGAACTTAATAAGGCCTTGAGGGTTTATTTGGGCTCCCCTCCCCCCCAGCCATGATGAACACGCTTGGCTGGAAGAAGAGGACCCCAGCAAAAAACATATGTTTTTTGCCTGGAATATGTGGAAAACAAAGGGACCAATTCCAAAAAAGCAAACAGGGGAGCGAATTCTGGGGAAGCATGGCGATTTTGGACGTTGCTCTCACCCGCATCGAACTCCAAGCCCCAGCTGAGGCGCATGGCTTCAAGAAAGCGACACAGAAAACTCCCAATCAGTTTCAAGTAAACCACCCACTAGGTTTTTCAGTAGAGAGGGTAGAATACGTTGGTACCAACTTTTCTGAAGTCTATTTTCTGACCTGGAAATCAAAGGTTCACCTTTTGGGACCTTTACTAAAAATGGACCAACATTGGAAAACCAAAAGGTTAAAAGGTCGGCTTTGGGCAAGTGAGTTTTAGTAGGGGAACCCTCCCCCAAAAAGGGGTAAAGGGGCAATACTGGGGGACCTAGATCCAAGTACCTTCTGAGAAGGTACATGGACCCTTTCTCTCCTCTCAGAAGCCATCCTCAGCTGGTACTTGCAGACAGTCCCTAATAAATTTGAGAAACTTGGAAACTGTTCTCTTATATGAAACCACATTTGCTGCCTCGCAATATGCCGAGGATTGTGTTGTTCATTGCAAGGATCAAACATTACCATGTGCTAAAGTTTCCTGGAACAAAAAAGATACCATACCGTATTTTCCAATCCCTTGAAACCAACGGGGGAAACAACACCTGTTCTGGGGAACCCCAGAGTGAGCTTCCCCCATGATGAGGGCGTGCATTGTTGGTTTGGAGGTGTTCAGGGAAAACAACAGATGTCGTGAGTATCAAAATTCTGGTAGTCATAGATTCCCGCCAAAAACAACATGAAAACTTTCCAACACTTGGTATGGTAGCAACGAACTGTTTATTTTTGCAGCCCCTGAACCTAACAATGAACAGCAAAGGACGCCTGTGATGCATAACCCACCTGTGGATTGCGTCAGTTTGGTGCCGAAATATCTTTGCGACCAGTGAAATCCATATCTAAAGGACCCTCAATGGACTGATTCCCATTTTTTTCTGCCTTTCAGCCATACAAAAAGGGCTAAGGCAGAAAAAAAAGGGATCGGTCCATGGGGGGACGGGCAATCTGGGCCAACTCAACTCAAACGGGTGTGTCTTCTTAAAGGGAAACCAATCGAAAAACCACTCAACTTTCGGGGGTCCGAATCGACAAATTGAAGGCAGCCAAGCATCAAGTTCTGCGATGGAGACAAGTACCCGTCGAACTTGCCAAACCTCAGTGACTCGCGAACAGGTCAATTCAGTGGAGTGCAGGTTATGGCTATGTTGCCAGGCTTTGTGCGAAGAAAAACCTTAGAACAAGCGGGTATTTACCGTGGAAACCCAGGCTTTTCCCAAAAAACAAATCTTAGGAATAGCGGGTATTTGGAGTACCCGAAGTCTCCCTCTGCCCCTTGCAACATGGGTCCATGACCAACCATTCTTTTGGGTAGTCTGACCAACCACTTTTATTTCGGGTCCTTAGGGAGACTCCAGGTATTTGGAGTAGGGAGATCGGTGTGGCTCAAAATTAACCGGAGGGGCAATCCGCAGGTTTTGGTACCCATGTTTCCACTTACCTTGGTCAAGTTAATGGCCGAAGGAAGGCCTGGGTGCACCTCTTGATGTTTGCCTTCATTGTCCCTTTATCCGATGTCCTGCAAAACATTTGACATGTTGATTCTTGAGCTGGTCCTCGTTTTCCCCGTGGTTGGACCCCTCTTACTTCCAGAAAGTAGGCCCCACGTACTGTGGATGGACGAAACTCAGGTAGACAGCTTATGAGGTTTCATCCATCCCAACTGGTGCAGGACTTTGTCCATCTACAGTACGCGGTTGTGACAAACAGGATTAATCAGCTTCTATCGGGCGAGAAAACGTTCTAGACCTACAGGTAAAAATGCCGAAGGGTTACCTGCTATAGTGTTGTCTGGAAGGACAGTAGCAACTGGTACAAACTGGGAGGCTGCTCAAAACACCGTTCGAGTTGCGTGACCCGAAAGAGCAGTGCTGTCCACTCGTCCAATTCGATGGATTTGGAGCTGCAACGAGTGGAACTTGTAATTTGCAGTGTCCACAGTTGGTTGGCCTGCAACAAAGTGATCCTTAGCTGGTGATGATATCGTCACACCTGGAGTCTCCTTCTGACCCTGGTTTTACCAGATACTGCGTGCACCATTCATTTTAGGATGGTGTCATGGACTGAGTCCGTGAGCGACTCCAGGTATACTCCATGTACCCTCGTGATCCTTCTGGAACATGGCAAGCCGAAAGGAGGCAGTTTTTTTACCAGCAAAACCGAAACCGGATATTTTTTTCCAACATGCCAACTCGAGACGGGTGCTTGGAGTCTCCATGACCCTGTAAAAATGGGTCCATGACCCCACTATTTCGGGTAATGACCAACCATTTTTGAAGGGTCAGAAGAAGACTCCAGGTGGTCGAAGGTAGCCTTTGGACCCTGCTGAATTGGATGTCCGCCCAACCTCTCGCAAACCCACGCTGAGACGAGGGCACATCGGGCCACAGCATGCCTGGATCCAAGAGGCACCCCACATTTTGAGGTGTTCGTTGAATCCTATCTTGATAAAGGTGTGTCTTCCTGGAGTCTCCATGACCCTTTAAAAATGAGTCCATGACTTATTTTTGGTAATGCCCCCACTTTTAAAGGGTCATGGAGACTCCAGGTTCAAAGAAAAACAGTGGCCTATGGATCCCACTATTCGCTGTGAAGAAAGGGCTGTACCTGGCGGTTCAGGTCAATGAGAACAGGCAACTGTCAAGAGCCCCACAAACCCCCACAAAGACCATGCGTCCAGGTGACAAAATTTGGGCCTGCCAACAAATGTCCATACATTGGCCGTTACTTAAAATTGTGGGGGGCTAGTTGGGGCGGTTTTCGGGGTCTTGACGGAAACTCAGTTGCCCAAAGGACCTGTAGGAATAAAACGTGATCACCTGTTGGGACTTTTAACCGTCGACCCAAAAAGGGAAAGCCAAAGGTTGAAGGTCGGTGTTGAACACGGGCAACCATAAGGCATGGTTCAGTTTACCTGGACCCTCCAAATTCCCTAAACAAAAGGTGTTCTAGACCCACAGTTATGGGGTGAAATCCCTCTCTAAGGGTAGTTGGAGGTTCAGTTTAGTTTTCGTTTGTCTCATTCCCTGCCTGTCGATCCAGCAAGCAAAAGAGAAGTCAAAAACCCCTCAAACATATTCCCTTCCCCTCTAACATGGAACCAGAACAGTTCTTGAAGAACACACCAAGACGCTCAGCCTGCTTAGGTTATAACCACGGCTTTATGCCCGCCAACTGCTGTTGTCCCACGTATATGCCTAGCTTATACTTGCTAAGTAGGTTGAAGGTTTAGGTTGCTTCGTGGCAAACATAATAGTTTCCCAACACATAACAGTTAAACATGCAACGAAATACAACACTCAACGGTAAGGCGATAAATCGAGCAACACGGGACGACTCAAGTCGTCAGTTGCCAGCTGTGGCAAGGCAGGAGTTATGAACCCCTCTCCCCCAGCCCCTTCTCCCCACCAAAACATGGGTCTTGAGTTGGTACCCCTGTTTTTGGCAATGAAAGCCAAAGGACAACCGTTGCAATTTAAGTCCAAATCCCGAAAGAAGACGAGCCACCCACTTGGGCAGTTCTCAGATCCCCTGCTAAAAGCTGAACTTTTAGTGGGTTAAGCTCGAAAACCCAACCGATAAATCAACTAAAAGGTACCGTGTGTTTACCCACCCACCCGCGTGTCCGCGTGGCTTCCACCCCTGCATGCCCGGCACGCACGCTGGCGCGTGATCAGACAACCAGCTCACACGCATGACGTCAGAGCTGCACGCACCTTGGCACATGATAAGCACACCCTCTGACGGACATCACGTCAGAGCTGCACGCACGCTGGCACATGATAAGCACACCCGCTAACCACTATGTCTGCTGACTTGGTCCAAAACTGCAAATGCCGACCTGAGATTTAGCTGGCCTTTCCCGGGATGTCCCACAACCCCAGAAACATGCATACTTGTCAAATTGCCTGAGAATAGACACACGAGCTCCGAGGACATGCAAAAAAACACGCAGATGACTATGTACCCGGCGCGTAAAACCACGAGAAACAAACAAATGAAGCAACTGGGCTGCCCTCAGATCCCTCGCTAAAAGTGTAACTTTTAGTGGGTTAAATGGAAACTACCACTAAACACTAAAAGGCTAGCAAGCTAAGGGGATGGCTGGGAGCCACCAAGGCAAGTTACTAGCTGCGTAAAAACCACGAGAAAAACAAATGAAGCGTATTCAGGGGATGGCTGAACCACCAATCCCCAAGTGGGTGCCCCGTTCCCGATAGCATCCGCCACTTGGTTTCAGCCGCCCGCTTGGGCTCCCTGCCCAGGGCGGCGAACATGCAAATGCGCCCGTGCTTGAGCTCCACCGCACGTCGGCGATCGAAGTCCTGGGGCGGAGAGGAGAGGAAACTCTAGCTGGAGTCTCCCGAATTGGACCATTTAAACATTGACATGGATCCATGACCAACCATTATTTTGGGTAAAGACCAACCATTTTTAAAGGGTCATGAAAACTCCAGGTAGCTGTACCCTCCCCATTCTCTTCACGGAACCTTCTCTTCAATGGGGGCCAAACCCGTTAGAAAATGGCTGCAAAGAATGGGGAATCAAAGCTCAAAAAATCCCGAACCTCTAGCCCCAAAGACCCCAAAAGGAACCTTCAAGCCAAACAAACTCCAACGAACCAAGGTTCTACCCCCAAAAAGCCGTAAGATCATCCCTAGCCCCAAACAAACCCCCAAATATGAGGGGGTTCCTTTAACCCCCAAAACGGGGGGCCCAAATCATTAACCTGCTAGGGAACCATGTTCAACCAAAATCCGCCGACCCTCTGCCTCCCGTCCCAGCCTCCTGCAGAGAAAACCGGCGTGGGATGCAACTGGAAGTGATTGGAATCAATGATGCCTGGGACCAGTCCTGGGACCAGTCCTGGGACCGGTCCTGGGACTGGTCCTGCGACCGCTGCAGTCAGCCAAAACCGGTCCTGAAACCGGTCCCGGGACCGGTCCCAGTCCTGGGACCGGTCCTAGGATGTCCTGGAACCGGTCCCTGCCAGGACCGCTTTCAGGGTCCCAGCCGCTGGTATCGGATCCCACTTCAAACCGCTGCGGAAACCCGGTGCCACCTCAAACAGCTCCAGACACCTGTTTTTTCAGTGTCGCTGTTTCCGGACTGGCACCCGTGTTTCAGGACCGGACAGGGTCCCAAGTCCCAGTCCCTCCCTGCGACCGGTTGAGGGGCACCGACGGCCTTGTTTCTAGGACCAGCTGAACGTGACTTGGGCGCGAGCCGGCCCGTGCGGTCCTTGACGGACGAGCTGCCGCCTGTCTGACTTTTCCGCTAATCCTTGTGGTAGTAGAGGATCCCTGGATCTACTGCCGGCGACCGGTCCAGGGCCACTAGGGCCACTGTCGCCGGGGCAGTTTCGGGAGGGCCAGTTTCAGGGCGACCCGGGACAGGCGACTGCTCCCGGGCCAACTTGAAGTGACTTGGGCGCAAGCCGGCCCAAGCGGCAATTAACGGACTAGCTGCCATATTTCTGACTTTTCCGTTAATCCTTGTTTGTGGTCGTAGAAAATGTTATAAGTGGTCCCTGGGTTTGCGGACGTGTTTCAGGACCGGTCCTTCTGACTTTTCCCTTAATGCGCCGAGGGTCGGCGGCAGCAGGCGGGAGCCTGGTTAATATGGCAAACTCGAGTAAATTAGAGTTCCTTTTTTGGGGGCATCCACTGTAGCTCCTCCTACTTGACTGTTCGTTGCCAGTGTTAACCACTGGGGTTTTCACCGCCCTGACCCAGAGCTTCCTCGGCCTGAGTAACTTAGGCCTTTTGTCAACGGCCGTAAACACCCCGTAAAAAGGCCGTAAAAAACCAAAAAAAACAAAAAAAACTCCGTGTTTCTTTTTCGGCCTCCGTAACTCAGGCCTTTGGACTCCCTGGGTGAAAACAGCCCCCCCCCCCCACTTCGTGGGTACGGAAGCCTTGTGCGTGAAAGGGATCAAGATGAAAGCTTCCCCTTGGCTTGCTTGGATTTGTGGATTGGTTTGGAGCCATTGCTTGTCTTCGCTTCGCCAAGTCTTTCGGTTGGAAAGCCTTTCGGTAACCCACTCAGCCCCCTGTTCAGAGGTCTGGTTATACAGGAGTGAACAAAAACCAAGCTGACCACATTCCATGGCCCAACACCCCCCTGGGGGGGTGTAACCCTTGCAGGGTGTAACCAGGTTCAAGTCCCCCAAACGAAGCCAAACCACTAAGCCAAACGGCAATCGACGAAATGCGCACCCAAGCGTTTGGCCCCAACCGATTGGTGAAGGGAATCTGAATCTCTTGAGAACGATTCCCCATCGATTCGCCTGTTTGTTAACAAAGGTTTTCCAGTAGAGATCTCTAGAGGTTAGAATAAGGGTACCCTTTTTCTGTATATAGTCGATTTTAGCGATTTTAGTAAGAGAACCCTCCAGCAAGGGCACTACTGGGGAACCTAGTTGAGTTTGCAATCCAGGCACGACTAACCTTAAGGAGATGTTCCAAAAGGAAATGGTTGGATAGGCTGGGAATAAGAAATGAAATGACCCCCAATAAACCATCCAACTGGTGGTTTCCTTTAGTCATGACTTTAGGGAATCCCCAGGTTCAGTCACTCATACTGAGCATGTAATAATAAGTACATGGGAAGCTTTTGGCTTGGGTGCTGTAGATCCCCAAGCATTTTTCCCCAACAGCTGAAAGCTTTGGGGTCTCAGCCCAGATAGGCTCCGGAATGGTCCGGGGCGGCCCTGAGGTAAGGTTCCACAACGGTTCCACGAGGGTTCCACGAGGGTTCCACGAGGGTTCCACGAGGGTTCCACGAGGGTTCCACGAGGGTTCCACCAGGGTTCCACCAGGGTTCCATGAGGTTCTGCGAGCACTAAAAGGAGCACCGCACGCTGTTGGGGATATCACCTGAGCTTTTTTTTAAAACTTGTTGCTGGTTTGAGGGGAATTCAAAAAGTCAAAGTCTCAGGAAATAGTAGTAGAGTTGGCGTTGGTCGTTGACATACAGAGTCCCCCAAGTCTGGAGCACTTCAGCGACTGCCGTATGTATGTCCATATACCCCCTACTCCAAATACCCGGCCATTTTCTAGTTGGCATTTTTGGCAAAACCAATCGGTTTTTCAAGGGAAATACCGATCCCTTTGTTAGAGGGTCGACAAATCATACCCGAACAAAAAGGCCGGGTATTTGGCGTTTACGGGGGTACATATATATATATATATATATATATGTATATAGTACCGGTTTTGGCGGTTTTTTTCACGGGAAACAAGTACTAAAAAAGGAGGTATGTCCCTTGAAAAACCAGGTTTTCCTATTTGGCGAAGCTCAGTGAACCCCACCTGCTTGGTGCAGTCGCCACCGCAGTAGCCTCAGAAAAGCACGGCAGTTCCGTAAGAATTTGCATTGGGCTGGATGCTTCAAACGGCCCACTCTAAGGACTTAGATGGCTATGGTCGCGGGGGCTGGGGGGGAGGGAGGGGAGGGGGAGGGAGCTCAAATAAGCCCTTAATAAGTCCTTAATGAGGCCTTATTTGGGGGCTTATTGGGGCTTCCTCTCCCCCCCTCCCCCCCAACCCCCGTGATATGGCATTTGACGGACGCTTTGGTGAAGACATCATTTAGGTAGGGAAAAATATGTCCCACCACTTTCGAGGTGGTTCTCCATTAAAACTCACATAAGTAGAATGGGGTGGGGTACTTAGAAACCAGCGTGCGTCGTTGTCATAAGATCGCCTGTGTAATTGGTCAGCCCCTGAAAAGTTAAACTCACTGGCTGTGAGGCAATCCATTTCGCGTATTGGGAATGAACATGTGATGCCCTTCAATCCACAATGGGTTCATTTGGGGAGTGCCTGGAGTCTCCATGACCATGAAAACATGGGCAAAGGGTCATTTCCCAAAATCATGCAAAGGCTCCTGGGCTCACTTGAATTATGTTGGGTCCAATTCGGGGTTTCAATCCGGTAAAACCCCTCGCCGGTCCAACCCATCCGATTCGGAGAGGTCCGGAGTCCAGGATCCGTGCCGATGGGGTCCCAGAAGAGCAAGGGATCACAGGCGCCGATCTCCTGGCGCTCGCCCCATGAAAACGGACAGAGTGGTTTTCCTGGTGGTTTCCCTACACAAAACAAGGGTACCAACTCCAACAAAGAGAGAGAGAGAGAGGCGACGCTCAGTCGCTTTCTCCTGGTGAAGATCGTAACCCGATACCTTGAGCGATGCCTTCTTTGAGTTGGTCTTCAACTTTGGTCGTCTCTTTCCTAAAGGGATGGGTCAACTTACCTTGGGAAACCTCGAGGGGTGTCCCAATTTAAAAAAGGCCAACTAGAAAACGTGCACGTGGGTATTTGGAGTAGGGGGAAGTTCTTGCGACTGAAGTTCTTCAGCTGAACCTTTTTTGTAGTCAAACCCAAAGGACCACAATTTGGGGGATCCCCGAAAAGACACCCAAGGGCTTCCAGTAGAGAGGTTAGAATAAGGGTACCAACTGTTTTCTGTCTATTTTAGGGCGAGAAAGGGCAATAGGGGACCTAGCCAACAACTGGGCATGGGCTTGCAAATAAATGAACAGAACACCAAAAAGACCACTTGAACCTGAAAACATGCCGGGGCATAATCATAATGTCCACGAAGAAACTTCCAGTGCAGAAGATTGTTCCAGAGGTCTGGGCCACTTTTTCCAGGGTATTTTGTGGAAACCCTGGGTTTTTTTCATGGTAAATGCCTCCTTTTTTAGTAGAGGGTCGACATCACACCATAAAAAAAGAGGGTATTTGGAGTCGGGGGGGAAAAATCCCCCCCGAAGAAAAATGGCTTCTAGTACGGGAACCTTCCCAACCGAAAAGGGGTGAGAAAGGGCACCTAGCTGGGGGACCTAGTCCAAATACGATTCTTCCGTCTTCGTTGCTTTCGAGATCGAAGCTCACCCTGGTCGGTCTCGCCAGATCCTGTTGGGGTCCACGATTCCTGCTGACAGTTTAGCCTAAAAACCCAAGTTGAACCGGATGGCTGGGAAACTTGTGGGTTTTTCCATTCAGACACCCAAGACTCGGTGACTTCCAAGAGAATTCGAATATACCTGGAGTCTCCCTCTGCCCCTTTAAAAATGGGGATCCCATGACCAACCTTTCTTTTGGGCAGTCTGACCCTTCCCATGTTTTAAAGAGTCAGAAGGAGACTCCAGGAATTGGCTCCCCCCCTGTGGGTGACCTCGCGAAACGGCCGGCTTGCTGAATCCCAAGCCTCGGAGCCCTTTGTCACCATGCCTCGCCCTTTTTATAAACGGATCCCCCGCGGGAGACTTTTGGGAAGCCAAGAGGAAAACCAAAGTCATGGCTCCGACTTTTCAACGCGTTGAAAAAGCGGGAGAATTGCTCTTAGCTCCTCGTTTTGGGGGATTTTTTTTGAGGCCTCCCAAGACGTGGGACGCGTGGGACGTGATTTTTTTGTTTTTGTCCTGGCGCAAGGACCAAAAACCCCAAGGGCCGAATGATTGCCCCTGGTGCAAACACATCACCCTTGACGCGGCAGGGGCGTGGTTTCAGGTGTTTGTACTGGGCTGTCCTCAGATCCCCTGCTAAGTTCACTTTTTGCGCGTTAAATGGAAACCCCCGCTAAACCGGTTAAATGGAAACCTGGGCTAAACCCTAAGAACCGCCGCTTAGGTGAAAAATACAGGGAACCGTGGTCCAAAGCACACTCTGCGCTGTTTGCTTGGTGCTTCCTGCTTTTAGCACGCTTTCAGCTTCAAGACCGGCTGCTCTTGCACCTGGCTGCTGTCTCCGCCGTTTTCTGGAGAACCCCAGGTCACAACAGCCCCAGATTCGAGAATGGCAGCAAAAGCACCGCTAGTTGCTTCAGCTGCTCTTGCACCCTGCTGCTGTCTCCGTCGTATTCTGCATGACCCCAGGTCACAACAGCCCCAGATTCAAGAATGGCGGCAAAAGCACCACCGCCAGCTGCTTGGATGTGCTGGAGCGGCATTGGCTTGGATGTGCTGGACATTCATCAGCTGCCATTGCACCTGGCTGCTGTCTCCGCCATATTCTGGACGACCCCATGTCACAACAGACCCAGATTCCAAAATGGCAGCGAAAGCACCGCCACGAGTTGCTTGAATGTGCTGGACGTTCCGCAGCTGCTCTTCACGCGACTGCTGTCGCCACCGAATTCGGGAGGACCCCACGTCACAACAGCTCCAGATTCAAGAGTGGCAGCAAAAGCACCGCCAGTTGCCTGGATGTGCTGGACATTCCTCAGCTGCTCTTGCACCCGGCTGCTGTCTCCACCATAGTCTGGACGACCCCAGGTCACAACAGCCCCAGATTCAAGAATGGCGGCAAAAGCACCACCGCCAGTTGCTTGGATGTGCTGGACGTTCCTCAGCTGCTCTTGCACCTGGCTGCTGTCTCCGCCTTTGTCAGCAACACCCCACGTCACAACCTTGCCCTCAAGGCCATACAGAGCAAACGCCGCATCCGTGGCAGCCAGTTTGCGCAGACGCACAACCGCAGTCACCACGTCACCATCTCGCAGCCCAACCTCGCTCAGCGTGGCTGTCAAATCGAGTTGCTGGCCTTTCGCAGCGAGCTGCAAGCGACGCTGGAAGTGCTGCTGCGCTGCATCCTTCAGGTTGCTGATGGGGGTCGCCGGTGAGACTTCTACGGAGCAACCATCTCCACTGGGCAAGTAAACATGCACCTTCATGGCACAGGTATGTTCTTCTGAGTGCATTCAGAATTGAGGGGCACATCTGTTGCATGTGTTAAAAGGGAATCCTAACCGTTTGCACGAGTTCATATGGGACGCGCCCGAAGGAAAGATTAGGTCTTGAGATGTTTTTTGTGAGGACCCTCTCAATGATCCAATAGATCGACGTCGGTGATTCGTCAAAGACAACTTCGTGCCAATGTGCGGTGGGATTGTTCCCCACTGATCCGGTCCCCACTGATCCGGCGAAGTGGCTAGCTTTGCCCCCCGACCCGCAGTTCGATTGAATGCTCCCGAACTGCCCAAGTGTCCACTCAGGCCTTGGTTGAGGCTGCTTGCTAGACTCTTGCGAACCTGTACAATAGACCTCTGCTATGAACCCCTAGTCAGTAGTCCCTTGGTGAATTGAACTAGTTACAGCTTCGGCATGTGAAAAAGGCACCGGGCGCGCCAAATTGGCCTGGGTTCGTAGTATGCGTCCTCAAACTCAAGCTTTGAGGTAGCCACCTTTTGCGCCCGACAAATGTCCCACACGAGCCGTGTTCACAAGATGGGCAAACCACCCGCAAACCACTACCTCTAGGTGTTTGGAAAGATTCGGAACGGTTTTTGGAGCAAGTTGGCCCTAGGGTCACACAACTTGAAACAGCCTTACTTGGGTCTTACGCTGACTTCCCGTAAGCTTCCCTGTGCTTTTGCGCCCACTGGAAACAAGTTTGAACGAATCCAGTGCAATCGGTGTCCTTTAAAACCAAGCAGGGACCATAATAATGAAAAACAGTTCAGCAAATGGAAGAAAGGGAATTGCCCGGTTTCCAGTTTCCCCAACAAGTTAAAGGTGGCATCCACTTGGGAGAAGGCTATACGAACCTCCGGAGGAGCTCGAATGACTCACTAATTAGACAGCGGCTGCAAACCGAGTTTAAAAAAGCGACGATGATCGCATTGCTTTCTGAAGGAACCTCAGCTTATCTCTACCTGGAGTCTCCATGACCCTTTAAAAATGGTTGATCATTACCCAAAATCATGGGGTCATGGACCCATTTTGCAAGGGTCATGGAGACTCCAGGTACGGTTTGAATTAGTGGTTTGGTGGTCTTCCGTGGTGGTTTCCCATCTTCCCTCTACAACAACCAGGCAATCTAAATCCAGATCCAACGCATCGGGCTCCAAACGACCGGTGCGGGTCCCGGGTTACCTGAGAACTAGACTCGGGAGTCGGGAGTCGGGAGTCGGGAGTCGGGAGTCGGGAGTCGGGAGTCGGGAGTCGGGAGTCGGGAGTCGTTAACGCAAAGAATTGAAGAACCAAGCGGGTGGCCTTTCAACAGTACCTAGAGCCTTGGACCCCTTATGGCCTGTTTTTTTTTTAGGTCACACGCCTTTGACTGGAAAAAATGGCCATACGGATTTGCACGGCTGTTTTTATTTTGGGCAACATGTCGAAAGAATATGGGTTTCATACGGCTGATTTACGCAAATGACCGGAAAAAAAAGGCCATACGGGCAAATACAGCCAAATCCGGGAGTTTGACCGGAAAAAGAAAGCCATACAGGGTGCCAGGAGTCTCCATGACCCTTCAAAATGGGTCCATGACCCCATTATTTTGGATAGTGACCCCATGTTTAAAGGGGCATGGAGACTCTAGCATGGTTTAACATGACATTTTACCCTGCTCGGAAATCCCTAGCCGCTTGGACCTCAATCTTTGAGGGCCTTTGGGGGTGAAAGGCCCTCATATTTTTGGATTTGGACTTGAACAAGTCTTTGCATCTTCTAGAGGGTAAATGGGAAACCACCCCAGAAGATCACCAAACCACCAATCCACACCACCAATCCACACCACCAGTTAAGGGGCCCCTGAGCATTTGCTTGAAGTGCCTGGGAAAACATTAAAAACGAACAGCGAGACGTAATGCTAGATTCCCGATTTCCGGCCGACAGGGAGATATAGCATGCTCTTCAGCAAATTAAACAGCTTCAACAAGTGCCAGAATCTCACTTTAAGATTCTCATTGATGATTTTGAAGATTTCGGCAGGAATTGGTTTTCGGTTTTAATATCTAGATTGTTTGTTCTGGTTATTTGGTAAGGTAGAATCTTTGTGTTAAATTGGAGTTGGGTAGTGGATATTATATGGTCGCAGGGAAACCAAAGGGAGAAACTCTTGGCATTCCGTGGGCCCCCCACAAAAAAACACACACCCCAAATTTTGAGTCAAACGTTCGGAAATCAGCCAACAGGCATGTGTCCGTACCCTGGCCGTACAGCCGAAAAAACACCACGAAATACGGGCTAGTTACAAATAAAAACTTAAGCAAAGTCAAACTACATTGATAGATTTATCTAGGGTGTATGCAG